AGAAAACATCCTGCCTGTCAAAAGATGATTACAATTGGACTGCATAACACCAGACCAGACGTGCTATACTTGAATACTCCATTTGGCGTTCAACTCAGCAGTGAAGTACAGTGGATTCTCAAATCGATGCAAACCGAATGAAACTCCTTCCTGTCCCATGAAGCACTTGGAGACGTATAAAATGTTGTGGTGGTGGTCACTCGTTGCATAGGATTCAAATGAACCAAACAGACCCTCATTTGTATTGAATTCCTGATCCCAATATAAAATGTTTGTAATTGTCACAATAAATATAATTTGATGCGCATTGAAGCTTTAGAGACAGCAGATGATATTTGAAAGTCTGGTTATTGGTATACAGTAATTCATATCAAGGTTTGATTTAAATGTGGTTCAGCACATGCTCCATGGAACAAAGATTTATAACTAAGCTTTTTTTCCCCCTAGAGATCTTGTACAAATCCTCATCTTGGTGTAGCAACCGTATTGATGTACTTCTCGGGACTGGAGTGTTTCAGTGAAGGGAAGAGAAGTCTTGCTAAATCTGCTGCTGTATTGTGGCTTATAAAGGGAGTTCCACATGTCTCATCTTCATTGGAGTAAGGGTTACTATGACCTTCATTTCAGTGGCGCACTTTTGTAAAATGTCCCTGTATAAAGAAACTTTTTTTTACTATTGGTTGACAAACCATGTCAGACCAATTTTGGAAGGGCAGGTCAGGTTTAATGCTGCCACAAGTGAGCTATGACTTTGCTTGAGCAGCCATTACAATGTGAATACACGGTGAGAAAGTTCCCAACCGTTGATCTGCTTTTGTACACAAAGTTCTTGAGTAACTTGCTGAGTTGGCAGCAGGTTGAGGCTCGAGATCGATCGGCATTGACCTTGGAGCTCTTGTTCATACAGCCAGTATATTTTATAGTGTAGATGCTGGGAAATATGAGTACCGGACTGACCAATGCTCATAATCTGATTTCTGCTGGCACTGGGAATGTACCAATACTGAACTTGGGAATTGTACTAAGATGCTACCCAATAGTGGACAAAATAAAAACTCTGTGCAGAGTAGGTGACACACCAAGGCATTGGGATTATTCAACATGCTGTTGGATTGCAGTTTGGGGAAGATTTCGTACTTGGTTTACAGCGGATGTCTGATTGACTTCCTTCCAATTCAGGTCTGCCCCTGAGCAGACCTGCACTGTTTCTGGGTCTCTATTCATGGCCTCTCCAGCTAGTAAATACTGTAGTCTTAAGCAGGCTTGTTTAGCAAGTAAAACTGATGAGGACTCTTGGGTACAACCTGTCCCATCACCGGTGCAGGGTTTTGTGTGGCATTCATGACGATAGTCCTCACGTAGGATATTGGTTGGGATTGTTACCCTTGACAGAAGATGGTGAGTAAACATTAATGAGCTTCAATGGGTGCATGATCTCTTCTCATCCCTTATCTTCCTGTGATATGAACACATTGCAGTCTAGCGCTAGCAACCACTACACTTGTATGAGGGGGTACATGTAAACCTCACAAACAGCAGCAATTATTTCCCAGTGTGATTTGCTGATATCTCACTTGCCACTAAAAGTTTTTAACTATTTGCTACAGGATCTGGCAGGTTTTTTAATGTAAATTCAACGAACCTTGAACTGGATTTTCGGAGTAGGCCATTGCAGAAATTTTGCTGCAGCTATTGTTATAATAGCCCTACTGTCACTTTAAACAATAGCATCAAGTGTTCATAATTAAAGATTATCCTCAGTCAGTGTTGTCATTTCCAAACACAAATGTCTGATTTTTAAAATTGCTCTGAATTTTGATACCAAACTTGCCTTCCCACATGACCCAGCTGCTATTTCTGTTCCTTGTTGGGAGGGATGTTGAGAATTAAGGATGTGCTGCCTTAATCACTTACAAGGAGCAATAGCAGTAATTTTTAACCAGAAATTAGTTCTGTCCATTGTGCAAATGGCAATGACATAGGAAGTGCATGTGCTGATAGATCAGAACACGTTCGCTCTCTGCATTTGTCACTTGTTCGGCACATCTTGTGCTTCAGAAAGTAAGTGGGTGCTTTATATTTGGGGAAAACAATGCAACGTGGATATTTTACCTACAGTGCAGGACTGATCTTATTCTGAGAGGTGAGTGGAAGCTTTGGAGGGTAAATTAGTTGCTATAATTGGATGGTTACAAAGAGCATTGGCAGAACCAGGTATTATATGTCCTAATAATTAGCAAATGGGCTAATGCAGGGAAGGAAATAACCTGATGAAATTGAAGTGGGAGATTCACTGAATTGCAGTTTCAAGTGCAGAAAATATTCTTAGAAGTGAGTTTCAACTTGAAAATCTTGTTAAAAATAGAGAATGTAATTTAATGCTCCACCTTGGGGTCCAAAGAACATGTTGTGAAGAAGCTTAAGGCTGAACACATGGAATTGCTTCATCTGAGAGGAAAGATTATTTGCTGTGAAACTGGAGTTAATGTATACCTGGCAGAAAAAGATACAGAATTTGTGTAGCATTGTCTCTGTCTTTCAAGGTGGGCAGGGGGAATGTGTTCTACTATTCTTGAGCAGACACCAGCAAGTTGCTTTCTGTTCAGATGTTTATTGAAGCATGAGGAGCTCATCCTTCCCAGTACTGTGCCAGAAGTATTCTTATTTAGTACATATTTCAACCTGAAAATTAATCCTTGGACTGCATCCGAGTTTGATCTGTGCCCCAAGGAGGGATTGAAAAATTAAATCCAATCCATACAATGTATAATGAGGAGAGGTGGAGTTGGAAATCTGTACGAGTGTTGGGAATCTCCTTGTCTGTTGTGGGGAGGTTTGATTACAAGATGTCTGAGCAAATGTAGGTCTGGATTCATTTGTTTTAAGTAGAAGAGGTGTTTGCTCTGGTAATCTGCACTGTGACAGGATTTATCCTATGTGAAAATAGATTAGGCCTTGGTACACACAGACGTGCACACCAGATATTGGCAAAACATTGCCTCCCCATTCTCCTTACCCCCACTACAATCCTAGCACATGTGTTTTGTATAGTTGGGTGCTACTCCCTAAACTAGAGGAGGAAATCTGCATTCATTTGTCTTCTCATTGATACTCAGTGCTTTACAGTAATTTAAGTGCACCCTTCAAGGTCCTACAAACACCCATAAGGTGAATGGCTAACTTTTATCGGGGGATTGTTGGCCAGGGGGGTGGGAAGAAACTCGCTTCTCTTCAAATATTACCCCTTTAAAGTCATCCTGAACGGTTTTGTCAGTTTAACATCTTATCCAAAGGACAGCACCTCTTCACAATACACTAATTCCCCCATTGAGTCACGGAGCACGTACAATTAGCCGTAGGTAGCTTTCCGCCTGGGACCTGGTGGTATTTTTAGTGCCGTTTTGCTGCAGGTTCTAGTATAAATGGGTCCCACAAGTTCCAATTCTCACCTGTTTGCCGCTCCAATACTGTACAGCTGAACAAACAGTAAAATTACTGCCTCCTTCCCCAACACTCTTTTTGATTGGAGCAATATTTGTGCAAAGCTAGAATTTGCTTAAGTAGTTGATCATGAGGAAATAATTCGGGGAAATCAACAGCAGAGTCCAGGTACAAGTCATTTGCTGCCCGCTCTTGCGAAATGACCCAGCAAATGCATCAATGGGAGTTCAGCGACATAAAATCTCATTGTAGAGTAAAACAAATACCCAGCAGTATTTTCAAGATTATAACAACAACAACAACAAGATTCCATTTATAAAGCGCCTTTCACGTCAGGAGGACTTCCCAAGGCGCTGCACAGTTGGGTCATGACCCGAGCAGGGGGGAAATGGTCAGGGTGAGGGGAGGGAAGGGAGGGAGCGAGGAGGGGGGAAATGGTCAGGGGGAGGGAAGGGAGGGAGCAAGGAGGGGGAAATGGTCAGGGTGAGGGGAGGGAAGGGAGGGAGCGAGGAGGGGGAAGAGAGTCGAGAGGGGAGCTGAAGGCACGGTCAAAGAGAAAAAGGTCTTGCCTACCCTAAAGGTCTTGCCTACCCTTCCAAACCTCTGGGGAGCCACTTTGAGTTGTATAATTTGAGTGAAGTACTGGTGACTCATTGGGTTTACCTGCTAGATGGTGTAATATTGAACTACACAGACCCAAGCCAGTCCCAAGTTCATTCCCTGGCGTGTGCTGATTAGCCTGGCTTGGAGCAGGGACTCTGAAACTGGCTTTCTGCTCCTGGATTACGAGGCAAAATACAGTTTCAATACCATCTTCACATTGCTATCTAGCGAGCCTTGCTATAATCAAACCCCCATCTATATAAGCTACAAAATCTGTAGATTTAAATGCCCATGGCTACTTGAGTGAGGCACTAAGAACTAGTATTGCTTGTGGAATTGTACCCTGATTTGAGTTTCTTTCAGCAACAGATTGTTGTCACTTGGGACCCAGAGTTATTTTGATGCAGAGTCGCCTCAGGTTCTGAAATAAATGGGTCCCAACAGGCTAGAGTTGTTGTAGCAGTGGTTACAACAACCAAGTACCCCAGAATAATGTTCTGCCTTTAAAATTGAAGCAAACCAACATTCAGTTACTATTGTGTATTTAATTGCTCTTTGAATTGCTTTGATCTGTTAAAAAATAAAGTTCTTTATTTTTTTTACCAGTTTTAACAAGTTGTTGGGTCTGTTGCTTTGTATTTTCAGTAAGGGTGGTGCAAGAGAATAAGTGTAGTATGGGGTGCTGTGTAAACTAGTTAGTGTGGGGGAGAGAGGAAGGGTTTAATTGGAGTAGGGGGCAGGTCAGAGTGAGAAACCTTGGTTTCCTGCAGCTGTGTTGATAATAGTTGGTCCTCTCTAGGGTGTAGACTTTAGTAATATCTGTTTAAATCTGCGCCAACCAGATTGGATTCCAATTTTAGTCTTGCTTGTGGTGGCAAAACTTGTGTTTAGGGTCCTGTCTGCAGGTGTGACTTCCAAGGTGCTTGAGCCTTTCTTGACCATCTGCTCTCTTACAGATCAAAAAGCTGGCAGGCTGACACGGACGGGAAGCCTTTCACAGGACGGACTTTCTGGCAACTGACCATTTAGCTGGTGAGGGCATACATTTTTATGTATTTCACTTTATAAACTGGTCAACACTACCAATTTAGATGCTGCATGAGTCACATTTGAAGCAAAGCACACTCAAAATTATAGTCCAAATATACTTGCATCCTGTGTTACATGTTGAACATTTAATTGCACCTGGGTCAAATATAGACCATCTTCTACGTTACCATAAAGGTACAATATTTCTATTTTTAAATAAAAATAGATGCAGTTTTTTACTTGGATCTAAGGAGTGGCCATTTGACAGAGTTTTGAAAGGTCACAAACCCAAATGTTAATCTGTCTATTCTGGATTCTGATTGTCTGGCATTCCTGTTTTATAATTTCTTAAATATTTGTTTTTTTCCTGTTTTGCGTCCATTACTACATATCGTCCATTCCAGCACTCAACACATAATGGCAAATATTTGCCTTCCCCTTATTAAAAGTTTCCTCGTTAATGATTTGAATGTTGTGTGATTAAGCCTATATTAAGTTATTAAGGGGGGGCGGAAGGAGGGTTACAGTTAAATGTAACCTGGCATTGCAAGGAACAGTCATAGCTGTAGAGCAGAGTAGCGACTTGAGAGATGAAGAACAGAGTGAGTCAAGTAGGGACAATTGTTGCCAAACGTTTAAAGATATAATACATAATTAATAATAATTCTTGCATTTGATATAGCTCTTTTTCATGTCTTCTAGACAACTCAAAGCGCTTCACAGAATATACTGTAAAGTGAATTGACTGTATTTGTGGGCGAAACGCAGCAGCCAATTGCACACAGCAGTGTCCCACAAACAGTCGTGGATTGAACATGATCAATTTATTATTGTATTGTTTTGGAGGGATTATTATTAGGCGTGTGGAGTAAGGAAACTTGCCCAAGGTTTCGCCCTGTGCCTGGAATTGAACCCAGGTGTCTCGCGTGCAAGGCGAGTGCTCTAACCACTGAGCTATAGGGCTCCACAGCGATTCCCAGCGATCACATATCCCCTTGAAAAATAAAAATACCACTGGAAAAGTGGTTCAACCTTGGCTAACTAGAGAAGTTAGGGAAAGTATAAAATTAAAAGAAGAGACCTATAATACTGCCAAAAAGAGCAGTAAATCCGAGGATCGGGAGGGCTTTAGAGATCAGCAAAGGAAAACCAAGAAACTGATTAAGAGGGAGAAGATGGAATATGAGAGTAAACTAGCTAGGAACATAGAAGATTGTAAGAGTTTTTACAAGTACATAAAGAGGAAGAGACTATCAAAAGTGAATGTGGGTCCATTACAGGCAGAGAACGGAGAAATTATAATGGGGAATAAAGAAATGACAGTCATTAAACAATTATTTGACTGCTGTCTTCATGTTAGAGGACACTGAAATTTACCGAAAATAGAGGGGAACCTGGAAGCTAATGTTAGTGAGGAACTTAAAGAAATGAACATCAGTAAAGCAATAGTACTAGGAAAATTGATAGGATTAAAAACCGATAAATCCCCTGGACCTGATGGCCTCCATCCTAGGGTTTTAAAAGAGGTAGCTGCAGAGATAGTGGATGCTTTGTTTTTGATCTTCCAAAATTCCCTGGATTCTGGAATGGTTCCCAGTGATTGGAAGATCACAAACGTATCGCCAATATTTAAGAAGGGTGGGAGACAAAAAATGGGGGACTATAGACTAGTTAGCCTGACATCGGTGGTAGTGAAAATTCTAGAGTCCTTAGTTAGGGATGTCGTTGTGGGTTATTTAGAAAATTGTAACATGATTAGGCTGAGTCAACATGGCTTTACGAAAGGGAAATCATTTTTAACAAATCTTAGTTTTTTGAGGATGTAGCTAGCAGGTTAGATAGGGGGGAACCAGTAGATGTGGTATATTTGGATTTCCAGAAGGCATTCGACAAGGTGCCAGTTAAGATTGCAGCCCATGGAATTAAAGGCAATATATTAGCATGGATTGGAGAGTGACTAACAGGAAGAAAATGGGAGAGTAGGGATAAACGGGTCCTTCTCAGATTGGCTGGTTGTGACCAGTGGAGTGCCACAAGGATCAGTGCTTGGGTCTCAATTACTTAGTCTATACCAATGATTTAGATGAGGAAATATATTTTAATATATCTAAATTTGCGGACGATATGAAGATAGGTGGGGGTGTAAACTGAGGGTGTCACACGAAGAAAGCAAAGGGAAATAGACAGGCTAGGTGAGTGGGCAAGAAGATGGCAGATGGAGTATAACGTAGGGAAGTGTGAAGTTATTCACGTAGGTAGTAAAAATAGAAAAGCGGATTATTTTCTAGAGGGGGAGAGACTAGGCAGTGTTAGTGTTCGGAGGGATCCGGGTGAGACCGCACCTAGAACATTGTGTGCAGTTTTGGTCTCTATTTAAGAAAGGACATACTCGCCTTAGAGGGGGTGCAGCGTAGATTCACTAGGTTGGTTCCTGGGATGAGGGAGTTGACCTATGAGGATCGGTTGAGTAAACTAGGCCTATATTCTCTAGAATATATAATAATTAGAGGTGATCTTATAGAAACCTATAAGATTCTGAAGGGTCTTGACAGGGTAGATGCTGTGAAACTGTTTGGAGAATCTAAAACTAGGTGTCATGGTCTCAAGATTAAGGGTCAGCCTTTTCGAACTGAGTTGAGGAAACATTTCTTCACTCAGAGGGCAGTGAATTTGTGGAATTCTCTACCCCAGAAGGCCGTGGATGCTCAGTCCTTGAACATATTCAAGACTGAAGTTGATAGATTTCTAAAGGATAGAGGGGTTAAGGGATATGGGAATAGGGCGGGTAAATGGAATTAGGATAGAAGATCAGCCACAATCTTATTAAATGGCAGGGCAGGCTCGAAGGACCGAATGGCCAACTCTTGCTCCTAAACATTTCTCTGCCCATTCAAGGATTATTGTTTCCATCTGAGATCATGTCTTCCTGGTATGAATGGAAACTGAAGCTGACAAACTGGAATGACTGCTTTACTCAAAGCAGTCTACCTTACTGCTGACAGCTTTGTATTGCATTTCTGAAGATTTGTGTCTGCAATCCATAAAGATGTTAAATTTTACAGAATATTTGGATGATTAAATCATACGTTATGTAGAAAGATTTTGAAGTTTCTTGTGATGTTAAATGTAATTCCTTTTATATTTGCATAACTTCAGATGTATGACCTGCCACCCAATTGAGGTTAAGTGGCATGATGCAGTCTCCAAGAACTTAATTCCTAAAGATTTTGTTTGTGTTCAATCCTGTAAATGTACCTCTGTACGTTTTCTCTGTTTTTATTGGTAATATATAGAGGGGAAAAGAAAGAGAGCTAACTAATTTGTATAGGTTAAATCTATTGACTGGGGTCTCTGGTATGGCATAGTGGTCTTCAGTTTCCATTTGATCACCTTTTGAAAGAACCAGTCTAATTATACAAGATTTCTCCCATTGATTTCCTTGTTAGTATCACGGTGAGCATTTGTGCATAGTAAAGAAGGTGCGACTGCCACTAGTTATGATGACACCAGAAACGAATATAGCATTGCATGACGAGTTCTACCCAAAATGTCTGCTTCGCAGCTGCATTTAAACCAGGACATGGAAAGGATTGAGGAAGAGTAGTTAAATGTACTAGTTGCTCCCTTTACAACACTTGCCACTGTGATTGTTCAGCAGCCGATACTGAGCATACGTTTGAGGTTGGAGTGTATGTAATCATGGTTCTTTATTTCAGTGGCATACCCGGACCTCGTGTACGTGGGATATCGACAATGAGCTCCGTAGCAGTACTGACGCCTGAAAGCTTTGCTGAGCACAGGAGCGGCCTCAGTGAACAGCAAGCCAAAGGTCAGTGCCAGGGCTTCCAGCTACTATGACAGTTGTACAGGTTAAATCATTAAATGCAGACCCTTCCAACAGTAGCTTCCATCACACATCTCAACATTAACACCGAATGGAGGGAATTGAGCATTCAATTCTCAAAATGAGTTCAAGTCCTGGGGTGATTTAAGTCTGGTGAGTCTCTCCTTTGTCCCCACAAATCATCTTATCTGACTGTCAGTCAGTCACTGATTCAGCCGGGTGAGTTTCTAGTGTTCTTGGCAGCACTATTGGAACAAGACACAGTATCATTGTTCCTCTTTTGTGGAAGGAGAATGTTCATAGAACAGCTTGAACCTCTTAAACTTGAAACTTGTAGGGCTTTGTTACAGAATGACTGACATAGCAGGCTGATGGCTGCAGTTGTGTGTAAGGAAGGGATTGGCATTATGGCCCTCAGCAAAACATTAGTTAGCAACCTAGGTTGAATATATTTGTATCTGGGGAATCGGATCATTTGTCTTTTCCTCCCTCTCTAAGTTGTTATATCTCACTGTCGCCACCTGAGCTATCCTTCATTTCTCCTGATGATCGGTAATAACTGCCTTTACACACAGTGCAGGTTTGGTTTCCAGATTTGGAAATTATTCTTGTGTTTAATGTTTGCACAAAGATTCCATTCAGAAGGTGCATGCTGCTTAAACACAGGGCTTCCTCACAAAGGCATGTAATGGGATATCTTTAGTAGAAAGGACTTTTTTTTTACACAGTGATTCAATTTACAGTCAGTGTGAATATTACTTGCACATATTCCATTTGTGCTTTAAATTATTGACTATTAATATTTCTATCACTTTTAAGAGTGTGGTAGGAGGAAAGAGCATTTGTTCCTTATCTTTTTAATCTGCTGTTGAACACCATCTCCTAGCAGATGGGCATTCAGCTTTCAAAACTTCACTAATGATGTTGTATAAATGCAACAGGGAGGGCAAGGAAATAGTGGTCTTTATTTTGATGTGTTGATTCATTGGATTGGCCAAATTTAGTATAAAAATAGTTTTGACTAATGCATTACTACAAACTTGGTTATATGTGTTTTTAAGGCTCTTCACTCTTGCTAACCTTAAATGTCATTCTCATGGTTACATTACGAGTTTCGGACACTAAGTGATTGTCTTGTTTGGCCTGTAGCAAATGTTGGTTCTGAAGATGAGACTGATGTAGTCCCGACCTACAAAGAAGCCTTCCCTCCTCTACCTGAGAAAGTTGTTTCTGTCGAGGCAGCAAACGAACCAGCTGGAGCATGGACCAAAATCCGACCACTTAAATCTTCACTTATCACTCAGGTATGATGTATAGCTCTGCAACCTCAGCAAAATGGGGATTATGGTAACATAATGCAATTGTAGCATCCCAACTTGGTATTAATACTTTTGAAGCTGCAACCTCCTAGTTTGTATGGCCTTGTAATTCACCGAACAGGAATTAATCTTTGCTATTGAATTTGGGGGGGTGTGGGGGCATTTGATTCATGCTAGATCTGTTAAATGAGAACTCTGGAGCAGGTGTTTTGGTGGGCTGGATAGACGTTTCTGAAATCTGTTTATACGTGATGTTTCTGCTAAAACCTGGTTCCTTACTGGATTTCATCAGGTCTTTCATGTCCCTTTGGAAGAGCGCAAGTACAAGGAAATGAACCAGTTTGGGGAAGGAGAGCAGGCCAAGATCTGTCTGGACATCATGCAGAAGACCGGCGCACACCTTGAACTCTCATTGGCCAAGGATCAAGGTCTTTCCATCATGGTTTCTGGAAAACTTGAGGCTGTCATGAAAGCAAGGAAGGAGATTGTGGCAAAGCTTCAGACTCAGGTAAGTTTCTGCAGTTGGGGTGGGGGGAGAACATGATCTGATCTTGGTGATCTGGTCATTCAAAAGCAATTTAAGTACACTGTTAAGAGTGGCAATTTATGTGGTATTTGACATTTTCAGATATGTACCTGGTGTGTGGGCTTATAACCTAGTATTTTACTGCCCATGTTTATTTAGCTGTCTTGAAATCTGCCCAGGGATCTTTGACTGCCTGTATCTAGGTGTCTGTGCTTGTCCTCGTCTAACTGGCTGTGTTCGTCCTAGGCATCAGCAACAGTCGCCATCCCGAAGGAGCATCATCGTTTTGTGATTGGAAAGAACGGAGAGAAACTGCAGGAGTTGGAACTGAAAACGGCAACAAAGATCCAGATCCCTCGGCCTGATGACCCCAGCAACCAGATCAAGATAACTGGGACAAAGGAAGGAATTGAGAAGGCTCGGCACGAAATCCTGCTCATCTCTGCTGAACAGGTACCCAACGGGTGATGCTGTAACAATGAGGTTTTGTTAGTTGCGTCAATAACATACAGTGATATTTGCAGAACAAATTAAGTACTTTGTTATTCCTTGAAAGCTTTCTGAATCTTCTCGCTGCCAATGTTTATTTTGACAGGAGAATAATTTAATAATAGCATTTTATATCTGATTCAAAACGCTTTGCTGAATTGTTCTGTTACCATATAACGCGTTCTAGAGACATAACTATGATCTAGCTCTCACACAAAATCACACAAATGGGCTTCCAGCCAAGACCTTATTTATGTTAGTCTATTTGGCCGCAGCAGCAGGAATGCTAAGGCCTGTTGAAGGGTCTTGACTGAGTTAGCTATCTTAGCACAGTTGGACCTTTCTAGGCTCTGGTTCAGTACCACTTGGGCAGTACTTTGTGCTATCAGAACTCAAAGTATTTGGGGTTTCCAAAGTGTTGGACACTCGAAAACCTTTGTGTCAATTACTAGAAAGAAATATATCTTCAACGAAGGCAAATGCTAAAAGTACACAACACGTAGACTAAGATTAGATAGCATTGTAAACTACTGTTTGTATGTGATCATTCGGCAGAAAGTGACTGATGGAAGCCAAGCACAAGTTAATACATATTATTCGTGTAGAGGCTGGTGCACCTCCCTTTCCAGTGTTTGCTATTAAAGAGAACCTTTTCCTTGAGTAAAATATCTTCCTTTTCATTTAGGATAAGCGTGCAGTGGAAAGGATTAACATTGAGAAGGTCTACCATCCCTTCATTGCCGGAGCCTTCAACAAGGTCTCTGGAGAAATGATGCAGGAGACGGGGACTCGAATCAACATCCCTCCTCCGAGCGTCAACAAGAACGAGATTGTCATCACTGGGGAGAAGGAGCAAGTAGCGCAGGCTGTAACTCGCATCAAGAGGATCTATGAGGAAAAGGTAAGGCACATTGGTGTCGGGAAATAGTCTGCTTACAGAATGCACATCCACTTGCAATGTCTCCCAGCAAGCACAATGTTACAGATTACTCCACTGGCACTAATCCAACTACCTTGTGTTTATTCCCAATAACTCTGCCAGCCAGCACCTTGTCACTGACGATCTCTTCTGATGGTAATCCTGCTCTCTCGTACTGTCAGGCTCAATAAATCCTAGTTAGTACCCTGTGTTACTGACTGTATTTACTGATAGTCCATGTCCCTTGTGCTTAAGGATTTTTTTCTCAGATATTGGAGTTCTGTGATGACTATTGACTCCTTGAAGCTTTTCCTTTAGTGACTTGTTGGAGAAACGTATTGTCTCTTGCTTGCCTCATTTTTATATTAAAAAATTGTCCTTCCAGAAAAAGAAGACCACAACAATTGCTGTGGAAGTGAAGAAATCTCAGCACAAGTATGTTATTGGTCCCAAAGGCAACTCCTTGCAGGAGATTCTGGAGCGCACCGGAGTCTCAGTCGAAATCCCACCCTCGGACAGCAACTCTGAAACCGTCATCCTTCGCGGCGAACCCGATAAACTTGGACAGGCTTTGACCGAGGTCTACGCTAAAGTAAGTGATGTTAGCACTAAACAAGGGCACCAAATTTTTATGCTCTGGTCAATCAAGCCATGTTCAACTTGGGTTATATAAAGTGTCTTAGATTTACCTGTATCAAATTCTCTTTTCTGTACTTGGAAAAGACATCAAAAGTTATTTTCTATGTTGTCTTGGATTTGTAGGTATGAGCGTCCCATGAATTTGTAACTGTTTAAGTGCTAAACAGTTAAGTGTGTGGCATGGGGGAGGGCGAGAGAATAACTTGTAGAAATTTGAAAGGCAATTGTATGTTAATTTTTGTATCATTTTTGTGTAGATTAGAGATTGAGCATGACTGAAAGCTTGCCTGCACGAATCAATGTCTTTGAAAGGGAAGAGAAGCCAAAAAAAAGGCAGCTCTGAGTATCAAGTTCTTCTTGTGACACTGAGCAACCTTGTTCTGTCTAAGCTTGTTTCACTCTTTCTAATATTCACTGATGAGCCCTCATTTTCTCTGTCCTTTTCAAGGCTAATAGTTTTACTGTGGCGACTCTGACCGCCCCAGCCTGGCTCCATCGATTCATCATCGGGAAGAAGGGACAAACCCTGAGCCGCATCACCCAGCAGACCCCAAAGGTACAGTAACTGAAGTAAATTTGAGCTGAACATCATCCCGTTTGAATTATGTGCAAGGCGGCTGGGAGGGGTTGGTTAATGGTCTTAATTTTCCTCCCAAGTCCATTGTAGTGAAAGATCAGAGGGTTTGTGCCCCGTCCATGAGCGTTGCACTGAAGTAGAATGTGGATGGTCAGATGCTCCTATTGGAGTGACTTTGAGGAGTCTGTAGCCAATTAACCGGCCCTGATGCCTAATGGAGGAAACAAGAGGTGAATCTGAACATTGGGTATCAAACTGAATGTATTTCTGTCTATAATTCTGTTGGTTCAGGTACACATCGAATTCACTGATGGTGAAGATAGGATTAGTATGGAAGGCCCAACCAAGGAAGTGAAACAAGTTCAGGAGCAGATTCAACTTATTGTGGAAGACCTGGTGAGTGACTTTAGAATTAATTGCAAACCCAAACTGAATTATCCTAGAGATGAAAGTTCACTGATTATTGTCTCTTGGGGGTTGCGGTCCCAGAATTGGCAAAAATCTTGTGACCTAATGGATAATGCTTGATTGCTCTATTCATAGACAAAAGTTATGAAAATCTATTAGTTTTTGTCTATGGTTGTTTTAAATTTTTTTAAGTTTAAAACCTGCTTGGTTAATTGTCTGGAGCAATGACTTTCATTGAATGTTGCACTGGCCAGGTGAGAAATTTTTACTGTATCTTTGAACACCATCTTACCAGTTGTGAGGCATAAATTTAAATTGAACCTACGCTGAAAAGGATCAGCTCTGCCAGTCTTGGTGAAATATGTTGTGGGAGCAGTTTGAAACCAGGTTTTGGTGGGTGGGCAATCTGAGCACAAAATTGTCTGTTATAGAATTAATTAGTATTCCATTTCTTGCTGAGACATTAGTTTTGTTTACTGAGATGGCGCTCCCTGGTATAGGACAGGAACCTCCAACGCACATTTGTGCATCCTTTTTACGTAGGGTGAAGTTTGACTCGCCATCATGTATTCATTTCAGGTAAACCGCATGGACTACACCGAAATTACAATTGATCCCAAGTTTCACCGCCATCTAATCGGGAAGAGTGGAACAAATAGTAAGTAGCTTGAATTGTGTAGAAATGTGAACTATTTAGGGCCAGATTGCTTCTAAGGATGGTTGAAAGATAAATAGGCACTGAATATCTGTTAAGTAATGATATATCTTTGATAATTGTTTATTACACATGGTAATCGACAGTTGCAGTTTTTTTGTTCACCAAGGACGGTGATTGAGAGCGGTACACTGGACTTGTTAAGAATTATCTTAATGCTCTTGTAGGATGATGGTAGGATTAGTATTCCGGAAGGAAGAGCCTAAGGGGCCTCCGTTGACTGATCTATAAAATTCCTGAGGACTAAATCACTAGATGGCCTTGGTGTCATCCCACATCTGGCTGCTAGCCAGAGTGGTATCTACTGTGATCTGAAAATAGTGCATGACCTGGAAAGATTTACAGAGAGGAGAAAATGTCTGAATTTGAGCTTGAGTGCACTTCAATAAATGTATGTAGGTACATTGATGGGAAAGAGTGTGAAAAAGGCACAAAGGCTCATTGAGATGGTTCTCTTGAGCCCCTGCCCCAACCCATGACATGACATCTACCTTCACATCTCATCTGGTGTTGGCCAAATGCCCCCATCACCCTTTAACTGATCAAGCTTGTATTGTGTTGGATTTCTGGTCTGCAGCACCTTAGTTTGTGTCCTCATACCTGGTTGCTTCGATCAACTCGCTTTCTAGCATTGAGGCTTCACTTATTTTACGTATAGTCTTAAAGGTGACCATCGCTCCAGGCTTCAGTATCGCCTGGTACACAGTTCACATAATCACTTGTTTTCCATTGTGCTTTCTAGTAAATCGTATCAAGGAACTGTACAAGGTGTCTGTGCGAATCCCTCCTGACAATGAGAAGAGCAATCTAATCCGGATTGAAGGAGACCCTCAAGGAGTTCGATCTGCCAAGAAGGAGCTGCTAGAGCTTGCGTCCAGAATGGTGAGTGGAGGATTCTTACTTGTTGCTGCCAAAATCCACACTTTATTGGGAGGAAAAGGCTCTTCATAACATGCAGGCCTGCTGCAAGCTTAGTGTGGTTCCATTAATGGTTTTCAGGCTGGTGACTTTCACAAACATTTTTTTTTAATTTCCTGCTGTTCTGCCCTGGATTATCCACCCTGCTCACCAATGTCATCCAGCTTCCTTTCTATTGCTTATCAGGAACTCGCAGGTCAGAAACCTGGCCAGGTTACAGGAGTGGTTAGACAGTAACGCAGTCTCATTTACTGTTACAGCAGGGGCCACTGAATCTGAGAAGCTGATTTTCTTTTTCTTGCGTAACCCGTATGTTTATGTGGTGGGGCCAAATTAGTGTTTCCACCTCGATGTGCTAGGATTTCAATTTGAAAGGAAGTGCCAATGAATAGCAAATGAGATTTACATCGCATTGTGTTCTCTTGAGTTATACTTCTGTAACTTGCAGGAAAACGAACGCACCAAGGATTTGATCATCGAGCATCGCTTTCACCGGACAATCATCGGCCAGAAGGGAGAGAAGGTCAAGGAGATACGTGACAAATTCCCGGAGGTACTGGGCACAGGATGGGCTGACTTGTTTGGTTCTAGTATCACTTCGGTAAGATTACTGAATTCTTGTTGTACTGATTTTTTTTAACTTTCCAATTCAGGTCATCATTAATTTCCCGGATCCAGCTCAGAAGAACGATGTTGTTCAGCTACGTGGCCCTAAAAATGAGGTTGAGAAGTGTGCCAAGTTCCTGCAGAAAGTTGTAGCTGAATTGGTAAGTTTGCACTATGGTATGGTCTCTATGCACTCAGAAAGGTGGGGAGGAAGAGGATATGAACTGGGTAGTGCTGTGTTTTGAATGTAAAGGGGAGGATGTCCTGTCGTGGACAATGTAATTAAGGTTTTCACTATTATGAGTGTGGTGGGGGGTAGGTGTGGAATTCAGCACCTCACGGCCATCGAATTGAATTCAGAAATGGAGTAATAATAATACTTGCATTTGAGATAGCACCTTATTGCGTCTTTGAGACATCTGAAAACACTTCACCGAATATACTGTAAAGTGAATCAACTGTATCTTGTGGGTGAAATGCAGCTGTCAATTGCACACAGCAGTATCCGATGAAGTCGTAGATTGAGTGACCAAATTATTATTTATTGTTTGAAGGGAATATTACTCCCAGAAAAGTGATCCGCCAATCGACTGGATCGGGACCTAGTTACTGCTATGATTGACATGACCATCAAACATCATGTTGCATGAGATTTTGACAATTTAATCAACATAAGATTGGGATTTCATATCTATAAACTCTTAATCTCCCATTGTACTCGTGCATTGAAATGAATAAAGCAGTCACCTGAATCTACACAACTTCTTGGTAACATTCTGTTTGTCTCTCAAACCCAGGTGGAGAACAGCTTTTCTGTTTCTGTGCCCATCTTCAAGCAATTTCACAAGAACATCATTGGAAAAGGAGGAGCAAACATCAAGAAGGTGTGTAACAGTGGTCCGTCTGCTGCTGTGAGGTGAATGGACTGAATGTGATGTTTTACTTGTGTGAAACCAAGTGAAAGGCCAAAGTTGAATGAGTGGGACAGAGGGAGAGATGAATTGATGTAGTGGTTGGACTGCCAAAGTTATTGATCATAGGAGGAAGTGCAGATGTAAATTTTTAAAAGATCGGGTAGGAATACAGAGAAAGTCGCATTCAAAAGAGTAGACCACTTGAGAGGGTTAGATAACCGACAAAATTGACTGGTATAAATTCCCTTCAGTTAATTACTTCCAGATTATACATGGAAATTATAAACTGGGCCATGAGTTTAGAGATTTTTCAGATGGAAGAGTTGTATTCACTTTCTATCAGGCCTGGGGTCTGGTGACAATGGCTTTCATTTGTTCAGACCAGATGAGATTGGTGTCAATTTTTCTTTTCCAGATCCGCGAAGAAACCCTTACAAGGATTGATCTACCGGCAGAGAACAGCAATTCTGAGATGATTGTTATTACAGGAAAGAAAGCCAACTGTGAATTAGCTCGCAACCGGATCCTTTCTATCCAAAAGGAACTGGTATAAAGCGATTTTTCTGCTTGTCCTTCAACTATCTGCTGTGTGAAATAAACCTTTCTTGTAATTGACAGGCTTAGCTATTCTCAGATGACACCATGTATTTTTGTGCCCCGTCACACCTGATTTCACCAGACCTGTCCAAAGACTTAAATGCTGCAAGCCTTTAGGAAGAGTAGGAAATAAATCTCTTTACTTTTGAGAGTGGGAAGAATTTTTAGTGAATGAAACCTTTACTTCCTGAATCATGCTGAAGATAAGTTGGATGCAGACTGGACATCCAAGGATTTCGCACTTGGGGATCCCTGTGCCAGTTATGCAGGACCTGAGCTGAAGGGGTGGGAAGCAGGGAAAAATGGAGAGTGATTTGCTTTGGGCTACCTTCCCAGAATTAATAGCCAGTCAGACCATCACCTACTTGTTTTGGGGGTAGGGGAAGGATGGAACTTAAAGATTTTGAATTTGGGGAAGAGTTCCTGCTTCTTACTACATTTGGAGGGTGCTTTGATCAACTTCACAAAGGGATCAGGATCTGTAATATGCCATTTATGGCATTTTTTTACATGTTTAAATGGTTAATCCCATTCTATAGACATTAACAAAGATTTTCCTATTTTAGCAATTAACAGATTCCAGTCTGTTCCCACAATTGGTAGATTACTCCTATGTTCCCAATCTTGTCCTGTGATAAAGTGGAGATTTCCAAGACTCTGAAATTTCTGAATACATCTATTGCAGGCAAATATCACCGAGGTTGAGGTTTGCATTCCCGCCAAGCTCCATAACTCTCTGATCGGTGCTAAGGGCCGCTTTGTCCGCTCCATCATGGAGGAGTGTGGAGGGGTCCACATACACTTCCCTACTGAAGGATCGGGCAGCGACACTGTCACCATTAGAGGGCATACCGAGGAGGTTGACAAGGCAAAGAAACAACTGCTTCACTTGGCTGAGGAAAAGGTAACCTTGTGCTATCTACAGAAAAGGCAGTGGGTGTGCCAGATTTCATAAAGAATTATCTTTGGGTCACTGGCTTGTGCCTGCATGTTCGTAGACTTACACTTCAGATTCGTTTTTTCTTTCACTCAGCCTAGGATTGGCATACTGCTGAGATAAAGGTGATTTTTCCTTTGTGGGGAAGGGTCAACTCCTGATTGACTGAGATCACAAATCTTTCCTAATGGCGAGAGCAAGTCATGACTTTTGGTTTTCTTTTCTCTCTTTTGCATCCTCCCCAGGGCTAAGCTCTCTTATCTCCAGGTAAATCTTTTCTCTTTTTAAATGTAGCAAATCAAGAGCTTCACAGCAGAGCTGCGTGCCAAGCCAGAGTACCACAAATTCCTGATTGGCCGCGGCGGTGCTAACATCCGCAAGGTGCGCGACAACACGGGGGCCCGGATCATCTTCCCCACAGCAGACGACCAAGACCAAGAACTGATCACGATTGTCGGTACAGAGGAAGCTGTCAAGGATGCTCAGCGAGAACTGGAGATCCTGATCAAAAACCTGGTGAGGCATCTTTCTTAAGAGCTTAAGAAGCCGGAACTCCTCATCACAGGGAACAGTTAGAGGAGAACCCACACCCCCCCAACCCGTGGAGCAGGGTCCAGAAGGCTGTGGTGTTTAAGGGGGGGGTGGGGAGGAGAGAAATAGCCACTATTATCCTTGATGCACCACTGATTCCCAGAGCTTATCGCCTCACCTGTCTAATCATTATAATCTCTAAATTGGGTGGTTCTTGGACGTGTGTCCTATTATCACATAGTCTCTGTACCACCAGCTTCCTGTCTTTGGGTGTTCTTTTTTGTGCAACCCGAGTGATTTTCATTGGTGTCATGCGATCTTGTAATGAGGGTCTTTGGGCTTGCAAAGTATTCCCTGCCCTAGAAGGGAAGCTTAAGTAACTTTATTTTTAAAAAAAAAAGTTGCCTTCTCTAGAGTTCTGGCCCAAGAAAAATACTGCAGGATGTTTTGCAATAATGGGCTTGAATACAGAGGTGACATCACCATGGTAAAGAATGAGTTTAAGGTGTTACTGAGTGATCAAATCTGCCACACGTCTGCTTTTTTTGTTCTCTCCCCTGCCTTTACAGGATAATGTCATCGAGGATGTGATGACTGTTGACCCCAAACACCACCGTCACTTTGTGGCGCGCCGTGGACAAGTATTGCGGGACGTCGCAGATGAATATGGTGGGGTGATGGTCAGTTTCCCTCGTACCGGCACTCAGAGTGATCGTGTGACACTGAAGGGAGCCAAAGATTGTGTGGAGGCAGCCAAGAAACGCATGCAGGAGATCATCGAGGACCTGGTAAGGAGGCGAGGCTCTGGTGGAACGGACCTGTAGTGAGTTAAATGCTGAAGAACACTATGCTGAGGCTGGTAACTCTTTCTGTTTTGCTATAGGAAGCTCAGGTGACCATTGAGTGTGTGATTAACCAAAGGTTTCATCGCATGGTGATGGGTGCTAAAGGCTTAAAGGTACAGCAGATCACCAAGGACCACCTCGTGCAGATCAAGTTTCCTGAGCGTGAGGAGAATCCAGGTACAACCCCATTTCGTTCCTATCTCCCATTTCATTGTGTGATTGTTACAGCCAACTTTAAGACCATAACAGTGAGAACAAGACTACTTGCGATCAAGTTTGTCTTTTCTGGGATGCGGACTATAAATAGATGCAACGTGCAAGAAGCCTCCTACAATGTGAAATATCATCACCTGTGATGTTTAGCCAGCACATGTTGCGAAACTGATGTGATCATTTTTACCAATCTCCTCTGTCTCCTCAGTGGGTCTAAAATACTTTTCACTGATGTACATGTTAGACACCAGTATCTCCCAGCTCCCAGGCTGAACTACACTTCTTTATTGCTAACGAGAGCAATTTGTAACTCAACGTCTAGTGTTGCAGGGCTGATGGTGCACTGGAGTAGAACAAGATCTTATGCATCACATTGTCCCACAGGGCCTGAGCTACAGCACGTACATGAGAACGGAGAGACCAATGGAGAAGTTAAAGTTGATCCCACAGTCCCAAAGAAGAACGATATCATTATTATTTCCGGAAGGAAGGAGAGATGTGAGGCCGCTAGAGATGCTTTGCTGGTATGTTGCATTTCACATTCCTTCAATGGGAATGAGTGAAAACGGGTGCTTGATGAGGCAGTGCAGCCCTTGTGCAAAATTGTTTCCTTTGTTCAGTTAATACCCATTATTTCTAGTGGTTATTACTATATTTACCACACTGTATACCTGCTGACAGTGGTAGACCACAATCAAATAAACATTTGCGATCAAGCAGCGTTGAGTAAGAGATCCACATATATTCTGGTATTCCCAAGTGAAGTATTCTATCACCAGGTCAGACAGATAGACTGTACGTGCAATGAGTTTCTTGGCTTTGAATGTGGCAGTGCAAGCTTTCTACAGATTGATACCATAGATTTCTACAGAGTGATACCATAGATGTGTTTTCCTGCATTATTACTGCACACAAAGAGATGTTTTATTTTTGTAGTTCTGCAATTTGCTCTTGCAGTGACAACCACTCTGCGGTTGTGTTGTATGGTGGGTAGGGAAGAGGAGGTGAGGGAAGGTGACAGGAGGTGAAGCACGTTTGGACCTCTTAGTGACCAGTTATAACAAAAGTAAAGGATGAACTTTTGGAACAGGATAAAGTAGTGATAAAACTGAAATTACAGACCTTTTTTAAAATTTAAGATTCTTAATTTTACAAACTGTTTTTAATTGTGACCTCCAGTTTGAAAATCTAAAATGGTGGTTGGACTTGAGATTCACAAAATGGCTAATCCCAAAAGTCAGCAACTGTATTAACTGGCAATTAGAGCTCCTATGGAAGCAGCCAGTTAAGTTGTTTTTTGGTGAGTTACCTAATTCCCTCTAGAAATCAGTATTTATACAGACTTTCCCTCAGGAGATAAAGCAGGTTGAATGATGGGCTGAGTTGTAAATGCTCTGTGATATCCAAGTAGCTAGCTGTTCATGCTTGTATCTTTATAATAGGCCCTGGTTCCCGTTACTATCGAGGTGGAAGTACCCTTTGACCTGCATCGTTATATCATTGGCCAGAAGGGAAGTGGTATTCGCAAGATGATGGAAGAATATGAGGTAAAAACACTGTATGGAGGTGGTGGTGGGGGAAAGGGACTAGAAGGTTATACAAGATACTAGCACATAAGTGTCACTCTGTCTCAACTGGAGGCACACTCGCCTTTCAATCCAAAAGATTGTGAGCTCACACTCTATGTCAGGACTCTGGAGCTGATTATCTAGACAGATGCATTGCAAAGTTGTAAGAATGCTGTATTGTTGAAGGTACCATCCTTCACTTGTGACATTCATGCAAGGTCCAGTCTGCCTGTTCAGGTGAATGTTGAAGATCCCAGGGCTTCTATTAGAAAAGAGAAGGGAGTTCCTCAGATCAAATTAGCTATGTACTTCATGTCCACAGGACAGTTCTGTGTTTAGAATGGCTGCTGTGTTTGCCTACACTGTATCGTTGCATTCTAACTCTTGAATTGTTAATTTGAGGTACGATCCAGTACAAAGATAATTAAATGGGCACATGCAGCCAATCTGAATCAAAGGACAGAAAGAATGTGTGTCATAACGTTGGCCATTGTATTTTTGAACCGAGGTCTTTTCAAGTAATTTTCATGAAGCTTTTACCTTTTCTGTACTAGATTTTCTCCTATTGATTGTATTTGTTTCCCCATGTGCTCCCTGGAGACTTGCCCCTTTGTATCTCTCATACATATTTTTCACCTGGGTGTCTAGCATCTCATGGTCTCTTCAGCTGAAACACAGCTTCACATTTGAGTTTGATCCTGTCCTTAGGAATCACCAACTAGTGATCAAGACCTTTTTTTCTTCTGCCTGGGACCCTCAAACCAAATGAACTCCTCGAGTGATGTATGTTTTTTGAAAGTCTATAACACGTTTGAAGTGTTAAACTGATCTTAATCTAGCTGATCTCATCTTTCTCTGTCATCTGTGAATCAGCATATTGTGTGTTATCTCATGCTGCCAAGAAAGTGGGGACAAGACAGGCTGACAGTGGGAGGAATCGTGCAGATCGAGTCTGACATCCCTGTTTACTAACCTGCAAAATGGTGGCCCTAGCAGAAAACTGGGATCAATTCTATTGAAACTATTTAATTTGCAGTTTTGTGGTAGAATTGCATTTAACGTTGTGCCAAGGGTGCTGAACCGCATCACTTTAATTCAGGGCAGGGAGCAAACACCCATAAGTGCCTTCAAGTGGGAATTGTAAATGGGAATTAACCTGTCATTCATCAGTTTTAAAGAGTTGCTGTTAATTCTTTGGTATCTGTTTTCAAATCTAGGTGAACATTGCTGTGCCCCCTCATGAGGAGCAGTCTGATACCATCAGAGTTACAGGGCTGGTTGCCAATCTGGACCGAGCCAGGGATGGGCTAACTGAACGAGTCAAAGAGCTGCAGGCAGAGCAGGAAGACCGGGTAAGCAAACTCACTCGGCAAGACTATGGAAATTGGATCCTGCTTTCAATAGAATGGTTCCTTCTTGATTTGATCACTGCCTTGCTTTTTCTCTTTCCCTCTGTTCACTTTCCTTTCCCACCACCCAATTTCAAGTGCTGCTGCCCAAAACTTGGTAGATGTTGGAAATCTTTCTCTGAGAGACTTAGTGTGGGAGTGGAAAAGTCCCTACTGGTGCGGTAAGCGGTTGGGGGGGTCTCAGGTTGTGGCCTAAAACACTTTGTGGATGGAGTTGAGGAAACGGTTTGGCAGCTAACTATCTTGTATTGACCTGAGAATGTTTGATGGTGGCACTGAAAAAAAAACCAGAGGAGCTCAAATTGAAATTACTGTTTCAATTATTGTAAGACTGGCTGTCTGTTGGCCTCAGTGCACTGCATCGTATTATCACTTGTGGAATTAATGACTGGTACTTGATCTTTGCAGTGCACTGAAATGCAGTGGTGTTTATATTAAAAACAAATGCTGCCCAAGATTGTGTGGGCAGGCATGAATTTTAATTGAATCAGCCAGGTGGCATAGTTGAGGTTCTGTTGCTGGTTGTGAATTGACTCTAACCAGCTTTTTTTTAACATGGTCTCTTGTAGGCTCTGAGAAGTTTCAAGTTGACCATCTCTGTGGACCCCAAATATCATCCAAAGATCATCGGCAGGAAGGGTGCGGTTATCACTCAAATTCGCATCGACCATGACGTCAACATACAGTTCCCCGATAAGAATGATGAAAACCAGGTGGGGATTTGGGGCTGTTCTCATACTCTGCTTCCTGAGCAGAGCCAATCTGTTAGTTGGTAAAAGAGATGAAAATAGAAATCCATCAAATTCCCACATCGACAATCTTAACTTTACCAACAATCAAAAGAATTGGAAGCTTCTGTGGATGATGGTAATTGGGGCAGGGCATTGTTGCCCAGTTCAGCAATACTAGCATTTTATTGGTTGAGTTGCAGACCCTAGATCTTGTTGTTTTTTAAACTCACTGACTTCTGTCTTCAGGATCAAATTACCATCACTGGATATGAGAAGAATACTGAAACTGCCAAGGAAGCCATCATGAAGATCGTGACTGAGCTGGAGGATATGGTGTCCGAAGACATTACTCTCAGCCACCGTGTCCACGCCCGCATCATTGGTGCCCGCGGAAAGGCCATCCGTAAAATCATGGAAGACTTCAAGGTGAGATTAGATGGGACTAAACAAATGTCTCAAATTGTTCACGTTTGGGTTGGCAAACTAGGGCATCTGTGCCACCAGCAAGGCTCCACAAGACCATGAAACTTGTCAATTAACCTGGAGCATTGTTGATCAGATTCTACATCCTATTGGCTTAAACATGTTTCCAGTGGCTCAGTTGGTAACCTACTGAGTTATACATAAGTCCAGGGAGTTTCTAGGTATGCTTTCCCTGTCTTAAGATGAGTTGGGGTTTATTCAGTAGGGTTATTCATAATACACTTCTAGGCCTTTTCACAAAGTCTTGCTGCTCTTTTTGCTGCTGCAGGTTGACATCCGTTTCCCTCAGTCTGGAGCGGAGGATCCGGACCGTGTGACTGTGACCGGCCTACCTGAGAACGTAGATGAGGCTATTGACCATCTGCTGAACCTGGAGGAGGAGTATGTATGTATCTACAGCACAGTTATTGCAGAGAACCTTTACCACTCTCTAGATGCAATTTATCATTAACTCCTGGACTCCTACTGTACCCAGACAAGTGTTGATTCAGGATGTCCTGTTACATAAAGGCTCGAGTCCAGTATTCATTCTAGCTATTCCATACCATGTTATGTAAGGATCTGTAGCACAGAAAAAGTATTTGTTCAGGCAGCTCTCGCAGGACATCACTGAAGAGCCATACAGTACATGGAGTGGGGAAATGAGCAGGAAGGAGCTAGGCTCCCTTTGGTTTTGGTTTCCAAGCACACCGTGGTGTCTGTTCCTGGAGCTACCCTGGAGATCGTGTGGAGGGATAAAGTGGCACCGTCTGGGTCAAGAGAATGGTTCCCATTTTGTGAAGTACACTTACAAAGATTAAAACATTAAATACATGGTGCAATTATTGTAGCCATTACAAAATAATCTTATGGGAGGGAAAGGGCTGAAGTTTTGTTCTTGTTTAAAACTCACCACCAAAGATTTCAGAATGGAGTGTATGACTGTATCAGACCCCATAGCACAGCTCACTTGCCCAATACTGTTTGCAGATGTCTGATGTTGTTGAGAACGAGGCAATGCAGGCCTACATGAAGCCAGCATCCCGCATGGATGAGCCAAAGGCCCCTTCCAAGGGCTTTATGGTGAGAGACGCCCCTTGGACCAGCAGCAGCACGGAAAAGGTAAGCTTGCCCCGAATGTCACTTTCTTTTCTATCTTGATCTCAGTCAAAGTATAAACAAATTAGTATGCGGTGGGTGTTGCAATTTTTTTTAAAAAAGGGGAATTACTTTTGCCCTTATAATTTCGCTCCACTTGGTCTGGCCTCCTCCTCGTCTCCCGAATCCTCCGCTCCACCATCGGCGGCCGTGCCTTCAGCCACTACGCCCTGAGGCTCTGGAACTCCCTTCCTCACTCCCTTCGCCTCGCCCCGTTTCCTACTTTCAGGTCTCGGCTAAAGACCTTTTCGACTGCACCTTTGGTCACCTTCTCCCCCCTCCCCCTGGCTCAGCCCCGGGATCTGTTATTGTGAAGCACTCTGAGACGCCGTCCAGTGCAGAGGGCGCTATATAAATCCAAGTTGTTGTTGTAATTAGGATCTTTCCTATTCCTCTCTCCCAGGCTCCAGACGTGAGTAGCTCAGAAGACTTCCCAAGCTTTGGTGCTCCTGTTGCACCAAAGACTTCCCCTTGGGGACCGAAGAGATTCTAACCTGGAAGAAGCCCTTTTCCTGTACCGCTGAACTGCCAAGATGTGCTTCCTGTTTGATTCCAGTTCAGCAGCCTAGCAAATAATTAGACTAGCAACTACTTCCTGTGTCATGATTGCTCCCCCTCCCCGCCAAAAAAACTGCAATTGAAGGTCCTATTTCACAGCCCGGTTTACATTAATTACCCCCCTTTAACTTCACAGCATTCTGCAAAGCACCTGTCGAGCATAGGCCAGTTAAAATCTCACCTGGTACTGTGTCAGTGGCTGGTGTGCTTTGCGCATCCAGAAAGACCCGTCCTAATTGAACAAGTCTCACACCATGGGCCTGCCAGCCATGACTATCCATCTGGTTCAATCCTCCCATTTAATTCAGAGTTTGGTTGATACTTAGAGGAGGTTAAGGTGAGTAGAGTATAGAAAGGGGAGCATTGTATCTAAGTAGGGCTTCTTAAGAGAACTACCTTTGCAGTTTTCCCTGGTAAAGTGCAAATGCTTTAGCCTTTTAGTTGCCATTGAGCCCCAGCCCCATTTAACACTAGCCATGGTTCCAAATCTAGCGAGATTCCGTCTTTCATCCATAGCAAGCAAACCAGGCTAGATCGACTCGTTTGATAACGGAATCAATTCCAAATTGCATGTATTCACCATTACCAAAGGGACAGTAGATCCTCATGAATTGTGCTGGTGTAGATTTCACCCCCTCATCCCCCTGGAGTTCCTCTGCATTCATGACTCTTCTATTGCAGAATTGACTATTGTGTATGTGGTGACGTTTGTTACGTGACCCAGGACTAAATGCTCTGAATGAAACTCCCAAGCAGTGTGTAAATGGAGCTCTGCTAAATTAGAATGACAGCTTAAGGGTACTGAGGGGTTAAAATTAAATTTTAAAAAATATATCCAAGCCAAACAGGTTCCCTTAAATGGTCCCAAAGCCAAAGATGCATTGGCAGCCGTGCAGTTAGCATACAGCACAAAGCCAGCAGCCTCGCTGTCCTGCCAGTGTGCCATTACTGCAGGGGGTGAGGCCCCAACACACAGGCTGCTCCCATTACAACGACCCCTGGGTGGTACTTTTCACAAAAAAATAAAGTTCTTTATTGAAGGCAAACTAGAAAATGTGCATCCTTATAAAGCTCAGACGAGTTGGAATGCCAAAATGGTTTTCATGCTTGTTTACTGTAGGTTTTTCTAATGTTTCTGGGCACTTTCCATTGCACATCAAAAGGCATTCAAATATCTTCACTGTTTGTATGTTAGACATGCAAATCCTCACATAAATGTTGTGTTCAGGCCAATGGATGCATGCATTGCAATTAGCATGGGAGGGGAAAAATTACAGTATGGATCCTGTGACATGGGAATATAAAAAAAATACACTTTGTATGTGTACCTAAATTTAAACCGTACAGGTTGGGGGTGGGGGAGCGGTCTGCTCAATCCCATAATCCTTGTGCTCATGTGAATTAGAAAGGGGGGAAAAAAAAGCAACATCCCACCAACACTACAAGATTTTGGCAGACACTGTGTGCCACATTAAATCTCATATGCTAATGATGTGCTGGAATTTGGTTCCTAACCCGTTCCTGCACTGGGGATATTCCGCAGTAGAGTCTGCACTGTATGTGTCTGATCCTCTGACACTGTAAACCAAGAGGGAGGGAAGGGGAGCAGCTCGCACAGCTTATGAAAGGGACGCTCTTCTCCTTTTATAGCTCAGGCCTTGCCCACTATCAGTAATGTTGCTCCTGATGTCTGGGGTCTCACTATCTTCCTGTAAGGAGGTGGGAGTGGTGGTGGTCTTTAAAGATTGGGGTGGTTTGAGAAACTCACCTCCTTCAAACCTAAATGAAACACTAAGACATTGAAACTGAAATGTTCCTTAGGAGCTTGCCGGTGCTGCCAGTTCTCTTGCAACTTCCCTTAACTCTTGAGAGACTCTGCTACCAGAGCTGCAGCCACGAGCATTGAAGCCATTCACTATCCAGACCTAGTTTCCACTCATTTTTCAGTGTTTTCAATTGTCATAATTCAAGGCCAGGCCACATCTGCCTCCACGTTTCTCTTTTTTTTTTTACTGCCTATGATTCTAGTTTTACACTTTGTTTAAGACACCTTGCAGCCACTCCAGGGATACATTCAGTGGACAGTCAATTGGATTATTCAAGCATTTGTAACGCGCATTCAATTCACTTTATTGACTTGATGATAACAAAATCTGGGCCCCTGTTTGGGGAAAATGGTGATTTGGTTAGACCCTATTTGGGACGAAATCCCACCTGGGTCTAGATTTATGCTTCTATGTAGCATTTTTAAGAACGACAGAAAACAAACTTCAAAATTAAGACTGAATTCAACAATTCGCCAAATTCTGAACGTTCTTAAAATCTACATAAAAGTATAAATCTAGACATAGATAGAATTTCTTCCCATGTGTTTAGTTGAAAGCCTGCAGCAGGCAGTGCCCCTTGCACTATGCATAGAGCTGTAGCAGTATTTAACCAGTTTTATGCATGAACGACAGTATTAGAATAGTAATCTTTGCATGTGGTAGAACATTAACTGCCTCTCTCTGCTCCCGGATGCTGCTTGTGTAGATGTTCTGTTTGCTGGCACTTTAAGTACAAGGTGGGATCTGCATTGGACACTTATGTGTGTACAGCTCTGGGATCCACTTTGAAGGTTAGATCATTTAGAGAAATGCACACATCTTGGCAGAATACTAGTTTGATTTTTCAAAAATCAGATTTTCTTTGGCTAATCTTCTCAGGGCCTTCAGTGTGAGACTTTCTCCTCTGACACACACAGATAAAGTTGGGAACACGAGTTATAGTCTGGTTAGCTTGACTTCCCTGATCTGGACTGAGCAAGCCATGGAAATTAGGTCTTTCTAAGATCACCAGGGCACTATTGAGTTGTACATTCTACAGGGTCTTAACATACGACAATCGCTAAAAATGGCGATCTTTTCTTTGTGTTTATAATGGGCTGTCCTCCATTATAAGCAATGAATATTTTTTAAAAATTGCTACTTTTTGGCATCTGATGTGTAATAGACCCCATCCCCCACAGCACAGTGTTGGCAGTTCAGCTGTGTTGTCAGCTGGTAATGTGGCAGATCCAGTGTAGGATCAGTTGAAATTCATTATGTAAAAGTACCAGAAAGTAATATGCCAGGCTTTTCCTCTTGTTTAAACCAGCAATGTGCTGGTACCATTCTTTCTTGCCCGCCCAAACTGCTACCTTCCTCTAAGGATCGTAGCATTGAAGGGTTTTTGAGAAACGATGAGCGATTTGGCACTGGCCTATTTTCACTGCTCACGCCTGTTGAAGTCTTCCATGTTGATGCAATACACAGAACAAGCAGTTTCCATGTGAGACCATTGGCCTTAACTCTGAATGGAGATATGCAAATGTACAGGAGATATGGATGACACTGGAATTTTATAAATCCAAAATAAAAAAAATTGAATAAGTAGTACTTCTGTACTGGTGGTGGTGATTCTGTTCAACAAAACCCGTGTAAGGATTCTACTGCTACACATAAAACACTAGTTGATGTATTTTGAATGAAATCACACGATTCTCTTTAGTGGCAGGGTATTACAATGTTGTACTCGCAGGGAGCTTGATGCACATTTTACTCTGCTGACTCTGACTTCTATCTTTGAATCAGTCTGTTAATGTGTATTGGGTAAATCAGTGATGCTTTTGCCTGTGAGACAGATGTGAACTACACAGCATCTCCCGTGGTTCAGAGGTAATGCATCTGGCAAAGCCGGTCAGGTCTACAATAATACAAGGCAGCTGTTGAGCTGGATCTTGTTGCCCTGAGTGCCAAATAGTATGGTTCCAGCTAGTCAAACACAGTAATGGTGCTGCAGGAAATGAACATTCATTTGCAACGATGATGCACTCAGAAGATTGATCTTTCCTGCAAGTGAATTGCATAAATCTAAGATGACAAGAGGTAATTTCAACAAACTACCGAAACATCTGAATGCAGTCACTATAAGTATTAATGAATCAATCAATGAGTATTCATTTAAATAGTAAACATAAAAAGTGAAGCAGTCGAGTTCATGGAAATTGAAATCATTTGTTTACTTCTGTTCGAGATACAATCGCTCACGATTACTTACCATTTACACCCACTGAGACCTGTTTCACTTATTGGTTGGCCCTCTATCTTCCCCCCCACCCCCTTGATTCACAAACACATCATGGTACAGCCATACAGCCACCCTCTGGTTTCCCTGTTCATCCGGCCTTCATAGAAAAGTACACATTTTCTGCAGAGAAGGTGGTTATTAAGCTCATTTTGTCAGGTGCTTTTTCCAAAAAAATTCCTTTTTTTAAAAAAATTCCACTTTCCAGCTCTCTCCCAAACTAAGGAAAGTTGCTAATAATTGGAGCGAGGTGGGTAGTTACAGGCATCCCCTTAGAGTAGCCTGTTGGTTGTTGGGATATTGCAGAATGCACAAGAAAACTAGCATCCTTCCATAACCAAGTGTTACTACACTTAACAATTTGCAATGCATGGAGCCTTGTTCACCCACAAAACACAGTCATGTCACTTTACAGTATATGAAGCACTTTAGGAATCCCTCCCAACATTAAAAGGCATTATGCCAAAGGTAAGGATTATTATTGCGTGTTTGTTGGTTGCAACTTTCTCAAGTTGTTGAACTGATTGTTTCACAATTTTGTTATTTGTATTGCTTTTCTTTTTGTTGGAGCAACAAATGAGTCGTCTATTGAAAAAGTCACATCATAGCCTGGAATGGTCTTGAATAAATCATCCTGTGCAGCCAATTTTTCCGGGATTGGATGCAATACGACTTTCCAGTGTTAGGTAAAGTATTCACATGGTGGAAGATCATTAAAGTGAAGTGGAGCATCGCTTGCTGACACCAGCCAGTGTAAAGTTTCACCAAAGTTGCAGAATATAATACATTGCTGTTGGATAAGATCTCAAGGCTCAGTATTGATGCTCCATTGAGGCTCAGTGTTGATGCTTGTACTAAAGATGTAATTTAATGCTGGTCATTGATGATGCAATTGCTGGTGCAAAATCATAGCATTTGCACTTGATCTACGCCATTCCAGAACATCTGCATTTTGCTCGCCATCATTTGATGAGCAGTGAGCTTTGGTTATAGTTGTTTGTCTTCTGGGATGGGTGGCAGATTGTGCTGATCTGTAGAGGTTTTCCTTTCTGATGTTTCTGAGCTGAATTCATTTTGATTTTCAGCTTGTTCAAAAAGTGCCTGTCCCAGAGCCTAGCAAAACAAGCAATAGCAGTCTTAGAATTATACAGCACAGGAGGCTATTCAGCTCATCGTGTCTATGCCAGTTCTTAGAAAAGAACTATCCAATTCAATCCCACTCCCCTGCTCTCTCCCCATAGCCCTGCAAAACTTGTCCTCCCCAAATAATTATCTGCTTCTCTTAAAAGTTGTTATTGAATCGGCTTCCACCACGCTTTCAGGCAATGCATTCCAGATCTGAACAACTCGCTGTGTGAAAAAAATTCTCCTCACCTCTCCTCTGTTTCTTTTAACAGCTATTTTAAATCTGTGTCCTCAGGTTACCGATCCACCCTATCGAATCCCTTCATAATTTTGAAAACTTCTATTATGGCTCCTCTTAACCTTCTCTGCTCCAAGGAGAATAATCCCAGCTTCTCTAGCCTCTCCAGGTAACTGAAGTCCCAAAGGACAAATGTTTCCACTGGTGGGTGGGTCGGTAACCCAAGGACACCGATTTAAGATGGTTGTTAAAAGAAACAGAGGGGAGGTGAGGAGAATTTGCATGACTGAACTAATGTTGCTGGTGGCAGTAATATAGGAGCATAGGAATTGACAGACCAAAAAAAAAACAAGGTTCATCCAGTCCACCTACCATCCTGGCAGATATTGATAGTAATTAAGTCTGTATGGATTAGTCTACCATCACACTGGAAAGCTTTGGGAACCTTAGATCCAAAGTTGTCTAACTCTTCCGAGCATACTACACTTACTATATGTCATGTGTCAAATTACTCGTATTGCATCCTAAAATATTATTCCAAATTGAAATTCTTGAGTAAGTCCTGGCAAGGCAGAATTATTCTTCTGTTCCTTACCTGGTTCTCTGCCAAGGCCTGCTTTGCCAGGTAGTGTTCTCTCTTCAGTTTGATCTCCACTGACTCAGGCACATCTGGGACCAGCACATCAATCATGCGGCCAATAAAAAAGACTACATGCTGCAAGAAGGACAAGAGTCTGAATCAAGCCTGTACTGTATATATATATCATTGAATTCACATCAATACTGGGGAATGGAATACTTTATGCCTCTTTTTGAATCTGAAGCACTCCCAGTTCAGCTATAGCACGGATTAGAGGCTAGAGTTAAACATGTTACCCCCAACTCTGCCCTCCACCACCCTCATTGCCACTTTAAACATTCTCAACTCAGTACCTTAGATGCAGGGGAAAGCTCCCTCTAATACTGGCTGGTCAGGGAAAGTAAAGGTTAGCTGCAGAGCGCACTTTGCATTAATACCATTCTAAGACCCATAATCCAACAAGCATTTCTCTTAAGTGAGACTGCAAAATTAATGCAAAACTTGTGATTACAGGTAACAGCTATCATTTAAAGCATTGTTCCTCAGGCACATTTCTCTGGTGATAAGTTGTATACTTTCATTTTCAGTTAGCTTTTTATAGATATGATAGTCAGAGTTCCACAGATATTCTATGCAATACCGGTCTGCATTGATCAGTAGGCAGGACTGATGCACCTCTGTACATCTGTTTCTTACCTCAAATACAATGACAAAACCCAGCCGTACAGCCAAAAGGTTCCAATAAGTCAGGGTCAGATAACCATGTTGATCCCGAAAGTCTTTGTATCTGTTCACAGTAATCGTGTTAGAATCACATCTACACATAATAATCCTTGCATTTGATATAGTGCCTTACCACATCTTTCAGATGTCTCAAAACACTTCACAAAATATACAGTGAATTCACTGTATATTTTGTGGGTGAAACACAGCAGCCAATTGTACACAGCAGTGTCCCGCAAACAGTCGTGGATTGAGTGACCAAATTATTATTTTTACACTTCAACATTTAGAAAGCAGAAAACTGGAAAGAAAAATAATTTTCCCAACAGTTAAGACTTATTTTTGTGTACTTTATAGTCCTCAAGGTGAGGGATTTTAACATTGATAAATTTCCCACCTTGCCTACTCATTGGCAACATCAAATGCTCCCAGTTCAGGTGCAGAGTAAAGCTCCCTCTGCACCAACACTGTATCACAGCTCTAATCTCAGAAGAAAAAACTCCAGTTCCGATTTCTCACAGGAGTCAATCGCACTCTGCTTCTGAGTGAGATTGCTAACCTATTATTGTCCAATTAAGAGCTTGGCAATATGATTTTTAAAAGGAGCTTTTAAGGTGAGATCATCTCTGCTTCTGACGTACTTTGAGATATATAACTTCCTGACTTGAAAAACACTGTATAAATGTAAATCGTTGTTCTCTTCAAGTGAGAACCTGACAAACTTGTTTCTTTTTGTCCTTACCGGCACATGCTGTTGTTCTGCTGTAGAAACTTGTGCGGTGCATATGACAAAGTGAAGTTGACATAGCCGGTCATGTTATTGTCATGGGTGTAGTAATAATACAGGCGAGGCAGGAAGTCTGATGTGAATGCTATCAGAAAGGCCTGTAGGTGGGAAAAGTTATACGTTCTAACTGATATTTTCCTGCTATAAATGGTGCGATGTCAATGCAGGTTGTTGTCAAGATTGGACAAAATTGAATGCTTATCATTCACATAACACCCATGCGCAGAATTAGATGATCAGACCCACCGAGCCTAAAGGCTAATAAAATTCTCACGTTCAACAAAGGTATCTCTTGCAGAATTAATATCTTTGCCTTGGCATTACTGAAATGATAGAGGCATTAGTGGAGATGGTGCATTGGGAGAAAGAAGCAGGAGACAAGAGAAAGATCACCTCGCAGACAGCAAGTCTTGTGTCCCTTGCGAGCAAGTTACCCCCAAGTATGGAAGCAATATTTAACGGGATAAAGAATGATCGGTTGCTGAGGGGAAAAGAAGTGAGGCTGAAAATAGATTTTATAAAAAAAAGTTCTTGAGAACAGCTTCATCTGTTTGAGCAGTTACAGGCTGCCTGTGTTGGAGAGAAAAATCACTTCACGAGAACATCAGAACAGTGATAGATACATAGAATGGAAATTTTGGAACTTTCAGGCTGCTGAATAGATCACAATTAATAAATGATGTGAAGGTGGATTTGATAGGATGTAATTGCACTTACATTGCTTATTACAGCTAGGTGAGTAATTACTTCCAGGATATTGAACCAGATTCCGATGTCCTGTGCTCGCTCCACGATTGGACGTCGGTACTCGCACACAAACTTACTGGCATCCAGACGGATCTCAATCCAGTTATTCAGGAGGGCAAATAATGGAGCCAACGGAAACGCGGCCACAAATATGGTAATGAATCCAAACTGCAAAACTGTGTGGGCAAAGTTACCATGGGAAGAGAATGTGAGCAAGAAAAAGTATTATTTCAAGCAATACTGCAATAGCTGTTCTCAGTGTAGTCATAGCTACAAATAGGTTCTGGGATGTTGTTGCTGTTTTTTTAGTAACCTTTCCTTCATTCCCTTTCCCACTCAAATATTCCTTTGTAAAAGTGTTAACTGGCATAATATTAACATTTGTAGGAAATGCATTGAGCTAAAGCAACTGTTCCAGTAGGTAACGTTCCATCTGAGTAGGAGAACACAGAACTAATCAATGAGAGTTCCCTCAACTGAAGGACCTATCCCTGCAAAGGAAGCAGTTGCCTAACTTGGTTATGAGAGTGTTGAGGGACAGAAGCCATCATCCTTGATGGTCTGCATGCCCAGTGTGTGAAAATTAGAAATAAGTGGGTGAATTCCACATGTTATCTATTACTTTTATGAGGAACAGATTATGTGGGTATTTGAAGTTCACTCTCTCAACAACAACGAAGAAATAAAGCATGCATGTCCATCACCCACTGATACAATAAATCCTGTGAAGCGCTTTGGGACATCCTCCTGCCATAAAAGATGCTATACCAATTGCAAGGATTATTATTTTTTAAATGTATGAATTGTTAACCATGTAACCATCCAGAAATGTGTACTATTGGATGTTAACTTTAATTCACTGAGAATCAAACCCTTCAGAACTTTTATCAACCCAAGGTTGACACACGATTTGAAAGATTGTTCTCCTCCACAAGATGAATTATATTCTGTTCCTCACCACGGTCACAGGGTTTTCCAGTGAAATACCTACCCATCTCGAGGTATTCATCAAAGAGTCCCTCACAGACCAGTAACTCGTAATCCTTCACCCAAGGAACCTGCTCTGCACCAGATAGCTCCTTTTTATCTATTGATCTCAGCTTGTGTTTCTGCAGCCATCCTTTCAGCTTCCTGTTCAGGAAGTAATAGAATCATAGAATCAATAATTTATGTTGTGATGTTTTGTCGCACATGGTGTCCTATGGAGTGTAAAGTGCTGACTTATCCCCCATGCACTTCCCACATGGATTTTGCCTATCTCAGCTGTGGTAGGATCATTAAGTGGTCCGTTAAGTAAAATGTGAAGGAAAACAAGACAACATTCAGGAGCAAAGAAAGTTGAAAGTCCCGCATTTAAGAGAAAATCCATTTCATTCAAATGTTTCATGCATATTCTATATTCTTTTTGAGGAGGTCTTTCTCCATCCATCACTGTTGCAGCAGATCTCTTCCCATTCCTGCTCCCATTTGAACAGTGCCTATTGCCATGGCAACAGATACTCACGGGATGACAAATTCCTGCACATTGTTGATGATTTGCTTTCCCACCATGATAACAAGAAGCTCCTGAGCCAGTTGAATCATACAGCCACCAGCTCCACACTGAAACAGAAGAGCCATTAACAATCTGTAATAAATCATTCAAGTTATAGCACAGAAAAAGGCCACCAACCAACCTTCTTTTGGTGCTATCTCCTGCACTGGAGTTATATATTGAAAAACGGATACCTCAGAATACAGATGCAAAATACTCCAGAAAAAGATCCTATCAGAACATGCCCACAAATACTATATATTAGAAAATGCAGATACATTAGATGGTGCATGTCACTAACCCAGAATTATTTTATCTCACGAGCATTTAGACTATTTCATGCCGCCTGCAAGTTTTCGCAACAGTGGAGAGTGGAGAAAAAGCATGTTCCAGACTGCATCTCTCCACAATAGCTGGCATTTACCTAGCGCCCTTCACGAGGTGGGGGGGTGGGGGGTGGGGGGTTCTCAGAGCTCTACTGTACACAATACAGAAGTGCAAAAATCAAACAAGCTATTTGGAATTTTTTTAAGCTTTTGATTTTAAAAAAGGGCTATTGCTGACCTTGAATAATAACTTTTTTTAAAATACATATATACACCAGCCCACTGTCTAGAATACCTACATCCTCATTTGTGACTCCCAATAGTGATCCATAATGTCCAGGGTATCCGATAAACCTGAATAAGACAGTAAATCGGAAACACGTTTGGGAATTATACAACAGTATAATAAAGAATAATTGAGAACCTGAAAACCTGTCTCCCCAAAGCCCCCAGTACAACCCGCTCTTCATTCCAACAGAAAATAGCCCACAAAGTCTTTGGAGTTCCTAGGAGCAAGACCTTGGCCATTCAATACCAAATGAAGATTGGATGCAGGCCCTGGAAGTTGTCCTTCATGGTCACCACATACAACAGAATGAGAGAAATCCCTGACCGACTACGCCTCAGGCCACCATTCACTTTGTGTAGTTACCGAGTTCAGCTAAAACTGGTGCTAAAATGACCTCATGTGCTGTCTTGTGGTTATGGTGACCACACTGGGCTATACTCTGACCATCTTGCTGGGAGAGTGAGCCCCATTGTTGTCCTGTCACCAGTTGATAGCACAAATTCTTTAAAACGAGACTCTGCAATGATCTGTATCAGCAGATGAGAAGCTGCTCACCTGCCTTTAAAGAAGGCGATGTACAAGGGTGATGAGTAGAAGTTGACAAACTGAAAAATAAAGACCTTTACAATAAAGGCATCCTCGTACATGGTCTGAGTCCGGTGCATTTCTGGAACAGAAGGAAAATAACGAGTAAAAAAAGTCTGCAAAACAATATCGACACAATCATTATTTTCTTTTCTTCCCTCCAACATTTCCCCCCCCCCAATTCTGTCCTTTTCCATCCTCTTATTAATAATAATTCTTGCATTTGATAGTGATGTATCATGTTGTTGAGATGTCTCAAAGCGCATCACGGATTTACTGTAAAATGACGCAACTGCAGTGATTGACGTAATGATCTTCTGTGCTGCCTGCCCCACTATCCCAATATACACTGAATGACAGATAGCTTGTACTCACCCCATCTGGTCAGGAAATGAGCCAGTGATGTATACACTTGAGCCAATAAGAGAATGACTAGGAGATTCACTATTGATCCAGTGATACTGGCTATCTTGGAAGCCTGGAATGGAGAGAGTGTTACAAAAGTCACAAGAAATCAGCATATAGTCAAAGTTGGCACTCAATGCATGGGGGGTGGGCTGGGGGGCGTTACATTGTCTGAGGTGCCGTCCTTCAGATGAGATGTTAAACTAAGGTCCCGCCTGCCTGTTCAGGTGGATGTTAAGGATCCCATGGCACTACTCCGTGGCTGTTTGTTGGGCACAACTGGCTGCTGCAATTCGCCCACCAAATACACAGTCTCTTTACAGTATATCCTGTGAAGCACTTTGAGACGTCTCAACAACGTGAGGAGGCGCTGTATCAAATGCAAGGCTTATTATTAATAAATAACTACTGCACTATATTGTTGTTCTATCAGTGACGAGTGTTCACTAGAGGAGGATCTGGTATATGCATTATAGGAATGGGTTGAACAAGTAGCAGGACAAAAGCCTTCCTGTAGGGAAAGAGATGTTTTGAGACGATGATACATTGTCTGTCTCAGGCAACTCCCCGTGAATAGTTACAGAACAGTCTTTGTGGGGTTCAGTAATGAGAATTCCAGAGAGTGGGGACAGAGTGGATCGCCAGTGGTGGAGTGGATAGGACGGGGGACATGAAGCAGGTCAGTGTTCGCTGAGTGAAAGAAGCAGCTTGGTCTGTACCGTGCAAGGAGGCTGCAGAGGTAGGGTAGGGTGGAGCAAACGGGACCTCGGTTTAATGATGTAAATCAAGCAGATAAACACCACCGGCTGTCGAGAGGTTTAAGGGTGAGAACCAGGATCTAACATTTGGTCCGCTGGGACATGGGGCTCCAGTGAACCGAGCAAGGTTGGGGGTGATAGGCTGGTGGAGCCGGGTGTGGGAGAGAACACAGCCTGCAGAGATCTGGATTGTCTTGCAGCCTTGGTTCATTTCAGAAATTGATAATCAGCTGCGAATGATTCCTGCTTATGTAAGAACAAAAGAAGGCTTTTTAAATGCATTCCTTTCACCGACCTTTGTGCAATCTACTCTACCATGAACTTTACTTATTTACTTAATCTCTAGAATCAAAGTTCTGCAATAAATAGTTCCTGATCCAAACAGGCTATCACGCGATTTCCATCCAACCTCATATCTCGAGAGTTCAACCCAAGTAACAGGTAAGATTTTAGCAGCACTGTGTGTGTGTGTATATATATATAATCACTTTACAGTATATTCTGTGAAGTGCTTTGAGACGTCTAGAAGACGTGAAAAGCGCCATATCAAATGCAAGGATTATTATTATATATACTATATATATTTCGTAGAGTATTCAGTTATCTCAGTCTCTATATAACAGAGGCGATCATGGCATTTACCACTGTACATTCTTAATCGGTGGGTCCCACTAACTAGGAGAGCTAAGTCATCAAGGACCACATTGGACATCAACAACTCGGGTGACTGACCATCCCTGCTGAGCCCCTTATGGGACAAGAGGTAAAAAATAAACATGCACAAAAAATTGCACCATTTAGCTTTTCTTAACTTTTGCAATGCTCACCAAGACCATGAAGATGCTGTTTCCCGTCTTGTACATGAGGATGCTGACAATAGAGCGGTATAGTATGATGGAAACCAAGCAGATAAACACCACCGCTATCTGAAAGAGAGAATGACGAGAATTAGCAAATGACAAGTCAGCTTCAGATCACAAATATCTTCTAAGTAATTGCATACGTAATTGACTCTTTGGTGCTAACTTTGCAAACCAGTTAACTGTGGAGGGAGTCACAGGTAAACTCAGCCCTGTTCTCACAAAGTTCCCTTTATTGCACTCCCGTCATTAGCATCTAATTGTATTTTAATATCTCTAACATTTTACCTGTTGCCTTATTTATTCCAAACATCATTCAGTACTATTCACCAATTTCCATTTATTCTAGTCCTCCTTTTTTAGATTATGTTAAATGAATGCTTTGTCTGCATCTTTAAATATTTTATATGCTGTGATGATGTGCCCATTAATCACCTTCTTTGCAGACTGCAAGCCTAAATTTCTCTCATGTTTCTTCATAGTTTATCGCCTTTATTCCTGGGACAGTCTTATACAGTATGTGGATATTTACTCTGTCTGCAAGGGTTTGCAGAAATCATTTTTGTTAAATCAGCTACAAATAATAATACTTTATTAGCAATTTATGGTTATATGAGAGCTGTGACACCCTTCCAATTCCAAGGAGTCCAGAGATCCCAAAGTTTCCACATTAGATGTATTCATGATCTCTGACAGTAGAGGGGGCTGCGTCACAGCCACCTGCAGTTCTGTGGGTCTGTATGTTATATGTATTTCTAACCCATTAGGAGATGTGTGACAGAAAGTGAATAACATTTAGTTAATGCCAATTTCTGTTCACTGTTTTCTCTCTCTGTTTTGACTTAGTTGCTGGAAGAAAAAAAATCGATTTAAAAAGGTTGCACTCGTGAGGTGAAAGTCTATCCCTGCCTGTTGGCTATCAGACTTTAAGTGATTTCTGGAAACAAAAACACTTGCAGATAACTCAAGTACATTAAGTAGAATACATTAAAGGGAAACTATGAATATAAGATAATCACAACAAAATAAAAGTGAAGGTTTGTACAGTTTTAACGTATCCCTAGAGTATATGGGTCACAGCCCTAATCTAAGCCTCATGTTTCCATTGGGTTGGCCATTTTCTTGTAATTATCTTTAAATTCAATTTTATAACAAGTCCCACAATGTTATTCACAAACTAGAAGTTGTTATCGGCCAAGTGATATTAGATTTTTCGACCATTGTATTTTCAATTCCAATATGTCAAAAGTCTTAAATATTTCCTACAGTTTCTGTGCACACAAATTCACACAACAAAAATTCAAACACTTTCTATGAACTGGTTGTTTTGTTGATAAAAAGAATACCGGCAGATGTTAGCGGAATTAAATTATATTGATAGTTTCCCTTTAATGTAATTTGACTCTGTAGGAGATGGTACAGTCATAATACAATCAGCACATTCTCATAACAATGGACTATTTTCAAAGTACATTTGGGCTATAATATAAAACATAATATTTTAATTGAAGTGATATAATATTTTATTATATCTGTGTTCCACCAGACTGATGGCCAAAGCAGTGGTTATTTGCAACACTCAGCCACCCAGGAGGATATTCAGGTGCTTTGACAAGCCTCTGTTATGTGCTGCAATGAAACATCTGTGGTGTCACATTCTTTAATGAGGCTGATAAAAAATGTTTCTTCAGTAGATCCTTCTTTGATATTAAGCCTTTATTAGCAGTTATCCCATGAAATCATTGTTTCTAAAAATGCTGTGCTTCATTCTGACCCTGATCTCAGCTCAGACTCGATCAGAATATCAATTCAGGCATGGCACTGAACTGAATTGTTTTTGGCAGGTGTGTTTCAAAATTCCTGGGTCTTCCTGTGGAGCAAGACCTTCAGTTCTCGTGTGCTAGACACAGGTCTCTTAGATGAAAGGACAGTACTGTCTACTGTACCTCCTCATAGCCATCAGAGAGAGGAAACCTTTGAAACTCAGTCTGGATGGATTTATATCCAGCTTCCAGAAGTGAGAGGAGAGACAGTGTACCCATTCACTGTTCCATCTATTTCATTTTGAGTTACTCATACAGAATTATCTCATTGTTTACTCTCACTTTTTAAAGGAGTTTTTAAATCTCATTTATCACAACTCCTTTTGAAGATGATTTAACTGACGCTCAATTGATCAGCTGACATGACAAATTGCCATTGCCAGTACTCTGCTAATGAATCATTGTTTTCAGGTTAAGGGAGAGGAAATCCGGTGGGGAAAGAGAAGAAACACAGTTAGCTAAAAATAATTTTGATCAACGAATACTTCTTATTCATTCTTTTCAATTCATATTTGAACAAGGTGCTGTTAGCGTTTCTAAAGGGTAGCGAGGGATTTATAATGGGATTTTCCATTGTTTGTGCACAAGGACAGATTTCCTGTTAAAGCTGTCTTTGAATAAATCATTTCGTAATGACGTAGATCAAATATTCGAAACGTTCTGCTTAAACAAAAAAATCTAATTTTTGGTGTGAATTTAACAATGATTACATCTTTCACAGGACTGTTCCATATTTTATAGAATTATAATTTACACTTATGTAGACTTTAGATAACATATCAATCAGTGCCAAAATCAACCCAAAACATGAACTTCACAGAAGCGAGAAATAAAAAAAAATTGAACTAGAGATGTAACAGACTGGAATTGAAGTGAAATGGGTTAGATCAGAAGGCATTGGTTTGGGTTAGGATTAGAATGGATTTGAATGTACGTCTTATTTGAAGGATCACTGACTTACCATGAGCAAAATGACCATAGTGCTACTAATAACACGTTGTATCCTGTCCCCATTGGGAAAATATGGCTCCTCTATCCCCGTGACTGGGTTCTTTATCGTCATTGGAGCCGTAGCAGTAAACTCTGGTCTGGAACGCTCCTGAACTCAAAGCAGAAGCAAATCATATCTTTTCATACGCGTCGTTTGCATATATTGTTTTCAGAAATGCACGTTATAGGTAGACAGCAAGCAGCTTGGGATTCTCTTTGATAGCAACCCAGGAGAGGAGAGCTTAATTTTTCCTCTCTATCTGTCCAGCACTTGAACCCACTCCCACATTATTATTTAAGGCGTTTATAATAATAATAATCCTTGCATTTGATATAGCGCTTTTCACGTCTTCTAGATGTCCCAAAGCGCTTCACAAAATATACTGTAAAGTAAATTGACAGTATATTTGTGGGCGAACGTGGCAGCCAATTGCGCACAGCAATGTCCCACAAACAGTCATGGATTGAAAATGACCAATTTTTTATTATTGTTTTGTTTTTTGGAGGGATTATTATTAGGCTCTGTGTGGAGTAAGAAAACTTGCCCAAGGTTTCGCCCTCTGCCTGGAATTGAACTCAGGTCTCTCACTTGCAAAGCGAGTGCTCTAACCACTGAGCTACAGGACTCCACACTTGTGCCCTTGTGATACCTGAGCAAACAGTTTAATCCTAAATAAAAGCTAAGTTTACAATTTTGTTTGGAGTATAATAATACCAGGAGATAGCTTGCGCCAACAGTCTAGTTCTCAAGTTAAAAACTTAGCAGTGGGCACAGACTCACGCCTTTAAGCTGACTTGTGGTATTTATCAGATTGATTAACATCAAACATGATCGTTCACTCAAACCGTTTTACCTTAGATCCCTCAAATTCCAAGCAGTCCCACTTGTCGGCGAGGACCACACTCTTCCTCTTCCAGTACTCAAGGAAGGTCACAGCCCACAGCGACATGAAGACGCTGAAAAACACTGTGCCCCCATTGTCAAAGAGCAACCCTATCTGAAAGAGAGACATCAATGGAGAAAGAGCAGACACTTGTGAAAAGAAAACCTGGTCACAGAATAAAACACTGGATATTGATTTCCCATCAGTCCCACGCATCACCAGCTTTAAATGCTGTATTCATCACCAGAACAGTAACTGTTGTCTTTTTGCAGGACCACCTATGGTATCTCAGCAGTTTGTGCCTTGGAAAATGCACAGAAGCAACATTAAATTAAAGGAGCTTTGCCCTGTCAGGCACCACATTGCACGTGTGCAGACATCAAAGGCCTGATGTTTCTAATGGTCCGAGGCTTAAGACCACTCTCTTAAATTGTAAGCGTTTGCAGCAACTTGGAAACTTTCTAAATTCAGTAATTATTCTGAAGCCCTTCTTTTTTTTTTAACAGTTCTGTTATCGACAGATAGCCCCAAACTTAAGCCATTTCCAAAATTCTGCACAATTTCAAGACAATGATCCAATCCCCATGGAACTATATTCAAGAATTAGTCCTGAAATATTTTTGTGTCTGGTTTTAAACAATGTCAAGCATGTTCAAGTAGCAGTGAATACAGGTCTGTCTGAGGAAGAGAATGCAAGCAAAAAACACGTGTCTTGAGACTGACATGGACACCAGTGGTTTGAAATAATGGTTCAAAATTGTAACAAATACTGAGGGACCGAGGAAAAATTAATCACCTCACACCTCACCTGAATGTATAGGCAGATGTTACCAGTCCTGACGAGATCATTCCATTTTGCTCCCTTTTCTGTCTAAAAATTTACAAATATCTGGTACGTTGCTTGTGAAATGTCGCATCACTTTCTCCAAGACATCCTAGCCCTCAGTTCGACTTGTGGACTAAATATGCAAACATACTGAAATTGTAATTGTGCGTAATTGAGACGATGGAAGAAATAACAAGGATTACCTTAAATGTGTTGCAGATGCTGGAGAGGTTCATCTGATTACAGACATCACAAGGTGGACAGATGACATATGCAGTATTTTCCTCACACGTTTCCTTCCTGGGGTAAGATACAAAATATTTAAACCCCCAATGGGTTTCAGCGCACTATACATACAGGGAAAACTCACTAGTAGTCACAGAATCACACATATGTGTATTGCACCACACATACCCACTTATCCAAAACCCCCAACAATGCACATGCCTGAATGCACGCACACATTCAGGATTTTGTTCAGTATTTCCACATGATTAATTATTAATTTAGTATTGATTCTCCTGAGTGAGGCGATTAATCACCAGTAAAGAGCAATTGATTATGTAAGCTGGGGATTTGATCAGCGCTGTCCAATATTGCCCCAACGAATGTTAAAAAGCAATATAATTTTACATCAGCGGTCGCCAACCTTTATGGTTGGCCAAGCAAATGCATTTTTCTTTATTGAATTTTTCTTAATTTATGGTCATGCCGTGGATATGGCGGTTCATCAGCTACTGGAAACAAGGTACTGATTTGGCGCAGATGTGCCTTGATTGGTACGGGTGTTTGGTGGGCTATTCCTGATGCCCCCTGGGGGCTAAACGTGGCCCCCCAGGCCATAGGATTGGCAACCATAGCTTACATCCATGGTAAGTAACCCCTGTTACCTGTTAATTAAAAGGTTTGGACCTTATCATCACCTATTGCAACCAAATTTAGACTTTTCCATAAGCTTAATTCAAGCAAATTGATGCAGGACTTACGCAGGAATGTCGGTTTGCACCAGGAAGATCCCAACAATAAAGATAAAGGTTCCAACAGCTGCTGCTGGTAACAACCATCCAGTATAAAATCCTAGAAAAAAAGCAAACCCAAATTAGGATAAAATCATCAAACATATCCATCATACCACACTGTGCTGCGTGATAGATATCATACCGCATGGAGGGGTGTGCTAAAAAAAAGAAGCCACCGGGTGCTAATAATGAAGATGAAGAGATGAAATGGTAAAAGGTTTCCAGAGCCTTACCCAACCATGCGAAGTAAAAAGCAATCTTCTCTCCATAGTATTTTCGAATGTGACCCAAGGGTTGGTACTTGTACCACTTACCCCATCGACCCCAGTATTCATACAGAACCTGCCTGAGGTTCAGATTTGTGGGTACACAGTCTTTATTTAGAACCTCGAAAGGACCCTGTAGAAACAATCATGAGAAAAGCAAAGTATGTCATCCTGATCAGATGTTGCCCCTGTATTTTGCACATTGGGTTTCCTATGCATTTTGCATGTGCAAATCAGAGCAAGCACAATGAGAAACATCGAAACCCATTTGTTTCTGTGCTCCTCTTTCAAGTTCTCTCACTGGGAAAAGTGGGGTGTTTTTAGAAACATTTTTTGAATGTCTCCGTCGGGTTTGGGGTTGGAAGAGCTCAACGGTCAAAGCGCAGGCAGGACTCACATTGTGAAGGGGAAATGCGGCTGAGAACACATTCTCATTTAACAACTTGTTGATACCAATTTCGTCATTTTTCAGTTGACCATATGGAGTTCTTTCCAAGATCTCATAAAGCTGGGGAAGGAGAAGAAAAAGACAGAAGTCAGATTGAAATCAACACATTTTCTAATCTATAATAATGGCTCACACGTGCTGAGAATGCTCCTGTCACATTTACTTCGAAATCAGATTAGAAAGGGATGACTTTAAGTGAAACTTCAATTTCTACATTTGTAGATAACCACTTTCTCCTCTCTGCCAAAGTTATACTCCACTTGTATTGGTCATTGCAGTAACTCCATCAATGAGGCACAGAAAGAAATGGGTATATTTAATCACAGCAAAGACACTGTGTATCATGGTGACTTTTGCTGCATGGAAACATACTGATATACTTCGGCTTCTAACAGAAAGAAAAAGCTGTTGAACTGATACACTACTTACTATCTGATGCCGTTGGGTGCAACTGAAAAAGTTATCGTGGTCGTCGCTACCAAGGAACCTGCAGAGAAAATATCTCAAGTAAGTTTCTACATGTAAATATTGTAATTATTTGGGATTTTTTCAACTTTTCTTCCCTTGTTCTGGCAGCACAGCAAATGAGTTTCCATTATGTGATCATGGAGCAAACAGGATAGATGCTTTCAGTACTCTCATACACGACCCATGTTTTTACTGACCTTTCTAACTTGGATTGTCTGAACTGACAAGTGTAATAATCCAAAGGTGTGTTAGGGATTTCATCATGCATGACGTTAAAGATTCCCAGATTCTTTAGCACATCATTAGACCAGTTGGAGGTCTCATTTATTATTGCCTGAAATAAACAATAATGATACTTGTAAAATTGTTAAGTCATGTTTAGATCAATATGATCAATTGTCCTATTTATGTGAGATCTAAAGATCAGTAATACCTTAGTAACGCAGAAGGCGTACAGAAGTGTTATAGGTAGCCCAGTAACTCAGAATAATAATAATTCTTCAAATCCTTGCATTTGACATAGTCTTATCACATCTTTGAGGCGTCTCAAAGCGCTTCACAGAATATACTGTTAAGTAAGTTGACTATAATAATAATCCTTGCATTTGATATAGTGCCTTATCACGTCTTCGAGACATCTCAAATATATACGTATGTATATTTTGTGGATGAAATATATTACTCCAAGATGTATTCCAGGTGCTTTATACTCCAGTAATATGTTATTGTATAATATATACAAGTGTTACGCATAATATGTTACTTTCTGACATATATTGGAGTGTTATTACCTGAAAATAAATCAGAACTGTTTCTGTGACTTACCTGCAGTGGAACCTTCATACTCAGTTCCTCTGCATAATAACAGAGCACATTCCATGGAGCACTCAGCAGGATGTAATGGACATTTCTCTTCTCATTGTGAACCACATGCTGTAGGAATACAGCCACAAAGCAGGCAGGTAAGCAAGTGAGATGTGTACCCCTCGTGCGTCAGAACTGTAACTGTGTAGGATCATATATGCTCCCCCAGTGGCTGTGGACCAATACACATGTTCAGACCGAACTGAGCCATACAGACCAAACACTCCCAGCTCTGTGCTGAACCAGCTGTTCACAGCCTGAGCAATAGCTCTAAAATGAGCTCCATCGCCCTTGCTCTGGACATGAAGTGTTCATTCGATTAAACTATAGAACTGTTATAGGGTACTTAATGGGGAAGCATTTCAGAGCCCACGGTATTGAGTAAGCATCAATTTGCCTTTAACCGATGTTATACACATGACCTGGCCCTGTGTGTACAGATGAGACATTTATATTTTTAGGTAATCTTGTCATACTGTTGCTTCAATGGAACCTGGAACCATGTAAGTGGAAATATATTCAACAATCCTTGGAATGTACATTGCCTGGAGCTGGTAATTTGCTTATATAGAGATAACCACTGTAGACTAGTTACTGCCTTCCACCAGCTACCGTGCACAAATAAAGTGGCTGTAGCAAATGTACTTGGTTAGAGCCTCTGGACTGTAGGCCCATCTGCTGTCCAGAACAGAAAAACTGCATAAAAATGCCACGTGCTCCAGTAATGCAATGCCCTGCAGTCCTGGCATAAATCATTTCCAAAAATGTACAAAAACATTCTCTCAGCTGTATAAAAATGCCTTGTGTCCACTTGCATAGGAACTTGTGCCCTCGATAACCCCAACCTGCCCCTTCCATCATAAACCCCAACCTCCTTTAATACGGAACCCCAACCAGCCCTTCATACTAAACCACAAACTGCCCCTACGTCACAAACCCTAACCTACCTCCTCTGTGAGAACGCCACTCTTGCAGAGCTTCTTCAGGAATTTTTTTCTCCAATTCGGATGCTTTTCACTATCTGATTTATTACATTCCTTTGACCGTTCCTCTTCCCACACAAGGACAAAATCTGAGTGAAGGCACAATAGCAGAAACACAGTAGCAGAAATTACGTCGGTATCCTCAATGTTTTTCATTCCCAGAACACCTCTGGAACACATGATGTGGCTTCAGTTAAAACTTGCTCTTTAAATTATCATCCACAACAGATAGGTAATTAAGGTCTCCTCTTTCTCGTGGGAAGTAGGGGGTTAAGGGGTTAGAGATCGTTAGAGACTTTGATTGCTCAGGTTCAATTCCACCCTGTGCTTAATACTCTCTGGATTTGGGTAAGCAGGATGTGTGTCTGCAGGCAGAGTGTGCAGATTTCATTCCAGTCTATGGAAATTTCCATGCATCCCCAAACCAAGGAGGTGAAAATCTTCTTCCAGTTTCTAACAATCTCCACCCCCCCCCCGACCACCCCCCAACCCCCTACCTCCTATCATTGCTGTTGTTTTTGGTCTGAAGCATGCGGAAACCTATCACCATACTTAAGAGTATCCAAACCAAATAGAGTTTCACACAACCCACCTAAGCATGGAAATTCCCGTGTACTGGAATAGAATCCGCACTCTCTCCCCGGATGGACACATTCTACTGTATTTATCTATATCCGGAGAGTATTAGGCAAAGGCCGTTGGTCGTAAGGATACTAAACGAAACAAGTTTGTCACAACTCATTTCTTGTCGTCCATAATTTGACACTTAACTCGTTAACCTCACTAAAAGCAGATACAAAGATACAAAAATATTTCTACTGTGTTGTTAAGAATCACTGGCAAGCACAAAGGTAACGTCACTTTGCATTTGGCATTTGTTGCCTTCGTTAGTAAGATGAGGCTGTAAGGGGGAACAAATACACTACATCCAACTCAGTCCATCCCTCACCTGGGAATCAAAATTGCAAACTTCCTCATTTCCTGGCACTGACTGATATTTTGAGCCAAATAAACACCCCATATAATTCCCCCCCTCTCTCTCCCCTTCCACCACCTGAACAAGATTATGACGTCAGAAAATAAGAGAGGTTTGAAACTCACCTATTTTGGTTTTCCCATTTTCAAAGAAATTGATCTTCTCTTGAACCTTTGAGTTTGGAATAATTTCTTTGAGTTGGTCACTAATCTAAACAGATAATCATAATGGTGACAACCCTCGCATTGGTATAGGACCTTATTGTGTCATCAAAACATCTGTAAACAGCTTTACAGGCTCTATTATAAACTTTAGTCACTGCATTTGTAGGCAAATGTGGCAGCCAATTTGTCCACAAACAGCGATGAAGTGAATGACCAATTTTATCTGGAGGAATGTTGGCCAGGAAACCTTAGAGAAAAGGCATCCTCTTTTCGAATAGTATCCCAAGATTTTTAGCACCTGAACAAGCAGACAGGACCTTAATTTGATGTCTCATCCCAAAAGGTTGTATCTCTGACAGTGCAGCATGCCCCCAGCACTATAAGATTGCCAGTCTAGATTATGTGCTCAAAGTTTTGATGTAGGGCTTTACCCTTCTCACTCAGTGGTGAGAGCACTACCGACTAAACTCTAATAACACTCACCTCCTCGAGCATTATGTAACATCCATCCTCAGCTTCCTGGTCCTCATTTACTTTGTTCAGACTCCCATAGTTGTCAATCTTCAGTTCTTCATTTGGAATCAGATTGCTGACATCCTCCTCCTTGCTTTTCCGTCTAAACATGATGTTTCAGGATTGCTCTAATTTGATAAATATGCCCTGGGTAATATGCCCTTTACCTGCGAGGAAAGAAAGTTCCCGATATATAATGATAAATTATTGCCAAGTGTATTGACATCTTTTTTCCGTTGTTACTGGAGTCTTTCCTCAAAATACAATACTTTTTTTCCCCCCATACGTTGAACTTCGTGTGGGTGCGTACAATTATTCCACATAACGTTGCAACGATCTTTCCTGGAGCCGATTGCAATGAGTTTTAGATTAACAGTGTGTGAAGTTGTTCTACGTGGCATAGTCTTGGAGGAAGTTCTATAGTCTTATCTCTTAACTGACTGGCATAAAGAATTTTTTCCCCTGCAAGGTTTCACAGTTGGTCACATTACCTTTTTCTGTCTGATGTTAGATTATTTTAGGCTGATTTCAAAGCCTCGATTCTCTTTCTGTTACATTGTAAAAAAAAAATTGTGTTGGTTCATGTCGTGGCAGTAAGAATTCCAGATATGCGCTCAGAAATTCCAGAAGGATAGTGTTTATAAATCACTCCCTGATTCTGAACAATGGCTAATGGAGTGTGTGCTGTGAAACACTGGGTGAAATTTCCGGTCTGTCATTAACATCCTTTTAGATAAATGATTCCCAGTAAATAATTCCGATAAATGGAACTGCATTTCGTCATTCTAAGAAGGGAGGAGAATAACAGGACTGGAGGAACTAATGTGTAGAAGAGAAACAAAGCGAAAACGTGGGAAAATAAGAGATTGGCATAAATTATGCGTACAGAAAAATCTCAACATACACACACACACACAGAGGCAAATACAGATACATACTGACACAACACATCAGGAAAATAAATGATGGCTATCTCTACACTGAATTGATTGACTTTTTCGAGACTGAGTTCTGACATTTTCCAAAACCACAAACTAAGCAATTCATTTTCTTTTTAGATTAACCACAATCTTGGAATGAGTTCATGCAAATCCAGCCAGTTCTTGTTCTCTGATAATCCGACTTGCTATAAAATTCATCAGGCAAATTGAGTGAAGCGACTGAGGGTTAAACTCAAGGCAAAAATTCTCAGTCCCATCAGACTGGATTTATACTACATATATATATTATATTATTTCATTACCCTCAAATGCTCCACTCTTTGAGAGACCTGACAGAACAGAATGTTTCCACAGCACTTACATATTAATCTCCTTGTATTTCCTGGCACCTCATAAATCTGGAGTCAATAGTCAGTTCTAACATTTGGGACCTGACACATCTGTTCGAGCTATTTGGATTGCACAACAGACGGAAAATTACTCACTAGTCAGAAGTATTCACCCACAAAATACACACAGTCGCATCGCTTTACAACATATCCTGTGCAGCACTTTGAGACATTTCGACGACCTGTTATGACTCTATATCAAATGCAAGGATTATTATTACGTACCCAGTTCTTATTAGGCTTCTCTAGGTATGGGAACAACCTTGCTCCAGTGAAGCGAGCAACCAGTTCTCAAGCCTTTACTCACTGTACTTTGTAAAACAAAGCACAAGGACAGCTGTAAACCAGTATAAGGAAAACCACTGTAACAAACTGATTTCCGACCACTTTATGACACACTTGCTGCATGTCCATAGGAGTAGTGTAAAATAATCTATCATAACATCTGTATCTATTTTTAAATTCACCTTAACTTATCCCAGCTTGAATTACATTCATCAACCGTCACCACCTTCTGAGCCACACACTTGTCCAGGCTGTGCCGATTTCTACTTTTCTATTTTTCGACTCGGTGCTGTGCTCTGTCAAAACCAGGACAATCGAGAGAGGAATAAATTGAGAGCGAGTAAGAGAGCAGACTAAGCCATCAATTTTGATTTCTGATGTACAAATCGGCATTTAGTGAAGCTCACTGACCACCCACTCAGTCTCTTCACAGGCAATAACCCTAAAGAAATGGCACGACAAAGACAGGGTGTTTCAAGTCAGTACACAGCTTGAATCTACAGCATGAAAGTACACACCACTTGAATCGACAGCAAAAAAGCAGGACTGTGAAAAACTATGCATATACTGATCCACTGTTGTACATGCTTGAGGCAAGGATGCTGGACTCATTTGCAAAACAGCTTGATGCTCTTCTGATGGGAAAATAGTATGTATGGTGTTCTAGAATGATGAGATTAAATGGCTTCTTCATCCAAACTATTCTTGTGATTTTGTAGGAATGAAGGCAGTGCTTTGTGAGCCCAGAAGAGAATAACAGCACCTCGCTGTGGTTTCACAACTTGTACTTAAATGACAAGCTTGTCAAGAGGGCTCCCTGGATAGAGATCAGGAGCAGGAATCCTGGGTGATTTTTACAAGTCAAACCAGGTGAGTTGAGACCTATTATAACACCCCTATTGCTATCCCAACTGAGATCTGTCACTTTAACACTGACCAGCCATTGAACTTGGGATTTATCTGGTCAGTCAGTGCCAGTTTCTCACTGGAAAAACATGGGGGCAACTTATTTTCAAGGCTAATTCATTGTAAATCAGCATGTAGCAATCAGATGGAACCACTGTTGGCTATTGTTGTCTAACAATGAGAAGCGATGCTGTGATAAATTACAGACTTGAACCCAATTATTAGACTTCATGTTAAAATGACCTAGGCTCTGTACTCATGAGGGCAATAAAACAATTCTATGTGTGCGTGGTGACGGCAATGCAATAACTAGTCCTTGTGTGCAGTAATCGGTGTTACACGCTGCAGTGCAGTGTGTGGGTATGTGCAGAGACCTGATCCTACTCTATCCAGTGACACATCCTGCAATACACTTCCTAAGGCAAAGCCTTTTGTTGTTACTCGTTCAGTGACATTGTGATATCTGGCTCAATTTGCACCTTTTATTTTGCTGTGGAAGATAAAATAAAGCTCCTCTGAATCACGCCACATTATGTTTTGTGGCACTCTCCTCCCGAGGAGGGGGTAGTGGAGGTAAGCAGCTCCTTGGAGCTGAGCTAGCTGCAGGGTGATGTGCTTGACAGTGGAATGTCGGAATCGAGTCAATTCTCGGTGGGGGTCTGCGGTACTCCAAGAGTCTCTCTTGCTTTGCCACTTGTATTTGTAAATATGGTTCAGGGAAAGGGTGTGTCTTTCATTCCCAACACAGAGACATTCACACGCACAGGTGGCTTCCATATGGACATTAGTGTTATTCTGAAATCACATTGTCCAGTTCTTGCCAATTCAGTAATTCTAAAGTCAAAACCCAGTAGGTTTTACGTTTTCGACTTCCCTTTTGCAGTGAATATCATTTTCATCTTGCCAAAACTTTGAATTCATGCTGTGTCCCTTACTGTTTGGGGAACAAGCCGAGATGAATCTTGCCAGTAAACACATGCAAACGATATATAAAAAGTCTCTTAACTGAGTCATTTGTGAATGTCCCACCCCCTCGAAGTTTTATTTAATGCGTCCATTATCTCTCTTTTGGAAGAAGCTGACTGGAGTATGTTTTGCAGAAATAGTCGCATCTGCTCTGGATACACACCAAGCCGTGGGATCCTGAACCAGTTTATCAAACAGTACCTGCTTTTGATACTAACATTCTTTGCTTCCCCTAATGTTTATGCAAAGACAGAGAAAAATCAGCAGTTTGCTAAGTGGAAATGGCAGCTTGCCTCAACTAATACAAAATGCATTTGGTAGGCAAATAAAACCATGTACAGTATTTCTCTTTGCCACGAAGATACAATCCATCCCACATCCTGTTGCAGCCTCAGTACAGCCTTTACACGCAGTGCTAAGGAAGGAGTTTTTGTTTCAAATTCCAGCAGTAGTTCCAAGCTTTCAGATTTCTTCTGAAAAGGGTCGCAGAGATCCTTAGAACCATGTGGGATCCACACAAGAGAGATTTCAATTACCTGGTCTATTGAGTAAGTTGTAAACTGAGCTCTGTGTAACCCACTCTTCAAAGTGAATTCTAATTGTCACTGTTAAAAATTAAAACTTATTTTCAAAGTTGTTTTTTGAACTGGCATAGCTAACAAAATACAGAAAAGGATTGTCACAGAAGTCCACGTTAACACAAGCTGCTGTTTACTCCAACTGTGAGGAGATGCTGGACTTCCTCGAATCCAAAATCGAGGGGATACGTTCAGCCACCTCAGCCCCGTTCACAGCCATCCCACATCACCTCTCCCTCTTGACCCAACACACATCCCCCCTATACTCCTTCGATCCTATCTCTCCCTCCTCCCTCGCCACGACTGTCCGCAAACTCAAACCCACCACCTCGATCCCATCCCCACCTCTTTCCTCATCTCCCAGCTCCACCTTCTGGCCTCTCTCCTTGTCCACCCCCCTAAAAACAGCCGTCATCACCCCCATCTTGAAAAAACCTTCCTGGATCCATCCCTCCTCTCCACTACCGCCCCATCTCTAACCTCCCATTCCTCTCCAAGGTCCTGGAACTCCGCTCCTTTCTTTCTCGCCATTCCCTCTTTGAACCCCTCCAATCCGGCTTCTGCGCTGCCCACAGCACGGAAACAGCTCTGGTCAAAGTCACTAATGACATTCTGAACATCTGTGATCAGGGCTCCCTCTGCCTCCTTGTCCTCCTCGACCTCTCTGCCATCTTCGACACTGTCGACCACTCCATCCTCATACACTGCTTCTCCGCTTTACTCAATCTTCATGGATCTGCTCTTGCCTGGTTCGATTCCTATCTCTCTCACCGTCTCCACTTCGTTGCCTCTAACGGTTTCTCCTCCAGCCCCCGCATTGTTACGTCTGGCGTCCCCCAGGGCTCTGTCCTTGTCTCCTCTTTAATACCTACATGCTCCCCCTTGGTGACATCATCCGCAGACATGGGGTCAACTTCCACATGTATGTAGATGACACCCAACTCTATTTTTCTGCCTCCACCCTCAACTCCAGGACCACTGCTGTCCTGACAGACTGTCTGTCGGACATCAAGTCCTGGATGAGGGCAAATTTCCTACAGTTGAATGTGAACAAGACTGAGGCCCTCCTGATTGGCTCACGCCAGCGCCTCCGCACCTCAGGCTCTGGCAGCATCAACCTCCATGGTTGCTCACTTCAACTCACCAGCCAGTCAGGAACATAGGTGTCTTGTTCGATCCTCAACTGTCTTTTCTCCCCCACATTCAAGCCATGACCCGCTCTGCCTTCCCTCACCTCCGTAACATTGCCCGACTCCGCCACTACCTCAACCCTCAGGCCACTGAAACTCTTGTTCATGCCTTCATCACCTCCAGGCTCGACTATGCAAACTCCCTGCTTGTCAGCTTTCCCAACTCCTCCCTCCACAGGCTGCAGATAATCCAGAACTCTGCAGCCCGTGTCCTCTCCCGCACCAAACTACATGACCCCATCTCCCCCATTCTTGCCCGACTCCATTGGCTCCCTATCCTTCAGAGGATCCAGTTCAAGATCCTGGCCCTCACCTACAAAGCCCTCCATGGCCTCGCCCCACCCTACCTCTGTAACCTCCTAACCCCCTACCAACCCGCCCATTCCCTCTGCTCAGCTGGCTCTGGCCTGCTCCACATCCCCCGACCCACCCACCCTACCATTGGCGGGAGAGCCTTCAGCCACTTTGCCCCCAACCTCTGGAATTCCATCCCCCACTCACTCTGCCTCGCCCCCTCCTTAGCCTCCTTCAAATTCCACCTCAAGACCCTCCTCTTCAACCATGCCTTCAGCCACCCTCCTTCTCCTCCCCTCCCTTCTCACCCCCTGATCCCAGCTCGGGTCTGAAATGCTGTACTCTGTCCAGCGCCTTGGGATGTCCTCCCGACGTGACAGGAGCTATACAAATATAATCTTGTTGTTGTTGTTTACTGATAACATTATGACCAGTGATCCCTATCAGTGATCCCTACCTTGCCAAAGTTATTTGGGGACCAAGGCTGCTTCTTTTTCTTGATCAGGCAGCCTTCGATCGGTAAAAATACTCGGATCTGTTCACACATTCAGATATACAGCATAGGAGCCATGGTGTGGACTGGAGTTGTGTTACACAGTTTGAGAATGCCAAACTCTTATCAACACTGTTTGACCAAACCCCTTGATTCAACAACATAATTCCCTCCTTGTGCGATACCACTGAAGGCAAACTGTTTGTACAATCTGCTGGAGGGAGAGGCACGATAATTCATGTTTCTGAATATGGCTGAGTTTATAACAAGCACCACCTAAGTAATAGGAACATCGCTCATGTCATAGATATACCATAAAATGACTCAAAGTGAATGACTCAATTCACCTGTTGGCATATGTTATGAAGCCGATTCACCTTTGCATGAGGACAGGCAACACCCATTGCTATTAAAGGATGAGCAAATGTTAAAGTGATAGGCAGAAGGGGAGGCAGACAAGAAAGAAAACAGGAAAGAAAGGTAGGATATAAGCTGGGCCAATAGAAAAGTGCAGAAATATTTGTCAAAAATTGCAGGGAAATTTGAAAATTCTGTGGAAAATTGGGGGAAGTTAATCAGTGCTATTAAGGTATATTTTTTCTTTAACAAAAACTGGGTGGCCAATTGGGGGGGGCGGGTGGGCAGCACCTGGAAGAGCCTGGAGCACCACATACAGAGACACACGCACAGACACACATTCTCAGAGAGAGAGACACACATACACTCATAGAGACAGAGACATATACACACACACACACACAGACAGCAGAGAGATGTACATACACATTCACACAAAGACACCTCAAACACACTTTTCTATTAACCCAGGATATAAGGAATAAAAAGGTACATGTGGACCCGAATTCAATTCCCAGTACGGCAAAATGTTGGGCAAGTTTCCTTACTCCACACACCTGTTTACCTAGCAGTAAGTAGGAACCGGGTTGTTAGTCAATAACAACAACTTGCACGTATATGGTGCCACCTACGCCCTCCCCTAGTCAATTGGCGGATCGCTTTTCCAGGGGTAATAATTCCTTAAAAAATATTTGGTCACTCAATCCACCACTGTTTGTGGGACACAGCTGTGCACAATTGGTTTCTGCTTTTCACCCACAAAATATAGTCAATTCACTTTAGAGTATATTCTGTGAAGCGCTTTGAGACGTCTCAAAGACGTGATAAACATTGTATGAAATGCAAGGACTATTATTGTTATATTTGCAGAGAACGGCCCTGCACGATATTACGATGGAGGCGGACATATTCCTGACAAGGACAAGTAGAGTGTTATTTCCACCGAGTTTGAGGCAAGAGGGACGCACCATGAAACAGGTTTTAAACCAGCAATCGATGTACTGCAATGATGTGGAGACAATATCAATTTGGTCCAACCTGTATCTGCTTTTCTTTGCCGGTTATTTAAAAAACACACGAGGATTGATCATGTCCTGTGTATAAACACGAACTGGAGACTGAATTGCTTGAGCAAGAGCTCGGCAGAGCCCTCTGGTGGGAAAAAAAATATCAATGGATTTTGTGTCCAATCAACACATTTTTTCTTTGCTAAGGATCATATTATCCCGATGGTTATTCCGCCCAGACTTTAAATGGTTCAACATTTCAGATGAGATTCCTCCTTACCTGTATTGTTTTTGGTGAGCAGAGCTTGCTGGCTCATTTTGCATCTATCCCCCAGTGCATTTTGCTTGTCAATCTCTTAGTCCTGCTTGTACTACCACCTATTTTTTCTGCCCAGTTAGACTCAGTGCACATTACTGAGATCACGTTAATTAGTGTAATGAACTACTGTCCCCTATTAAACGAGCCTTAATTTAGCTGTAAACTGTGATAGCTCCATCCCTCCTTTGAATGTAACTCACTCTCCCATAGCAAAGCTAATACATAATCTCCTCTACTGGAGAAATCCACTAACCCTTCGCCCTGATATTAACCCATGTTGCCCACATGTGTGCAACACGAAACGTGATTTGTGAAATAGCACAGGAGAGAACTGAAAAAACTGCACAAACTCCAGTGACAGGTGTGTTCACGAATTCACGTTTTTAATGTTCATTCTTTTACAAAAAACATTCAAACACAGGTACATTCATCCTCACAAGCTGAGGAAGGATTAGTCATGAGATCGGTAGAGAAACTGGGCAAAGGTGCAGGATGGAGGATAAAGCAACCAACACAAAGGAAGCACATTCGTGAGGTAAAAGTCAATAACAAAATAATGCATCGATTTATTTTTAGCTATAATTTAGTGCTTTTATCAAATACGTTAAGAGTGACAGTCAGATAAAATACCTTCCCTACACATACATGCCAGTCAGTGGTGCAAACTCCTTCCTTTAGAATCGGATAAAAGTTGCATCGATTTGTCGTATGGATGGAAGGGACAACATTACTTTCCGTCGATACTGTGGATCCTTCTGCAACGGGTTACCTTCGAAATATACCGTCTGGAGGTTTTTTGCGTTCTTCAGTTCATCGAGGTCACTCCACTGCTCAATTAAATTATCGTTCATCTACAAATTAAGGGAGGTAAAAAATTCAGAACACAGGGCGATAAAAGGAGATCTCCAAATCATCAATCACACACACAACTTAATTTCTTGCGAGTTCTGTAAAGATTCATTATTGAATGATGTTTCATTTGTTTGATCTACATAAATCTGGAATTGTTTAATAACCAGAATGTTAATTATAATTTTCACAAACAAGCACTCCCAACACACTCATCCAATCTTCAGCTGAGATGTTGAACCGAGGTTCAACCGAGATGTCTGCCCGTTCAGGTGGACATTAAAGATCCTGTGGCACTATTTGAAAAGAATTTCTCCCGGTGGCCTGACCAACAAATTCCCCAAGTAAAAATGGGTCACTCCATGGTTGTCTATGGGGTATTGTTGTCACAAACTGACTTACAGTATATCCTGTGAAGCGCTTTGAGACATCGACAACGTGATAAGGCGCTATAGCAAGGATTATTTAGCTGGTCTCTAAACCTTTAATACAAAACGCTCTCAAATTTTGCATCCAATTCCCAAAATAAAAGTCTATGTTGTATATAAAACCTCACCTGATATCGTATATCACAAAAACATTTACATGAAATGCTACTTATATTTAGTGATTTTAGTGAGGTAAAAATTCTATCATTGAGGTGTAAAATGGTGTGCATTGTATGCAAATACAATTGCAGCAAATATTTAGAGTCTGAAGAGCAATCTGAAGCGAATGCCTTTAAGTATTATACAGTGCAGCACGTATCTTCTGTTCTGAGTCAACAAACCCAGAATTCCTGGAGCTCTGTGAGGTGGCTGATATTCTCAATCTTCTTGATTCGGTTGTTTGCTATGTCGACTGTGGTTAACTTTTTCTGCAATACAAGAATAGGTCATTAATGACCTCTGTGTACAGGACAGTGACTGGTTTGGTGAAACAAAGTCATTATTACAAGCTTGTGATGTTGGTACATTCAGACGTTAATCCAGTTTATAAACGCAACACCTCACGACGTTTGCACGATTGGACTATTTTTACATAACACTATCCAACATACAATCGTCATCATTCAATTCCTCAATTATGTCCCAGTACTAGACACACGCACTAATGTGAACAAGTTTCGGCAGTGACTCACATTGTTTTCTAAACCTTCGATCACTTCAATCCCATTGTGACTCAGGTAAAGCTCTTGCAAGTTGACCAGACTTTGCATCCCTTCGATCTTTGTAAGACGGTTGCTCTGAAAGAAAGGTTGCCATGGGTTTGTCAAGACTTCCCATCAACATTGATGCGTAAAAAAATTAACACAAAGTAGGAAAAATGCAGGCACAATCCAGGCACTGAAATTGGCAAAGTCAGCACACAACTTGCAGACCAGCAGGGAGATTACCTGTATACTGAGTACCGTCAGATTCGTTAGCCCGTCCAGGTTCTGTAATTTGGTGATTTTGTTTTTACCCAAAAACAAACTGGTCATCTTTTTTAGAATGTCAATATTCTCTATAACCTGTTAACAAAACAATGCTGCAGTTTGTTATGCCGCTTCCATCAAAACAGCAATAATTCAACCAAACTGTACCCTCACTTTAAATCCAGACAGCACAGTAAAGTAACTAGGAGACTGATTTTACACCATCGCCCTCCACAGCATGTTGGCTGGGGCTGAGGTCTCGTGTGTGCACACAGACTAAGAGTGAGTGGAGATGTATTCCAACTGTCAGTGAATGCTCTTTAGTTTGTAATGTCATTACAGAGCTAGGAAAGCAACCAACTCTTTAACAATAAAAAAAATCCATTGAACTATTAAGGGATGATTCTTGAATGGAGGCCAAAAGAGCTTTTCACATCTTATTTATACTAAAGAGGTGGAAATCAATGTGCTAGTGAAACTACTTGCTCAACATGGTGCCAGGCTCCAGTATGCTTTAAATAATTCAGTGCAAAAAGCACAATCTAAACCAGACATTGGAAAACACTCTTCTGCTGGATTCACAATAGTGGCATGAATGAAGTATTTAATAACGGAAACTAACAAGTGGTTACGGTATTAAAAAAAACACTGAAAATAAATATGTAGCAGAGTGTTCCCACACGTGGATGGTGCCAGTGACCAGTTGCCAGCACACTTACCCGGATGCGATTCGATCCGAGCTCCAGGAGGTCCAGCTGCTCGAGGTGGCCAATATTTTCCATTTTCGTGATCTTATTGTTCAGGAGGAAGAGCTTCTTCAGCTTTGTCAGGCCTTCCAGACCATCAACTTTCCGCAGGATGTTAAACGAGAGATCTAAAATCCTGTGCAACAAAAGAGAAGTAGAAAAGCCCAACAGTAAATAATTAATAAATAAATAAATCCTTGCATTTGATATTGCGCCTTATCACGTTGAGACATCTCAAAGTACTTCACGGGACACATTGTAAAGTGATGGTGGTCTAATATATGAGCATATTTTTCATTCTTTGCCTTTGCTCTTTTAAAATGTCCCTCAATGCCAATCAAAAATAAGCAATGGAAAATAGCAAAGTTCTAGGAATTGTGCTATTCATTGCAGCTAGCGTTACTTACTCAAGGTCCTTCAAGACCTGAAGATTTTCGATTACTTTGATCTGGTTATCGTACAGATCCAGCTCTCGGAGTGTCGTCAGATGGTCGAGGTTCTCGATCATTTTGATAAGGTTCTGACGAAGACATAGCACCTAGAATCGATAAGAGACCAGGTGGGAATTAAAGGAAGGTATTTCAAACATTTTTAGTTACCCATTGACAACCACAGATCCCTAATCCTACAAGATCTACACGTTATATAAACATTTTAAATCATTTTAGATTACAACTATTATCTATGCTGAATGATGGATTCCTTTGTCCAACTCAAAGCAATGAGGAAAAAAACCTTCTGGAGATTATGCATTTTCTCCAGAAGGTTTTGTTTTGTCTCATTGCTTTGAGTTGGACAGCTTCTGCTTAGGATTTTTGTAAAGCTGTAATAGTCTTAATTCAGCACATCAAATGTTTCCCACTACTTCTAATAACACTGATAGACCTGTAAACATTAGGCAGTTACCCTCAGAATGCAAAGGCAAAATCTACAGTTGTCCTGCTGGGCGCTTTCACAGTATTAAAATTTCACACGCCCATCAATCAGCATTTCTGAAATCTTAGTGACACTACTAGAAATTACATCAGCACATTCCCCAAAACCACTAGAACCAAAAGCAACACTCGTGCCACAGAGTGCTGCAGTATTCAAAACAAGATAGTAGGAGGCACAAAACGACAAGATAATCAAATATTGCACCCAAATGCCAGCTGACCTTACCTTCACTTTCTTCAGGACTTCAAACCCTTCAATCTTCCCTATTCTGCAGTGATTCAGATCAACATCCTGCAAAAATGATAACACATAGACGTGTAAGGGTATGTAAGTCCACTCAAATAAAGTGGGGGGAGGGGGGGCAGGTGCGGTGTTTGCTTACCACAAACATCTTAATTGGAACATCAAAGCAGAATGACATTAAGCTCTCACAAACTACAAATGTTTGTGAGTCCTGTAGCGTATTGGTGAGAGTGGTAAGAGCACTCGCCTCGCAAGTGAGAGGACCCGGGTTCGATTCCCGGGCAGGGCGAATAGGCAAGTTTCCTTACTCCACATGTCTCTGTTTAGCTAGCAGTAAGTAGGAACCCAGTTGTTAGTCGATTGGCAGATTGCTTTTCCGGTGGTAATAATCCCTTCAAAAAAATATTTTAAAAATTATAATAATTTTGTCACTTAATCCAGTTCGACCACAAAATATATAGTCAATTCACTTTACAGTATATTCTGTGAAGCACTTTGACACAGCTCAACAACTTGATAAGGCACTATGTCAAATGGATTATTATTAGATAACAATAACAACTAGCATTTAAATAATGCCTTTCATGTTGAGCGGACATCCCAAGGTGCTGGACAGTCAAGGGTTTGCACCCGAGCTGGGGGGGTGGATTTGAGAGGCATACATGAATGTAACTCACCTCTGCTTCAGGATCTAAAATGACTGTTTCAATATCAACTGGAGTATCTGGTTCTCCTGAAAAAGTAAATCATTTGAATTATTAGAAAATATGGTCACTCCTCCAAGGATTATTTATTGTATACAACAACAACAAATTTATATATACATCGCACCCTTCAAGTCAGGACCACGTCCCAAGTCATTGATACAAAGCTGAAAACAATCTCAACCATATTTGTTGCGATGAGGTACCAACCTTGTCAAGAGCAAGTGAGAGAGGGATAAACTCGAGGGAAATGGCACTTCATACCTTCTGGAAGCAAGATCAAGTGCAGCATTGATGAGTTTCCCAGATGGTCATTTGCTTGCCACTTAGCCACAAGACATGTGTGACCAAATGCAAAAAAGGGTAACTGGATGCAAAAGTACATTACTTTTGATTATATCAGCCGTGTAAATATACTGTATAATTAACTGCAGTGTAAATATAAGGTTCGGTACCTGATGCATTTCCCCTCACTCTAATATTCTGAAACACTTCTTCAATCACTCCTTTGTTTTGTCCGTCTTCATCACCGGACTCTTCAGATTCCACTCGTCTGTCAACTGCAAAACACCACAAAATTATTGCAGCTATGACAACACTGTAGACCATTTCAAAAGATTCATGTTATATAATTAATCTTCATCTAATCACAATCTGTTCCCAATTCATAACTGATTAAAGTACCACTAACCCAACAACAAGATTCCATTTATAACCCAGAACTTTATATAAGTAATGTAATAGCCTTACACAATCTGGCTCTAACGGCAGTATTTATTCAGTTTTACTACAATAAAAGGTCCTTGAAGCAGGAAAGACTGAGTCAGACTATCAGTATCAACTTCTTGCAGGAAAAAATGTCTCAACCACTTAGAAGCTTATCGTGGTCTGTCTGAAATAAAATGATATGAGTAACCACAATCGACCAGTTCATAGTTTACTCCCGAGAGATATCTGTCCCCTCCTCTCTCTCTCCACTCCCATTATAATTTATCCATCGTTCCAACAACGCCCCACTCTCTCTCTCTCGCTCCCCCTCCCCATTAGCACTCCTCTCCCCATCAGTACTACTTTCCTTATTAGAACTCCTCCTCCCATTAGTACTCCTCTCCTCATCAGCATTCGTCTCCCCATCAATACTCCTCTCCCCATTAGTATTCCTCTCCCCATCAGTACTCTTCTCCCCATCAGTACTCCTCTCCCCATCAGTACTCCTCTCCCCATCAGTACTCCTCTCCCCATCAGTACTCCTCTCCCCATCAGTACTCCTCTCCCCATCAGTACTCCTCTGCCCATCAGTACTCTTCTCCCCATTAGTACTCCTCTCCCCATCAGTACTCCTCTCCCCATCAGTACTCCTCTCCCCATCAGTACTCCTCTGCCCATCAGTACTCCTCTCCCCATCAGTACTCCTCTCCCCATCAGTACTCCTCTCCCCATCAGTACTCCTCTCCCCGTTAGTATTCCTCTCCCCATCAGTACTCCTCTCCCCATCAGTACTCCTCTCCCCATCAGTACTCCTCTCCCCATCAGTACTCCTCTCCCCAGCAATACTCCTCTCCCCGTTAGTATTCCTCTCCCCATCAGTAATCTTCTCCCCATTAGTACTCCTCTCCCCGTTAGTATTCCTCTCCCCATCAGTACTCCTCTCCCCATCAGTACCCCTCTCCCCATCAGTACTCCTCCCCCATTAGTACTCTATCCTCTCACTCCTTTTCTCCCCATCGTTACTCCGATTCCTCATTCCTTCTGACCGCCCATCAGCGCTCTGGCTGCCCTACCCCCTCGCTCTCCTTCCCGCCCTTTTTTTCTCCCTGACTCACTCTCCATGGGCTGCTGCTGCTGCTGTTCCCCTCCTTTCTCCGCCATTCTTTATTTCGCTCCTCAAAACACCGGAAGTAGCGTGAGGTCACCGAACGGACTTCCAATAGGAAGCGCGGCTTCGGCTCAAACGAACCAATCAGAGTGGAGCGGGGCGGGATCCCGGTCATGCGTAGACCAACATAGCGCAGAGCATGACGGGAGTTGTAGTTTATATTCAACATTTAATTTACATTATTTTCCCCATTGCAACATTTCTGCATCACACACACACACACAACACACACACTCCTCCTGCAAGGATAGTTCTATCATGCTGCAGTCAGCACTGTTCATGTTTTACATTGCAGCCTAGGGCTATTGTGTAAATAATCCCTCCAAAACCAATAATAAATTGGTCATTTTCAATCTACCACTGTTTGTGGGACATTGCTGTGCGCAATTGGCTGCTGCGTTCGCCCACAAATATACAGTCAATTCACTTTACAGTGTGTTCTGTGAAGCACTTTGGGACGTCCTCCCGACGTGAAAAGCGCTATATCAAATGCAAGGATTATTATTATATATATAAGTTGAATTAAGATGATTACATGTGTGTTTTTCTTTTAATCAAATGTGACATATAATATTTTAAGATGTTGTCAGTTTTAAAGATAAGATAGATACATATATATTGTCAGCTGTTTGGTTGCCTTGTTCTATTCACAATACCAGAAAAGTCATGCAGTAATTGCTTCAGATGGTAGTAGGTAATTATCAAAGAGACTTTGCCACCGTGATAGTGTAACATTTTTTTAGACAGGCTGATTCAAGCGACAAATTGCTTTGTTGATTTTTTGATTCACTTCGTGGCTGTTTGTGGGACGTTGCTCTGTGCAAATTGGCCTCTGCGTTTGCCTGCAAATACATAAGAGTAAATCCTACAAAGTGCTTTGAGATGTCTCGACCCCAGCTTGGGTGCGAAACACTGATTGTACAGCACCTTGGGATGTCCTCCTGACATGAAAGGCGCTGTACAAATGTAATTTTCTTTGATGTTGTCTCATCATGATAAGGTGCTATGTCGAATATAAATATTATTTTAATTTCCCTTCCCAAGCCCTCATGCAGTGAGGCCACCTGAAAACCAACAACCGTGCAGCCCAGTTGAGATCGGACAGGCAAAAGATCACTACGCTTCATAATATATTCTGTGAAGCACTTTGAGACGTCTCGAAGACTTGATAAAGCGCTACGTCAAATGCAAAGATTATCGCTATGAGACCGGGATGCAAGCCGGAAAATCTCCGGTCTGCGTAATCGATTGCAGCGACCCAACGAGGTCATCAAGGCAAATGATGCCATTTATTTGAACTTTTTCCTACGTTCCTTTATGTGTGTGTGTGTTTCTGTTTTCCTCTTGTGCCTCTTCCCTATCCCTTTTGAGCTCAGCGTTTAAGTTTCGATGAAGAGCGGTGCCCCAAAATGCGACGCGTACCTCCTTTTATTTTTCTATTATAATTCTTCCAACCGGTTGACCGGCAGGACATCGCCCACAAGGGTACCGCTGTCACCTGAGAATAATAACAACAACAATAATAATCCTTGCATTTGATATAGCGCTTTGCACGTCGTGGAGGACGTCCCAAAGCGCTTCGCAAGTGAATTGACTTGTCTATTTGTGGGCGCAACGCGGCAGCCAACGGCGCACAGCGACGTCCCGCAAAACAGCCGCGGGTTGAAAATGACCAATTTATTATTGTTTTTGGAGGCATAATTATTATAATTATTATTATTATTATGACGAGAAATGTCGTGGGGCGGTGCGTGTATATGTGTGTGTGTGTTCTTGAAAAAAAAATACCAAATTTATAGCCCAAGTCGACGGGAAAAAAAAAGAGAGGCGGATTTTTTTTTTCCTCTTCTGGTCACGAAGGGAAAGAGGCCCCGACGACAAGTTGCGACGCCGGTGTTTAATAACGATATTATTAGTATTATTATTATTAGTAGTAGTAGTAGTAGTATCATCATCACGGGATGCGCGGCCCCGCACGGCGAGGCCCCAGCGACGGTCTCCATGGCAACGGCCGCGGGTGGCCGTTGGGGGGATCCGCCGCCGCCGCCGCCGCTCTTCGAGGCGGGAGAGGGGGACCTCGAATGACATGGGAACCGGCGAGGGGGCAGCGTCTGGAGGGTGAGCCCCCGGGGAGGGAGGGAGGGAGGGAGGGAAGGCGATGGAGGACCGGACGGGAGTAGCGCTCTCACCCCGGTATCCCCTCCCCCCCCCCGGAGCGCGGCCTGTGGTTGGCGGCCTCTCCTGCGCTGTGCGGCCTCCGCCCCTCACACCGCCCACCCATTGCTCGGCGCCGCTGTCACTCAGCCCCGGGGCCGCCTATCGCCTCTCAGCAGATGGGGTTTTGGCGGCGAAGCGCGGGTGTGAAGGAGAGGGAAGGAATGGCGGCGGGAGCGGCGGGGGGCAGGTAAGGCAGGAGCCGGGGGCCCGGGGCCCGGGGGGGGAGGTGTCGCTGGGCGGCGAGGCGGTCAGGGCCGGTGGTGGTGGTGGTGGTGGGGGGGAGATGGGGCTCTGTGTCCCACCGGGAGAGGGTCTCAGTGGCTTTGCTTTCTGTTGACGCTGATTTAAGATCGACTTTTTTTTAATTTTATTTTTATTTGACGTTTCTTTAATGGGGTCTCACTATCTCTCGCGGTGAGAGATATACAGTAATAATCCATGTGATGATACTGATGATAATAATAATGATGATGATGATGATGATAATCCTCGCGTTCGATGCAGCGCTTTTTTCACGTCCTCTCCACCTCCCAAAGCGCTTCGCGGAACACACTGTAAAGCGAATGGACCGTATATTTGTGGGCGCAACGCGGCAGCCGATCGCGCACAGCGACGTCCCACAAACAGCCGCGGATTGAAAGTGACCAATTTACTATCGTTTTGTTTTTTCGGAGGGATTGGTCTAGTTGGGCGTCGCAGAGCGTGTTTGGCGCCCAGTTTTCCCCCCCCCCCCCCCCCGGCGGCCAATTTGCGCACAAGTCAGTGTCCCGACACACGGCCGCGGAGTGAAGAACTCTTTTGTTTTTGTTCGAGTAGTGCCTTGGGATCTTTCGCATCCATCTGAACTCGCAGGTGGGACCTCAGTTTAATGGCTCATCTGAAGGCGGTACCTCTCAACAACCTCGTGCGCCCCCCCCCCCCCCCAGCACTGCGCTGGAGTGTCAGTCGAGATGTGCACGTAGACCCAACTTTCTGACTCGGTGATGAAAATGATACCCGCTGAGCCGTGCAGTCTGATACGTCCTTAGGTTCAATCCTTATCTGTACTGTTGGCTGATCAAAGTGCTTACTGTGAAGTGGATTTACTGTGAAATGGAGTGGTTGTGTATTTGTGGGCGAATACGGCAGCCACTTTCTGCACAGCAGCGTTCCACTAACACTGATGAAGTGAATGACCAATTTTATTTGAGGGATTGTTGGCCAGGACACCAGGAAAAACTCCCTTCTATTATCGAATAGTACCATGGGATGTTTATTTTCCACCAGAACAGGCAGACAGGACCTCGGTTTAGTGCCTCATCCAATGGATGGCGCCAATGCATCACTCGGTGACTTCTCAGCATTAATAATCCTTGCATTTGATGTTGCACTTTTCACGCCTTCTAGACGTCTCAATGCGCTTTACAGAATAGATTGTAAAATGAATTAACTGGATATATTTGTGGGTGAAGTGCAGCAGCTAATTACACACACATTGCTTTGGTGTGTCAGCTTAAATGTGGGGCTTGAATCCACAACCTCCTGACTTAGGGGCAAGAGTGCTTCTACTGAGTCAGGCTGACACACATATGAACATTGTCCATTTGAGTCAGTTTCTGGTTGACCTCCTCTACCTGTGGAATTGCATCCCAGCATGGATTGCTTTCTTGGGGGTGGGTAATAAAAGGAGAGTATTAAAGAAAAAAATAGGAGAAGCAGCAAAAAGAAAATGCCGGGAGGGGTGGATTGTTTGGGTTTAGTGATACAGAAATTAAGTTGTGTTTGCACTTACAAGTTGTAGAAGCAGGACTGAATTTATAAATAAACATTCTGCCATTATATATCATTGGCTTTCGGTCTCATTTTTAAGTTGTTTCTCATTTTTACTTTTCTGCATATGTGGCAGTTCAGTGGGCCAAAGACAACACATTTTTGGCATTAAGGATTGCTGGCAGGTGAAAAGGAAAGAATGATATATATTTTGTTAAGGATAGACTACTGCTAATAGCCATATTTTAAGAGGGAAAAAAGAAAAATTGGATACAGATTGTAACCTCATTGAAATAAAGAGATGAGGTTTATTGACTAAATGACAGATCAAAACCACACTGAAATGAGTAGATCTGAGTTTGCAATGAGAAGCACACAGTTGTATTAAATCCTATCTCAGGCTATGACTTTTAGGAAGCTTTATGTGTTTTATTCTTGTGTCTCTCTCTCTGTCTGTACAATAGGTGAAGAGTAAACGTTTGAATAGAGGCGGCAGTACCGAAGATGGAATCAAAGTTCCTAGGATCATTGGATGGCCGACTATATGGTATCTCTCCGCCCGACAGTTTAGAGAATGGCAAAAGGGAAAGGGCTGCCTTATTTGGACTTGAAATGAGGTTGAATAATTCATTCGACTTGAGCAAAACATTTCCTCGAATAGTGAAACCTTCCTTCAGAAGTGGAGCTCCAGGCACCTGTAATCTGGATTCCTTTACAGGTGGGATTTTCTTCTGCAATTGAAAATTAAGAGAAATGCACAACTGATGGATGATGGATCGTGGGTGATATGGGCTTGGCAGAGAACAGGAAGATCTGGCGGTTGTGGGTGGGTGGCATCATTTATTGCCCACAGGAGGAGACACAAACAAATGAACTGTTTGCACTCCTTGCTGAGGAGGAGGTTGCACAGCCGTGAGTACCTCTCTGGCCAAATTCCTTGCTGAAGGAGGACGTATGGTGTTTCAGATCATCTTGCTTCCCAGTTGGAGATGGATATGTCTCCTTCCTTCCTGGTTTAAGAAAAATACATGGTGGTTGGTAGAAAAAATAGTATCAGATATAAAGGAAAAAGTCAATGTGCTTGTTATCTTAATTGTTCTTTGCTTCCCTCCATTAGGAGAATCTCTGAACTCTTACAGTTACTCTTCTGTGGCTTCTCGAAACCTTTTCTTAACTGACCGAAGTGGCTCGTTTTCCCAATGTGGTTCCCTCTCGTACTCCGGATCAGCTTCCAATATATCTAGCAACTTCTGGAATCTTCTAGCAGGGGGCGATGGTAATTCCTCTCTGCCCTCCGCAGTCCGTAACCCTAACAAAGCCATTCTTACAACAGACAGCTTGACTACAGAGGTATGCGATGAGTTCAGAACTTTATGTAGCACAACCTTGGAACCATGTACAAAAATATGCCACATGTAGAAAGTCAAAACCAGATTCAATAAAAGTAAATGATATCCTTGACAAATAAATGTTTCATCAAGACTTTACACGGATTTGGAAAGGGAATAAAACTGGAGGAGACTCCAATATAACATAGTTTCTTTGGTGCTTTCATTGCAAAGCTACATACTGCAGCAGGAAAGTATTACCACAGATCTGTCTTTGTCTCTCGATGTGAATATTTGGGGAAATCTAGACAGTATGCTTTGCAGCAACTCTTCTGTGCATTTACCGTATTGGCAAAAGAAGAAAATTGTAACCTGAGCCTGTGTTACCTAGTTCTGCATGTGTACTTGTAAATATCTAATTCTAGCCACAGTGGGGAATTGAAGTGCAAACCTTATGTGACTAACGGCTTTGCACTGTCAGACAGACTGAGCTGGGATTGCTTGTTGTGATTTATGGGGAAAAAAGCATTATATTATCCCCTTCCCCACCAATCCATAATGTGAGTTTCCACATCGCGTGCCTGTTTTGAAATTCAGCGGTTTAATTCTTAAATATTTGGCATAATTTTCTTTCCTTTATTAATCCGTCACATTAATCATAAGGAAAATGCTTTTCTAATTATAAATAATAAACCTTACATTTGGTACAGCGCTTTTCACGTCGGGAGGATGTCCCAAAGTACTTCACAGGATATTTTGTAAAGTGTAGCGTCTGTGTGTTTTGTGGATGAACACGGCAGCCGATTTGTGCACAAGCTTCAGCTCGAAATCCTCATGACCATTTGTTCTGTGTATTTGCAGATACTGGTTGCCAATGACATGGCTTGTAAATTGCTTGGTTACAGTAGCAAAGAATTGATTGGTCAGAAGTTATCTCTGCTGGTTACAAAGTCTAATCATGGCCTGGAGGAGGCATTGTATGAAGAGTATCCAGAAGTTGATGGACATGTTTCGACTATCTCTGGGAAAGTGGTATGTGTTAGCTGACTTTCACTCCTTGATCCCCTGACATCTGGTAATGTCTCCATGATTCATCCTCAGTATTTTATTACTGCTACGTGGCAATGATCTTTTTGGTACTTATTCCTCTTGTTTCCATTGAGAACGAACTCCCATCTTTTTCTTATCAGATTGACATCATTGACAGTGAGGGATCAGAGATCCCAGTGTCGGTCTGGATGAAACGTGTGACTGGAGAAGACAAGCAGCGCTGCATTGTAGTGATGGAACCTGTTGAGCGAGTGACTGCTTCGGTCACGTTCACAAACAGCGTGAGTACCGATTGTTATCTACATGCACTTTGAGAGAAAATGCAGGGTAGCCCGGTTAATTTAAGGTCAAAAGTCATGCATTTTAGTTATGATGTGGGAAGTTCTGAGACTGGCTGGAAGGGCATAAATCGTATAGTTTATGTTATATAGTGTGAAAATTGCAGTGTACATTTTTTTGTATATATATGTGTGTGAATTTATGTAATGTATAAGATTTCTGGAAGTGGAGAAATCTTCAGAAAAATATTTCAAGCACTGGAGTTTTAGTTTCGTCCTCAAATCCTGTTTCATAGCTTTCATTCACAGCAGCCCTTTGAATAACGATTGGTAATACCTGTTTTGTGGAGATCTGAGAAGGAATTATGGGATTTTGATGAATAATTTTATCCTCCAGATTATATATCATCCCATTCTTGGCTTCTATTCACCACATATTCCAGTTTCTGAGATTCACATTAAGATATATTGCATTATGTTTGTTTGTTTATTTCAGATTTAAATCCTTTTTTTTCAGGGAAAAATTATATCCTGCGACTCAGCATTTGCCCATCTTCACGGTTACATGGCTGAGGGTGACATCAACGGTTTTTCAATAACAGATGTTATTCCTTCCGTAAAGATACCATTACCTTGCAAGACATTACCAAAGGTTAGAATTCTGTGGGCACGTGTGCTGGACAATGAGATTAGAAGGGGAGGGAAAGAGACTGGTATTTTAGGTAGGATGTCCCTCTAACATCCAAGCACATTCCTAAATAAAGCTAGTTGTTTTACTGTAGCGTGCTAGATGTTTTGAACCATTTTGTAAGGCTGGTTAAGTGATTACATCAACAAGTTTGCATCCTTCTGATTTGTAGCTCAGAACCTTGCTAAACCCAGGAATTAGGATTTCTGCAGACACACAGATGTAATAATTTTTTAAATCTGAACTAGGTGCTTTCAAACACATCTGCTGCAAATTCATAACTGGGCAATTTGCCTGTTTGTTTGCTATGATAACTCTCTGTACTTTGTCTCTTCCTACAGTACTTCAGGATTCAGCGAGCTGCTGGCAGAGCAAAAGATGGCACTACCTTCCCTCTCAGTATTAAACTAAGCACTAAAATCCTAGAAGATCAAAGCACTAAAAATCAGCAGGATCTGCCACACAAACTGTGTTCTGCAGGTACAGTACAATGTAATAATTTTCATATGTCTGTTGCACAAAGTTCATTACTTTTGCGACAGGAAAAATAAAAGGAATGCTTAATTTTCTCAGAATGCATAAACTTAACCTTGAGGTAATGTAGATTGCAGTGTTGTTTATCATTGTAAAAATGACATCACATTTTAGGGATTCAGAAATACCAAATGAGGTTATTGTTGCCGCTGCCAGTTCCATCCCTCCATTTGTTCTGTGTAATATGTTCTGGATCTAAAATTCCTCTATGGAGATGCCCTTACACCCCCAAATAATTTGGGGTATTTTTGTGAAACAGATTCTCGTTCTCTTTCCTCTAGGTGAGGCTGAGGAAGACAATGGCAGTCAGGTCAACTCAGTCATGGTTTTCTCAGGAGTTGTGTGGGTTTTTACCACCATCAGTGGACTGCTCACCCTCTTGCCAGATGGAACGATCCACAGTGTGAATAACAACTTTGCTTTGATGTTGTTTGGTTACGAGAAGAATGAATTACTGGGCAAGGTAAGATAAGTCTCAATTATGAAGCATAGTTGGCTAAGGTAAAGTGGTGAATAATGCTGCCTTTGGCGAGACTTACTTGGGTTCCGTGTATGACCAGATCACTCATTAAACTATCTATGCAAGGGTATTTACCTGTCCAATTGAGATTATCATGTATTGGAATGTTCCCCTTGCAAGGTTGAGATTAATTGAATTAATAAATATAACCATCAAAAACTGAAGTTCGGAGAACTGAGCTTTGAAGCAATTCCAGCAAAACTTGGGTTTGGGATTTATTGAAAATCATACAAACCGCACAACATAGAATTTTCTTTCACAGAGAGTGACTGTTGGTAACTCATGACTGGTGTTGTGAGTCAAGATAGAACTGTGAGCACTTGTTAATTTCATGCTCTATTTATTGGGTGGGAGGTAATGAATCTTGTCATCGTGAGCAATCATTAAAAGTTTGAATTGTTGACAACAGCTGACATCAGAATAACAGCTACTGTCCAGTTGTGTGTTCATTTATTTGTTTACTAAACCAAATTAAATTGGAGCTAGTGCCTTGGGACGTCCTCCCGACGTGAAAGGCGCTCTATAAATGGAATCTTGTTGTTGTTTTTAACCATTGATTAACTTTACTTTTCTGGTTGGGTGGTTGAAGTGTCATTATCTGAAAGATGTTTGCAAAACATGTCTTTGGAGATTCTGAAATGAATAAAATGAAAAGCTTCCATTTGTATTGCATATTCTGTCATTGGATTGGATTTTTCTGAGACCGAAGGTATTCTTTCATTTTCCAGAATGTTATGTTTTTAATTCCTGGATTCTATGACTACATGGATCCAGTCGACGACAGCTCCCTTCCACTGCCACCCTTGGACGATGAATCTGATGAGATAGAATTGTGTCGCAACGATGAGGAGAATGAAGGAGGACAGCACAGTTACATCGCATTATCAGATAATGCAGAGGGTATGTCGACCGTTAGAAGAGGAACTCATTTGTCTTCATCTCTGTGTTTTTGTAACTAGTGCTGCAACCCACCCGCCTAGCTGCTGTAGTTAGAGCAATAGCCGACTTTCAAAGTAGTTATGAAAGGAGAAGGCACCAGCAGTCATCTTCTAAATCACATTTATTTGTAAACCGAATTATGAAGTTCAGTCATTTTTAAATTGGAGTCTGAATCTTATTTTGAGTAAATTCAGAATGTTTTTAAATTACTTAACTTGATTTTCATAGAGGGCACTGAACAGAACATTGTTGACTGCATACAAATACGACTGACTTTTTTTTAAAAAGGCATTTAACTTGTTTAATTCAGTAAATGGATAAATGCACAGAATATTAAGCCACGGGCTATTTCTGTATACAAGGCAACAAGGGTTCTATTGGAAACGGAGGAATATATGTATTCCTTAGAAACATATTTCCTTCTAAAGGGGATAACAACTGTTAATGTTAGTGGGGGAAGATGAGGACATCACACCTGATTAGTGAGTGTGTGGTACAGTAGTATACAATTTGTAGGGAAGGGAATTATGTAGTTGCAGAATTAATTTATAACTCACTGTAATATTTATTTGGGGTTAAGTAATTTAAGTAATTTAAAGGTAAAATGTTAAAAATCCAGGTTACAATTTACATAGGCTAAATCTTAATTAGTCTCTGTGATACTGAAATCTCTTGAAATGTAGATTTCAACTCCATGTAGATTCTACCGAAAATCTAAATATTCTAATCCAACTGTGGCTCAGGAAACTGGTGTTGAAGCTCATTGATGGGGAATTGGAATAGTAGCTCTTATTTCTATTACATATTGACATCCTTTTCTTGCCCCAACTACATTTTTGAACCATTATTTGTATATATGAAGGGTTTGAAAAACATTATTCATGTTTTTAAAATGTATACAAAAATGCTATTGGTGCTTCTTTGGGTTAGTTTAACTTGGTACTTTTTCTCCCATTGAATACAATGAGAGGTGATGTATGTGAAAAACTCTCACATTTTTGCCTACAAAATACACATTTATTATACTTTCTGTACATCCTGTAAAGCACTTTGAGGCTTCCACCTGATATAAAAGGCGCTATATCACGTGCAAGGTTTATTATTACTGAGTGGCTGAGGTAAATCTGAGTACGACTGTATAAAGTTGTGGAGTCCTGTAGCTCAGTGGTTAGAGCACTCGCTTTGCAAGTGAGAGACCTGAGTTCAATTCCAGGCAGAGGGCGAAACCTTGGGCAAGTTTCCTTACTCCACACAGAGCCTAATAATAATGCCTCCAAAAAACAAAGCAATAATAAATTGGTCATTTTCAATCCATGTCTGTTTGTGGGACATTGCTGTGCGCAATTGGCTGCTGCGTTCGCCCACAAATATACAGTCAATTCACTTTATAGTATATTCTGTGAAGCGCTTTGCAGCGTCTAGAAGACATGAAAAGTGCTATATCAAATGCAAGGATTATTATTATTAAGTACTGCATGAGCAATCATTGTAGTTTTTTTGTTTCTTCCATTGTTTTCAATGGGAGTATTTGCCTGAGGTATGTCATACAATAGAAATGCTTTTATCCCTTACTAACTTAGTGTTTTTCTTTCTTCTCCCTATGGTGCTTTTTGTTTCTCTTGGTGTGTTTCTTTGGGTATTTTTTGTGTCTAGATGACCAACCTGCTACAGGTAACATTATTCCACTGACCAGTGACATCGAGATCCCTAACACACTCCCTGTAGTATCTTCCACGATGAAAAAAGGTATAGTATACTGAGGAATGGGGTATCCCCTGTACTGCACAACTTACTCCATCCCATATTTGAGAAGCCGAATGCCTTGCCCTGTGTTTGAATTTTGTGCTGCAATCTTTTTTTAAAAAAAAACACTACCCTTTTTACCCTTCCTAAATTGATCACTGAGATCTGATCCACCTGTTCAACTGGAAATTGAAGATCCATGACTATTCCAAAAAAATCACTATGGTTGTTAGAGGTGGTATAAATTATTTTTATGTCTGTTTAAATAAGCTGGTCTGTGGCTGCAGCGTGATTATAGAACAACAACAACAACTTGGATTTATATAGAGCTTGCCATGACGGATGGCGTCTCAGAGCGCTTTAATACGATTTACATGGCATGTTAACAATTGCTTAAATTCACATACAGCGCATGGATATATTCAATTCATTGCAGAGTCCCTAATGTTTGCATTGTAATGAAAAAAATTAAGATAGACTACACTGTTACCCAGAGAGCTGTCATTGCCATTACCTAAGGAATTGTGCAATTATTCAGCGAATCTTAGTTTTCTTTTATTGAATCGTTTTCTAAGGATCATTGTAAGATTTGCTCTTGCTCAGATGAGCTTTAATTTTTTAAGTTAAAAGAAGCAAGAAATATTTCTTAGTGGCCTGCCAAAACAGACTGGGGTTAGGATAGGGATCTGCACAGAATTTCCCTACTTTTTTTATTTTGCTATGTAATTTGTGACCAAGATTAACATGTTATCCAGAAAGTAAACTTTCATTGCTTTCCACCAAATCCCCTCCCCTCAACTAAAACCAAGTAAAAAGATCGGACAGAATTAAAAATTAAAAACACTAGGATTTCAGGGACACGGGAAGCCTGGAATTTTCTGTGCATTTCTGGACTCTGATATGAAATTAACTTATTTTCTCAGAACACTTTTTAATTGTTGGCATGGAGCTCACTTTGTTTGCCTGTGACTTCAGACCGTTTTTATTTACCGCTCACTTTGCACAAGTAGATCCAAGCCCACTGATCGCAGGAGATACGGCTTTTATACAGGAGGCAAAAAGCCGATGTGTTACTGGACAGAGCATACCAATCTTTACTGGAACCAGCTCGCGGCTGGAGAGTGACGGCAGCCTGCCTTCTACCATGTCCTCTCCCCAAATAACCTCCACTCCTTTCAGCAGGTAAATGGGCAGATGTTTTTTCAGTGCTGGTTATAGGTTGTGAGATAATGATGGAAAACCTCTGCATAACAAGATTTTTGTTTGAGCAGTGTGGGCGAGGCATCAGGTGCGTTTCAGGCTAAAATGGAAGTAGATTATGAAGCCATGAGTCCTTAGCTTTAAGAGCATTGATTCAAAATTTAAGATCATGCAGAATTTTGAAGTCTTACATTTTTAAGTCAATGGTCTGAAGACTGAACATGAGAAATTTCAATCCTTTGGTTGGGTGCTCTAGTATTATAGAATGTGCGCCAACATCATACTTTTTCTTCTCAGGCCAGGGAGTAACAACACAAATGAACTGATTGCCCAGGTTCAGCAAGATACTGACCAGAAGCGTGACCCTTCATCATTGCCTTCAGACAGTGAGGATACACATGATCTTCTCAAGGTGACACCCAATCTATTTGAAACCAAACAGACCGATGGACATTCATGTCGATCGAAAGGTAGCATTCCTGAGAAAATTAAGGAATCGCTTGTGTTAAAGGACTCACCACAGAAATTGAACTCTGTTGTTTTATGTGGGCACTGTCCAAAAGGATATCTGGTTTCAGAATCAGAGGCATTAATCTGTGGTTGTCCTAAAGGAATAGGCAGGTTATCGGACTCCTCAGCTCTGAAAGAAAACCATGACTCTAATATCTACTTGTCCAATTTTGGTACTCCAGATTATAATAATGTCTGCAACTCGCCAGGGACTCCTACCCTTGATGAATTGTGGCCTGAAAATAGACCGTGCACCTACATCAACAATGTGGAAACTTTAGAGAGGAACTTTAATAATGGAGATCAAATCTCTAACCGTGATTCCCTTATTGACAGTTGTAATATTAGAGATCCACACAAAGAAGAAATGTTGTACACCAGAATATCATCCTTGCGTAACCACAATCTGGCTTTGTCTAACAGCGAAGGACAGACCAGTGTCAGCAAGGGATGTCAAGTGATCATTGTTCCAGAAGCACACAATGCTCAGTTACAATTGTCTACCAGACAAGACCTCATTGAAACTGATTCAAAGACTACATTCGCATCTGAGGTTGATGTAAACCTGATTCTTCGCAATTTTGGTGATCTAGATCTCAGCAGTGACGGAGAACTAGTTTCTATGAACCAGTCCAGCACGTCTTGTACCACCGCAGAGCTTCTCCGGACTCCATCTCCCTATGTGGTGGATTCAGACCTTGAATCAGAACCTGAGAAGACAGGGATGGATTTCCCATCTGCTGACCAGGAAGAACTGATGAGCACTGGCACGTCTTCGTTTACTTCATTTAATGCCATCAGAGATTTGGGGACATTAGAACAGTTTGTGCCGCACTCGGTTGGGGCTAGTTTTTTACCAGAAGGAAACGTACCCAGCCAGCATTGTTGCTATGGTAACGAGGTGCCGAGTGACAGCGGAACCCCAGTGAAAAATAAAAAAGATGAGATGGAGCGACACATCACGTCGACACCGGTTGCCCAGAGGTACTTGAAGGATTATATTTCTTTACAACCCAGCAATGAAATTACCGAGGGAAGCTACTCTGGAAGCTGCTACCACAGGGATGGCTCGAGACTCTGTAAGTCAATTTAACATTCATAATGTACGGTGGTGTAATACTCGACAATGCTCAGGCCCTAGAGCCGGAATGGTATGCTTTGTCATGTGTATTGTTGCAATGGCTGGGGAAATACCAGTGACCTCCAGAGGCAGAATTTCACCATTACAGTGCTACATAATTCAATCATTTTGACTGTTAATTCGTGGTTTATGCTACTTGAGATAGAATGGAACTTAATTCCCTGGGCTTGCAGGTAATATTCAAATATTGTATTATTTCAAATCACATTCAATACATTTAATTTTTTTTGTAGGATTTGGTCCCACATTCTTAGCAACTTTCTAAAATAATTCTCCCTGTATTTTTGAACTGATTTGTTTCACATCTTTTAGGTCTCCTTGTGCCATATTAGCATTTGCTTGTAAGAGGGTGGGAGAGAGTTCACAATGGCTTAGCTGCTCCATGCACAAAGTAGCTGAGCCATGCAGACTAGAAAGGTGATGGGTTTGATCTCTGATCTGTGCTGAGTTGAATGACTTCATGAGCATGAAACTAGAAATACTACAACTGAAGTTTGAATTTGTGGCTGAAGGAGAGAATAACAGGCATGATTCCCACTCCTCGTTGCTATCCAGTGTCACCTGTTGGAGGTGTGTGTGCGTTCTAGAATTCAAGTACTCGGATGCGTTCTATATTTGGTATATTTCTGCTCAGATAATCATAAATCTACAGTCTGTGCCTTCTTGTTCCAGGTATTGTATTTCAGGTTAAGTGTCTCCACTTGCAAGATGGAGGAAAGTTGTATTGTGTATGGGTTGTCCGAGATCACATTCAGAGTCAGAGGGAAGCTGCGCTGAAGTCTTTCTTAATGTCCACTCTCAACAGTACTTCCATGTCTGCAGACCACTCTGGTGTCAGCCTCGGAGAGGTTAGTCAAATTGAACCTTTATGACCGGGAATTCACTCCACCGCTTGGAGCTCACATAGTGAACATCTCTTGTTATAAGGCTGGGCCCATTAATTCCCACTTAGATGATTCTATGATATTTGAAGACCTAGAGAATGCTTCAAGTACATGGGAATTTCCTCAGAAGATATTTCAAAGTTGATGTTTATATCAGAGCTGAATATTTGGCAAATGAGAGGAAGGCATCACCTGATGGGGGAGTGGTGGGGGGAAGAGATTGTAATGCGGTTGGTCATTCTCACAAAATGTAGAAGAAAAACTAGAAGAAAAATGTAGAAGAAAAAAAAGAACTGAGTTCTGGCATGCTGCTCTCACTATTGTGAAGCACACAATCTATTTACTTGCCTGAGAGTTGAGAAAGTTTTATTTCTAAGTTTGGTAACACAACATTCTTTCCCTTCTTTCTTCTCCATGTATTCTGGCCTGCTTCACAGGTGGTATAATAAATGCGTATGTCATGGGAAGCACATCAAACATTTCACACATTTCTGTTCTTTCCAGGCTATCATGGAGACCGCCAGGTCAAATGGCATGAAGTTTTCTGAGGATCTGGAGACAATAAAAGCTTTCGAAGGAGAATACTCCAATCACTACAGCACAGTCAGCCCATTAGGAAAAGGGGCATTTGGGTTTGTGTGGACTGCCATCCAAAAGGATACAAACAAAGAGGTATAGTATGTGCATGGTTTGATTTCTAACTAATCATTATTGCTGCTTTTTACATCTTAACGTTTATTTAAACTGCAGCAGAGCTTGACAGTAATGAGATGTTGTAACAGTAAATGTAAAGGCCAACTGCAATCATCAACATTTTACTGCTGAAAAGTTCATTTTTTAGAGTAGCTTGGTTAGATTACTTCTATTTTATTCATAATTTTATTTCATGGAGTTCTAGGTAGATGTAGAGTTGTGGACTCAGTCTTGTACATTAAATAACATCGAAATATTGACATTTAGAGGTGTGTTAGGGCTCACAGCATTCACTTAATCTTTTATTCCCTTCTTAAAGCTTGCTATAGATCAGTTGTTCAATCTGTGAGAAAATTGTAGTTAATGACATATTTAGTACAAGGTTGTTAAACCTATATGGGTGCTTATGATGGTATATAAAATATTTACACTCACTACTCAAGGTTACACAGTTCATAGCTTTAATACTTCTTTCTGATTTGTTCCTCCAGGTTGTTGTGAAATTTATTAGGAAGCAGAAGATCACTGAGGACTGCTGGATGGATGATGTAGACCTTGGTAGAGTCAGCCAGGAGATTGCAATCCTCACGAGGCTCAATCATCCCAACATAATCAAAGTCAGTTGATTTTATTTCCTTCTTTTATTTCCCTTGCCCTTGTTTGCATTTATTTTTCGTCCAGTATTGGCTAAACTAGTCAATTGATGGAGCTACTGTGAAATCCAACAGGACCTGCTTTAAATTCCCCCACAGGTCATCAGTGTCTTTGAGAACATGGATTTCTTTCAGCTTGTGATGGAGAAGCATGGAGTTGGATTGGATCTCTTTGAATTCATTGACCGACAGCCAGACCTGGATGAACCACTCGCGAGTTACATCTTCAGACAGGTAAAAGGAGCAAATTGCCAACTATTTTTGAGAGATGGTGCGAAAGTAATGTAGTGTAAACAGGTAATAATAATCCTTGCATTTCATGACTTCTAGACGTCTCAAAGCGCTTCACAGAATATACTGTAAAGTGAATTGACTATATATTTGTGGGTGAAACAAGGCAGGCAAACAGTTGTGGATTGAGTGACCAAATTGTTATTGGGTTTTTTTTTCTTGAGGGATTATTATCAAGTGTGTAGAGTAAGGTAACGAGAAGGATGGTGATAGACTTGGGTCTGCGTGTATTGCAGATTGTAGCTGCAGTGGATTATCTGCACAGTAACAACATATTGCACCGGGACATCAAGGATGAGAATGTCATTATTGATGAGGATTTCACCATCAAACTTATTGATTTTGGCTCAGCTGTAACGTTGGAGCCTGGGAAAGTTTTCCACATGTTTTATGGAACAATTGAATACTGCTCCCCAGAGGTGTTGCTGGGAAATCCGTGAGTATTTCACTCGGAGTTTGTCTCAAAGGGTAGTTGCTGTACCTTGTTAACTGCTTTACTTTAACAAGTAACTACATGCATTTATGTAACTCCCTTCATGTGGCGTAGTGTGTCGGAACACTGCTAGAAGCAGAATGCTGACATTAAGTTGCTGCCTTAAACTAACTATCAAGCAGTTCACAATGTTAAAACAACTAGTTTTGCTGTACTATCCTAGGTGTCTTAGAATGATCAGGGAAAGGATTAAGAAAAGGAAGGAACAGATTTATTTACGTCTCCTATTCCCTTGGCAATGTTCTGTTTTTCTGTTTGGATGGTCTGACCTATGAAACTCCACTATAAAACCAGAATGCTGAGAAACTGGAAACTGGAGACAGGTTTATGTTGCCTTCTGAATGAAAGTAAAAATTGAATCCCACAGGTCTATATCAAATATTCTTATTTGCAATATTCATAAGAGCTATGATATGAGGATGGAACATCATGCCACTGCTAAACCAGCTCCTGGTAGTTGACACGGGTAGAGAAGTGTTATTTTACCCCCATTGGTCAACTGGAGGTTTATTAGTATTAGCTCAGCAATGAGTTTGGAGCAATTACATTTCTTACTCCCTTTCAGATGTGTTTCATGATCTCCTGTAGAAACGGTTTTCTTTGTGTGCAGGTATTGTGGTCCTGAGCTAGAAATGTGGTCCTTGGGAGTGACTTTATACACCCTGGTGTTTGCGGAGAATCCATTCTGTGATGTGGAAGAGACTGTGGCAGCCGTGCTGAAGCCACCATTCCCAGTGTCCGATGGTAGGATACCNTTTTAGTTTCAGAAAAGCATCAGGTTGAATAGTACAAGTGTATGCATACAGCTTTGGGTACGGGGCTGAGACTGTTCGCTTCTCACTGCAAGCGGATTTTCTAACGCTGCTGCATGTGACGTCAGCAAGGTTGGTGTGGAGGCATTGCATTTGCGGTGTGGGGTGAAATGCTTGTTGATCAGCCATTGTGCCTGCAGCACAAGCTGCTGCCTTTTGGGGAGGTAGTGATTCTATTTGGTTTGCAAAGTGGGGGTAGGGGCAGTTGGAACATATGCAGCAGATGGGAAAGTGCCATGTTTTGAAGACTACTGGAGAGGGAGACAAAACACAGAAAGAAGAAAGTAATGTCATTTTTTACAGTTCTTCGTTGTCAGGTAAAGTTTATTTTTCTAGAATTTTGTAGCAATTCACTGACATGTCTCTTCCTGTTCCTGTAGAGTTTATGAGCTTGGTGTCACAGATGCTGCAGCTTGACCCTCAACTTCGCCTGACCCTGGATGAACTGCTGCAAAACCCGTGGGTGACACAGCCGATCAACCTGGGCCTGTACACCTGGGAGGAAGTGTACCTCACAAAAGAAAGAGAGTGACCATCTTTATTCTCTTATTCTTTATTAGCAACTGGGAATTGGATGATGAAGTGGGATCCCTAAGCGTCTTTTCTTGCAATGCAGTAATAATGTTTGAGTGTAATTTAATTAAGAAATTAATTGACTTACACACTTAGAGATTGCAAAATGTGCGTGTTTTTTTTCCAATTTCATCTTTTTATTTCGTCCTCATCTCATTGAAGGTGTGCTTGCTGGGGTATTGGAGTCCTGTAGCTCAGTGGTTAGAGCACTCGCTTTGCAAGTGAGAGACCTGAGTTCAATTCCAGGCAGATCAGGGCGAAACCTTGGGCAAGTTTCCTTACTCCACACAGAGCCTAATAATAATCCCTCCAAAAACAATAATAAATTGGTCATTTTCAATCTACGACTGTTTGTGGGACATTGCTGTGCGCAATTGGCTGCCGCGTTCGCCCACAAATATACAGTCAATTCACTTTACAGTGTGTTCTGTGAAGCGCTTTGGGACGTCCTCCCGACGTGAAAAGCGCTATATCAATGCAAGGATTATTATTATTATTATTATTACATCTCCATAGCTGTGGAAACATGCTATTATGGAGGGGCAAAACACAATACTGTTTTTCCTGATACCTCCGCACACACACACACAGCAGAGGTTACTGGAAAGCAGTCGGGAGTGAGACCCTTAATTGATTTCCTCCTCACCCCACTCTACGGACATTTGCTCAATTATAGCCTCACTGTTGTCCTGCCTCTGATTGGGATCATCACAGAGGAGGAATCCAAGGTTAGATAAAGATCGGGTGTTGCAAGATTCTTCTTAGAAAACCAGATCATTGTTTGGCGTGCTTTATATAGACACTGGGTTTAAAAAAAAGCCAGGAGAAAAATGATTGTGTTTTTACAGCATTAAATATAAGACCTGCATGAACTCGGCTGTGTTGTGTGTCTTATGTTCTTATGTTCTTTTCAGCACACAAGTGCAATAACTTGCCACTGCTGATACACAGTGTTTTATGAATGCATTTCTTACTTTCTCTGAACAGGATCATCCATAAACTGCTCTGCTGTGACCGGAGAGGAGAACGATGAAATAATTTCTCACCTGAAGCCTAAAGGCGGTCAGGGTGAAGGTTGTGCTGATGGAAATGGATGCAGTGCTAATCACACCGAGGATAACCGTGCATACAGTGACCCCTACGGAAGTGATTAGGCAACCACAGATTCTGAAATGTTGGGCCTCTCTCAGAGATCCAGATTCTTCTTGAAGAATAAAAAAGACAGTTAGGATGTTTTTAATAATCCAATACAGGATAACATCTGTTTTTATTTAAATTATATATTTTTTTTCTCTCTCACTGTGCACTCCTGTGCTGTGCTAGTTGTCTATATGCCAGGAATCAATAGTTTCAGCAGCTAGCTATTGTGGCCATTCCATAGATGTGAACCAAGACAGCAAATATCAGTTGTCCTGCCAATCCCAGATCTGTATGTTGCAATTGCATGTTCCCTGTGGGGATGGGGCAGTTTAGAGCCCGAACCTTGTCTGATTGTTAACTCTAGGGATTCTCTTGAGTAGCTCTGGAAATCTCGTGACACTGTCTTCATTTGTATGTCATCAGATGGGACAGGTGGGGTTAACCCCTTACATCCTCTACATGTTATAATTACTATGAGAGGCTACGCCAATGCACTGTATGGAATATGCAGTCAACTCACCCCTATGAGTGTGAATAAGGCTACTGCTTTGAATAAGCACATCTCACTTAACAGTGGCCACGGCTGGTCATCTGAATACGCCTTGAGAGGATGGTAGAAATCGCAAGCCTGACTTTGTGTACTCTAGTCACATGCCTTACACCGACAAAGTCCTAAAAGGGTGAGTGAGACCAAGAGGTGCTTGGAATGCCTGGCACCCACACTGTTGCAGATATTTGGAAGGTGAGGAGATTATCTCAAAGTTCTGCTTATGGTGGATATTTGGAATATTGTGATAAAGAGGCTAACCACCTCGTGGTGAATAGCTGCTGATAATGTATAGCTCTTAAGGGGATAATATGCAGCTTCAAGAGCTGAGGCCGTAGGTTCCTCGTTTTACTAAAACATTTAAAAATTCAATATGCTTTACACCCCCAGTAGCACTGTATTAATACAATATATGACACTCCTGTATATATTGCATTGTGTGCTGTTACATAAGACATTCCTGTTTTGACCATTTATCATGGCTGGAAGTTTTAACAAAATCTTTTTAGGGACAAAGAAAGTTAATTTACAGAGTTGCTTGACCCTATTTCTGACTCTTTAGATTCCTTTATATTTATTTGGCTCTATGAGACAACCTTTGGCATGAAATACTATTAGTTGTTACTTCAGGTAAATTGTAACATGGCTGTTCTCAGTAGGAACATAATTTACCGATTTCAGTGTAATTGCTAAAAGGAAAAATGTGAGTTGCCCAGTGTCAAAAAACCTCCAAATTGTGGAACAGCAATTCCAACCTCGTAATTCTCAAGCTGCTTACTGTATTTTTCTCCATTTGTAGCCCAGAATCTTTGCCAGCTTCAGAATGTCTGTCTTTAAAGTAGGTTCTGCAAGCCAGCCTTGTATTGCTAAACGCCCTGCAATGGAGTCCCACAGCTGCCTTGTCAAAGAATCTGCAAACACATGTGAATCGAGTGCATGTGATGGTAAAGTGTAGTGATTTAGATAAGGCAAAAGATTGTTGGGTCGTTTGGTTAAGGTTTTTTTAGAATTTTTTTGGGTTGGTGCAAGGGTTAATTAGAGAGTTACCTTTACATAGAAGAGGAAGATCATTTCAGCATGAAGGGTAACTGATGCACCACCTTACCACATGAAGTTTCAGCGCTTTGGGACGTCCTCCTGACATGAAAGGCGCCATACAAGTTTGATTTGTTGTTTTGTTGAAGTTTACCTAAAATCAGCACTAGTTCAAGTTGTGACACGGCATTGTCCTACCACCTGGTGGAATAATGTGTTTTCTTGATGAAGGAATTAGAGGAAGAAAAAACACTACCATGTATATCTAGAGACCAAGTTATCATAACAGACTGCAGATCCTATAGATCTGAGGTTTAGAATTTATACCAGCATTTTAAGGAAAATCAGTGAATGACAACCTTTTGTTTTACCATCAGAGGGTGCTCTGGGATTCCCATAGGACAGTGAGGGCCTCCAGTGACATAAACCTTGTACTACAGTACAAGACCACAATTGTAAATGTTTCATCAGTATTATCCGTATTGAGGCCAGGAACCCAAATGTGTATGGTTCACAACCGGTACACTTGCAAAGCCAATTCAGCTTCGGCGAATGTACCCTCTTCAGAAACCTGTCCAGTAAGAGAGTTGTTCTTTCCAAATATCCTGCAGGATATATACGTGTTAACTAGAATGTACAGTATAAACTGTAACTTGTTTTACTTTATATAAAACTTCCAAATACTAGTTTTATTTAAACTTTGCACTCGTTTGTTCTTAAGGTGATTTATTTTTGTATTTACATTGATCAAAAATAAATTTGAAATGTTGTATTAAACCCATCTGTTTGAGTGAGTATTCACATCGTACAATCTTTAGCAGAACATTTCATCTTGGATAAAATATTATTCTTCATTTTCATAAGTGGCTGTGACTAAGGTTCTCTAAATGATGAGGTGCCTGCCTCGTGTATATTTATACCACAATTAATCTTCCTGTTTCTCAAAACTCCATTTCAGTTGTGGATCCTTAAGATTAAGACACCGAAGTTTAGTAGGATCACATTCTGCTTTCAGTAACATCAGTCTGAACTGCCATTTTTGTTTCCTGTATGCCAGTGTAAAGGAAAATCTTCAGACCAAATGCAATTTAACAAAATGCCCGAAACAAGTATTTATTTCAGATTCATATAAAATGTGATATTTGCATAATCTAATACACTTCAAATACATAATTTCATGAAAAAGTTTGTAGCACATGGCGGTTTGATGCAAATGTACCCAGGTGGCATTATTGGCCTACTTTTATTTCTGTGAATTATCATACCAAATGCGTGTACTAAACTCACGCTAATACCAGTCACTTTAAAATGCTTTGTGTAGCTTTCTGGGCCCGGTTGAATTAAATTATCAGAATGTTATAAGTATTCTATTTAACTCTTCTGTAATGACTCACTGATCCGTGGCTTTGAGACATTGCTGTGCGCCACTGGCTGCCATGTTTTGCCCACAAAATACACAGTCAATATACTTTACAGTATATCTTGTAAAGTGCTTTGAGACGCTTCGGTGACGTGATACTGCTCTATAATCAAATGGAAGTATTATTATTTTCACATTTCTGGCCACATAAATTGTTTCCATTTGCTTCGGCATGTAGTTTGAAATTTTGTTTTTTTGCTGTTAAAAAATACAAAGCATTAAGGTAACTGATGAGACCTTGCAGTTGTAAATATCTTATCTGCACCACTTTGAACGTTTGCCTTCATCGTTGATCATCTCTTAACTAACTGGGAAGAAGGGGGGAAACGTTAAATTTGATTACTCTTGTTTTATTCAGTGACTGGAGTTTGTTTACAGGTACCGTGTATAATCAAAAGTTATCTTTCTAGGTTTTATTTTTAAAAATGCTGAGTGAACAAATCCTTCCCTTTTCTGAGTATTGAACTCAGCACCAGGCCAATGACTGGAATTTGCAATTGTAATTATCTTTACATAAATGTTGTACGAGTTAATTCATATCCAATGGCAGATATCTCATTCATTGTGGTTTGGTGCCTTTAGCTCTAGTCACAGGCCAGAAAATGAAATTTAATTTTTTGATATGATATTTTGTCTTCAGGAAAACAAAAAAATTGGTCACTTCAATCTACGACAGTTTGTGGGACACCGCTGTGCGCAATTGGCTGCCGCATTTCGCCCACAAATATACAGTCAATTCACTTAATATATTCTATGAAGCGCTTAGAAGACATGAAAAGCGCTATGTCAAATGTAAGGATTCATTATTTTTATTCATCTTTTGTCTTCATCACTGCTATATTCATCCTCTGATGATTCTTCTGAATCTTCCCAATTCAATTCCTCACGCTCCTTGGTCTCCGGTTCCTCACGGCTCAGCAGTTTTTTAAAGATGGCAAACTCCTCCCGAGTTGACATGGCTACCTTAGCAAGGAAATAGTCCTCACTGATGTGAAGAACTTCTTTTAGTTTAGGGTTCAGCATCTGAGTCTGACCCTTTTTATCTGGTGTCTGGTACCGACCCAGCCGTTCTAAGAAGATGTGACGTTGTTTGAGTTCCTCTAGTGATGTCCGAAAGGTTACAGATTTCATTATTTCTGCTTGCTTTATTCCCATTCGGAAATAGGCATACTATGGGGAAGAAAGGCAGGAAAAATTAGGAAGCAATTATTCTTAATCATCTTAATGGAAAAGAAGATTTTGTAACTATAAAAAAAATTAAAATGTCTTTCCAATGTTCTCAGTTTCAACACTCACAGGTAAGTTATAGCACAGGTGAGAAACAGTTGAATTCTCTCTCTGTACTGTTCCACTAACTTCTATGTGTCTCAACTCCAACTTCATAAAAATACTTCCTGGTCCATCGCTGTGAATTTCCTTTCCATATCACCCACTTTCATGGTTTGAAGCTCCCATATTAAGTTAATTATAAATGAGACATTTAAACTATTATAACCCAAAGCAATGTTTTCTAATCCAAGTTTAAACAACTTAACATCTGAAAGGTTTTCAAGAGAAGAAATAAAAGAATAACCTGTGCCGCGAATTTTACTACAAGGGCATAACTATTACCTGGAATTTGTACTCCAAGTCTCCAAGTTCCTCAAAAAGAACATTGGGTGAAGTTCGAAGGATTTCTGTGACCTGCTGGCCGGTGAAAAGGCATTTGGTTTTGAAGAAACGCACTGTATTGTTCAGGTGCTTCACTGAGAGAGTCAGGATCTGCGGATAGTGTGCGAAAACACGCTGCATACTGCCTAGGGATAAACAAATGTACGGTAAACCCCATGTTCATAGGACCTGCTGACTGCCAATACTTGCTATGGGAGAAAGAGAAGTTGCATTTAACGTTTGTTGCCAAGTTGATTACACAGTACTGTTTAATGCATTAATTATAATATTAATTAATATTAATCTTTATAGATAATATTAATTATTAGGTAATAATTAATAGCATTTCAAAGAGCCTTAGAACAAACTGCTGCCTCTCAGAGAGGTCAGGCATTTCCCAGAGGCAGGAAAGAAAACACTGGATTGGGAGAAAACTGTGTGCTCGCTCGAGGGCACTGTACATGTGCACAGGCTCCATGGGCCAAATGGCATTCTACTGTGCTTGTAAATGTCTATGGTACCTTATGGCAACACATTCAACAGTAGGGAAGTTCTTTACTCCTTTATGTCCCGATAATGATATATTGTGATCTAAACCTACTTATGTGGAAATTTCAAACCATTTGAAAGTCAGAGTAAGAATCAGAAGATAGCAAAAAAAACTGAATATTGAGTTTGGTTTAAACTGCCAATTTCTCACTGCGTTTTCCAATCTCACATCCAATATTGACTGCAAAATAAACTGCTTACATTTCCTGGTCTTGGGCATTTTGACTCAGCACAAGGAGGTGACATCAAGACACAAAGAAATCAAGCAAACAAAGGGACTCAGCGATACATAAATGTTGGGAGCTGCCGGGATTAGTTTGCGTACTATTCAGTGCAGAGTATTAAAACTGGCCACACAAGCCTAGCAATGCAACGAGTGTTGTGTGTTACCTTCTCCCAGCCCATTCTTCCGTAAATTGTCAATGCGCGACTGCAACTGGCTCTCTGTTGCACTCGAGAGCTGCGGACACTTCCCCAGGATCTTGAGGGTGGTGCTTGGCTTTAGCCCAAGGTCGCCGAAGACGTGGAGCACGGGCAACATTTTTTGCAGAGACTTAACGGTGAGACCTGTGAACAGCTCTTTCACCTGAGCGTCACTGAAGCCCAATTCCAGGACAGACTTTATGATGCTCTCCGACTCGGAGTCATCGAGGCCCGGCTTTGGAAAAGAGGTGTCGGCAAAATGCTGAAGGTCTTCGAGAACCTCTAACTTGGAAAAATGGAATTCAGTCTCTCTCCTGGTGCCTTTCAGAGGTGAACAGGAGTCTTGTGACATCTCTGTCGATCGAGCAGGGGGTCCGTCTGTGCAGAATGCATGTGAAACAGAGCCCCGAGGCCGGCGGCAGAGGAAGTGTGTTGCTCTTGTGCAGATGAAACTCGCCAATTCACAGCGGAAGGTGGTTTTGTTCGAAAAAGGCAGTGCTGCTGCATAATCTGAAAGGAACAAAGATTTCGGGGGAAAAAATATATTTTCACAGTGTTCAGCAGCGGGTTGTTAACGTCAACCATTCAGCAAAGGATCACTGATTTGAAGACCACTGATTGATTATATATATGTGTGGGCGCAGATTGTGTGTGTGCGCAGTGACTGCATTTAAGTCATGTCGACGAGTTTTACATATCGAACGAGTTCTGGGCTCTAAAGATCGTAGATATTGCATTTACACACACAACAACAACAACAAGATTCCATTTATTGAGCGCCTTTCACGTCGGGAGGACGTCCCAAGGCGCTGTACAGTTGGGTCGGGACCCGAGCATTGGGGAAATGGTCAGGGTGAGGGGAGGGAAGGGAGGGAGCGAGGAGGGGGTAGAGAGTCGAGAGGGGAGCTGAAGGCTCGGTCAAAGAGAAAGGTCTTGAGACCGGCCTTGAAGGAGGAAAGGGAGGAAGCGGCGAAGGCACTGGGGATAGAGTTCCAGAGCCTCGGGGCTGAAGGCCACCGATGGTAGGGCGGTTGGGGCGGGGGATGTGGAGCAGACCGGAGCCGGAGGAACGGAGGGTACAGGCAGGTAGGTAGGGGGATAGTAGGTCGGAGAGGTAGGAGGGAGTGAGGCCGTGAATGGCCGTGTAGGTGAGGATGAGAATCTTGAAATCGATCCTCTGGGGGATGGGGAGCCAGTGGAGGGGAGCGAGGGTGGGAGTGATGTGGTCGCGGTGTCTGGTGCGGGACAGTACACGAGCTGCAGAGTTCTGAATGACCTGCAGTGTGGAGGGAGGTGGCGGGAAGGCCGGCGAGGAGAGAGTTCCCATAGTCCAGCCTTGAGGTGACAAAGGCGTGGACCAGAGTTTCAGCCGCGTGAGGGGTGAGGTAGTGCCGTAGTCTGGCGACGTTCCGGAGGTGATGGAAGGCGGTGCCGGTTGTGGCGCGGATATGGATATGAGGGAGAAAGGACAGCTCAGGGTCGAGGGGAACCCCGAGGTTCCTGACCGGCTTTGAGAGGTGGAGAGTGCGGCCTCGGATGCCGATGCTGTCAGCGCCTGAGGTGCGGAGGCGCTGACACGAGCCAATCAGGAGGGCCTCGGTTTTGCGCACGTTGAGCCCTAAAAATTACAATAGTGTGGGAGCATTAATTTACAATTAATCTTGAACCCCCCCCCCCCCCACCCCCCGAATATAATCAAAAGCTCTGAAAGAAAACGGACGAAACTTTCGAAGTGGGCGAGTGATTTTTTTTTGTGTGTGTGTTGTTGTTGTTGTGGGTGTCCCGAGTCACTCGACGGTTCGGGAAGGATCGGCATCTCGAAACCTTTCATAGTTTTCTTGTTCTCTCTCTCTCTCTCTCTCTATATATATATATATAGACACACACACACATTAATTAATTCAATCATTTTCTCACCCGCAGCGTCGCCTCTCTCAACCTCCCGCTCATCTCGTTTCTCTCTGCGTTGCACCAGGAAATCCGTCCCCGAACCCACACCCCCCCCCGAAAAAACGTTCCGGGTCTCTGTGTGTGTGTCTCTCTGTGTTCTCTGTGTGTGTGTCTCTGTGTGTGTGTCTGTGTCTCTGTGTGTGTGTTCTCTGTGTGTGTGTCTCTGTGTGTGTGTCTCTGTGTGTGTGTCTGTGTCTCTGTGTGTGTGTTCTCTGTGTGTGTGTCTCTGTGTGTGTGTCTCTGTGTGTGTGTCTGTGTGTGTGTGTCTGTGTCTCTGTGTGTGTGTGTCTGTGTGTGTGTTCTCTGTGTGTGTGTGTCTCTGTGTGTGTGTCTCTGTGTGTGTGTCTCTGTGTGTGTGTCTCTGTGTGTGTCTGTGTGTCTCTGTGTGTGTGTGTCTCTGTGTGTGTGTCTCTGTGTGTGTGTGTTCTCTGTGTGTGTGTTCTGTGTGTGTGTGTGTTCTGTGTGTGTCTGTGTGTGTGTGTCTCTGTGTGTTCTGTGTGTGTGTGTCTGTGTGTCAGTGCAGAATCCCAAACCTCAGCCAGAAATGCCGAGTTATCACGTCGGTCTCTATCTGGGGGGTGGGGGGAGGAGGGGAGAGAACGTGATTGTGAAATACGACTCCCCCCGCCCCCCCCCCACCCCAACACCACCATTAGAAATTAAGGATTTTTTTTAAAAAAAGACACATCATTCGAGTCGACTTGAAACGACGTGTTATATACTGTTATGTATCTAAACATATATATAAATAACAAGAGCACGTTGGGAAAAGTCACTGCCCGCAGCAGGCGGTTTCCCTCCCTCGCCTGTCAGTTCTCACGAGCACCGGGTGTGCGTGTGTGTGTGGTGTGTGCAAAAAAATATCCTGGTCCCAGACCACCCTCCCCAGGTTCCGCCATTTGCACAAAACACACAGACACACACACACACACTGATCAAAAACACTCGGGATGTAAATAATTAAGAGATCGGGGAGGAGGGGGACATAAATAAGGAGTGAGTTATCCTCTCCCCCCATCCACCCTCCCTACCGCCTCCTTTCTTAAACGTCCCTAATTTGAGAGGGGGGGGGGGGGGGGGAAGAGAGGAAGTACGAGGAAAAAAAATACACACAATCTTTTTCCAGACATCTTTGTACCCGTTTTTTTTTAAAACGCGTGACAGACAGTCGGCGCGAAGCCGCCGTTGACCCGACGCCACAGGTTCGACACGGCCCCAACATGGCGCCCTGACGACAGCGGGGTCACGTGACCCGCCCGTCTCCCCGACTCGCGGCGGCGGCGGCTTGCGACCGCGCCACCGCGCGCGTGCGCGACAACCGCCCCGCGGGGCGGGGGCGCCCAGATCAGCATCGCCTGGAAGGCGGTGAGGTGAGCGCGCGCGCCCGCCCGCCGAGAAACAAAAGACACCGGGAATCAATCGGCAAACGCCTTCCGTACGACACCCTCCGCTTCTCCCCAATCAGTCCAAACCGATTAGCCGCCACGTCAATCAAATGGGGGTGGGAAGGGGGTGGGGGGGGGCGGCGGATAAATAACAATCAAAGGGACTGACTACAACGCCCAGAATGCCATGTGCGGGCCCTCGCGCGTCACGTGATACAGAAGCGAGCCAATCAGATCGGAACAGGCTGCGCGGGTTCGGGGCGACGACCAATCGGAAAGCCTCTTCTATGCTGGATCTGCTCGAACACCCACCACTAGGAGCGCCAGCCCCCCCACAAGGCGGGCGAGCCAATCAGAAAGCAGCTTGCGTCGCGGCCGCCCGCCGATGCCAATTGGGAGCCCGGGAAGGTGATCGCCTAGTAACCGGGGGGGGGGGAGAAGGAGGCAGGAAAAGCGGCCGCTCGATCAGCGCACAGACGGGAGACACGGACGGTTGAAGCGCGGGCCCCCGGTCACCGGAACGTGCGAGGAGTGGGAGCGGGACAGCGAGCACTTAAAACCGAGGTAGGGGGACCCCAACCGGAAAAAAAATAAACCCCAAACAAAACCAGAAAAGCACTCGTGAAAGCAGAGACGCAGCGAGGGCCCCCCTCCCCCCCCCCCCCCCCACACACACACACACACACACACCACCACACACTCACTGTGGGTGTGAGGGGAAGGCTGGGGGTGTGGGGGGAGAGAGAGGGGTGTGGGGGGGGGAGAGAGAGGGGGTGTGGGGGGGAGAGAGAGGGGTGTGGGGGGAGAGAGAGGGGGTGTGGGGGGGAGAGAGAGGGGGTGTGGGGGGGAGAGAGAGGGGGTGTGGGGGGAGAGAGAGGGGGTGTGGGGGGGAGGGAGGGGGTGTGGGGGGGGAAGGCATGTCCTGGCTCTGACACTGACTCTGAATTCGTATCTGTTCGAGAGAGAGAGAGACACACACACACACACACAGAGTCAAGCACTCGTCTGAGTGTTGTGTGTGTGTGTGTGTGTGTGAGAGAGAGAGAGAAAAAGACGCAGTCCGGCTCGGAAATTCGGTGTACGTGAAGCGATCAGTGCACACAAAGCCGAGTCCCCACTGGCTGTGCCTGTCTGTGTGTGTGTGTGTGTGTGTGTGTGTGAGTGAGGGAGGGGGGAAAAAAGAGAAACGAGTCGCAGTCGGATCCCCGCTGAGCTCTCCATATATGTGTGTGTGTGTGTGTGTGTGAGAGAGAGAGAGAAAAAGAAAGAGAGACGCAGTCAAGGCCTCTCCTCACTGTGTCTGTGTGTAAGCACGAGAGACGCAGTCAGAGGTACTTACTTATTCACTGTGTGTGTGTGTGTGTGTGTGAGAGAGAGACGCAGTCAGGCCCCCATTTCACTGTATGTTTGTGAGTGCGAGACGGGACCAGGCCTCAGCCCCCGGGGGGGTCAGTGCTCGTGTGCGAGTCGTGAATTTATTCCTATCAACGATAATGCGGGATGGCAACGAGAGGAGACAGTCTGGAGGCGTCACTTTCAAATATTCCTGATAGGATTGTAGCGCTTAATGCAGTTAAGTTGTACCCAGTGACCATGTGAGCGGACGCCCCCAAACGATTGGGTGTTCCTGTCTGGACGAGCAGTGAGAAGCTTTATACCAGTTGCATAGTTTTAGTTTTGTTCATTTCCAGAAATGCTCACATGCAATTTAAGAGTTTCTAATGCTTTGGCGTCTGCCGATCCGCCCCCTGTAATTCTATGAACATAGGGTAAGTGTGGTGAAGCCCAACTGCTGTCTCAGGGGATGAGCTCACTCAGAACCGACCTGGAGTCAGATAGTGACCTCTGATCTTTGCCTTTGTGAATGGGGACACAGTGATCTGCAGTGGTAACCACAAAACCAGCTTTACACTTTCAACTGCTACTCTGTTCTGTCGGCTGAAAACTGGAAAATTTAGTCTGATCAACCAAATCCTATTTTTGTAGCTTTGAAGTATTTATAACGTGCTTCACTTTTTCACTTCCTTCCATGTTCTATTCCAAACCCCCCCCCCTCAGAGGAACTAGTACCTTCCAGGTTATTGCAGACTGCAGAAAAGCCCCTCAGATGTCCCAATGAATGAAGGCATGCCTGGTGAAGTATCAGTATAGACCAAAAAGCAAGGTTCGAATCTGTCTGCTGATTTCGCCTCAGGCGATGGTAGGGCTTTTCCATTAGCCTCGGTGGATCTGTGTTGAGGGAGATAATCAACAAATTATTCCCTCTCTTGATCATTATCCAGTCACTACCGCTGGAGGTGTATATTTGTGGGTGTTAATAGGATAGGATCTTCCTCTACTGCCTCCTTCTGTCAATAATATGCTAAGGCATAAGCGAAGTTCACGTATGAAGAATGTCCGTGTGAAAAAGATACCAAAGAGCCTGTGCAAATGTACATCGAGGAAGGAGTTAATAGCTTTAGGAAAAGAGAGGCTGGGGGGAAAAAGAGTTATGAGCTGACATGTTTGAAATGTTAATACTGTTTCATTTTATGGTTTTTGTTTTCCAATATGGTGACTATTTTTAGATGTTCATTTTTAAAAAAAAAATAGTTCAGTAGGTCCTGTAAGTGGCATGGAAACCACTTTTGGCAGGCTTTTATTTAAGTGTTTTTGAAGAATTATTTTAAAAAATAAAGATATACATATTACTATTTATTTGCTTGTAACTGATGAATTTCAAATCCATCTGCAGTATAAGCCTTTATTGTTCTGATATTTTCAAAACTTTCTAAAATATTAGCAGAAACTAATATTATGATTAATGTATCATGCTTACTTGAAATTGTCTGAATTCCTCTCAACACACAGGGCTGCATTTCCCAATTTCTCTTTACAAATTAGAAATCAACCATGTAATACCAGTAAACTGACTCAAAGCTCACAATGCATGTTGCAGGTTCCAACCATTTTTGTATTCCACGCCTTTGTATTAAGTGCGTTGTGATTTTAGATTTATACATGTTGTCTTTATTCGAATTTAAGATCCTCATCCTCACCTACATTCACGGCCTCGCTCCCTCCTACCTTTCCGACCTACTATCACCCCACCTACCTGCCCGTACCCTCCGTTCCTCTGGTGCCGGTCTGCTCCACATCCCCCGCCCCAACCGCCCTACCATCGGTGGCCTTCAGCCTCTCAGCCCCGATGCTCTGGAACTCCATTCCCCAGTGCCTTCGCCGCTTCCTCCCTTTCCTCCTTCAAGGCCGGTCTCAAGACCTTTCTCTTTGACCGAGCCTTCAGCTCCCCTCTCGACTCTCTACTCCCTCCTCACTCCCTCCCTTCCCTCCCCTCACCCTGACCATTTCCCCCCTGTTCGGGTCCTGACCCAACTGTCCAGCGCCTTGGGACGTCCTCCCGACGTGAAAGACACTCTATAAATGGAATCTTGTTGTTGTTTATAATAAATAATAATCCTTGCATTTGAGATAGCGCCTTATCGCGTATTTGAGATGTCTCAAAGCGCTTCACAGAATATTCTGTAAAGTGAATTGACTGTATATTTGGGCAAATTGTGGCAGTCAATTGCTCACAGCAGTGTCCCACAAACAGTGGTGGATTGAAGTGACCATATTATTATTTTTTGTCTTTGCTGTTCATCAAGCAAATATATTGTGTAGTATTAATACAGTCAGTTTGTGTTTGCTTCACCAGTGTTTATTCTTTTGAGTATCTGATTTTTTTTCTTTTTAATTTCAGGATTAAATGAGTGCCCAGCAGTTTCCACGACCCGGTGCCCCTTCGTCAGGACTGGGAGCCAGCCAGCCTGCCACCACTATGCAGAATAACAGTGGCGCAGGGGCACCCAGCAACACAGTAACAGGTAAATGGCGAAGGGCCTTGGAAAGCAGCCAGATGTTTCTGATCACCAATCTCGGTAAACTAAATTGACTTTGTGGTTAATGACTTTGCATGACAGCATTTGGTTGTTTTTTTTAAAAATGATGTCTTAACTGCCAAGTTAAATGTCTTAGACTTGGTTGCCACACTATTGAAAGTATGTCTCATTTGGATGAGAATGTTTGTTTCTAGATTCTAATGTGTGGGTTCATGAGGTTTATCTGTTTGAATTAGGTACCTGACATTAGTAAAAATTTTGAAAAAAGATTTACAGCCTTAAATGCAATATAAAATCAACTGTTTTCTTTTATTCAGCTTATTTATTGTATATTAATCTTTAAAATATTGTTTTGTTGAAATTAATTGAAAACAACTTAGCCAATGGAATTAAGTAATGGGGCAGAACCGCGGAATGGTTGAAGCATTACGCAAGCCACTACCATTTATGGATTTCATTTAAATCTGCACTAATTGTATAGAAAAGTAGCATTTTAATGCAAGCCCTGGCCAGAGTGAGAGAAAATAGAGGCCAGTTGTTCTTCCTTTTGCAGTGGGAATACAGTGATGTTTTACCATATGGATTTATTGTTTTCCATTCACTTCTAGCTGCCAATGAAGAGACCAGCCGGGATTCGGAGCACACATCACGTGAACATACTAATCCCATGTCTTCATTGCCATTCCGAGATGAGAAGCAGGAGACAGTTGTGGTTAGGCCTTACCCACAGATACAAGCTCATACGCAGCCGCTAACAGCCATCCAGCACCACATACAGCAGCCCGGGGGACCGATTGCAATTGCTCCTCCAACTCACATAACACAGGCTACTCCACTTACCTTCCCAGAAGTGATGAAGGTATATTACCAATTCCTTTCCATCCTGTTATAATTAAGAAGTGCCTAAAAACTGTTCTTTTGTGACAAACAAAATAGACTCGAAGCAGCTAATTAGAGTAAAATGGCAATGGCTATGCTGCTTAACACAGGTGTTGCTGCCTGTGTTCCACTCATCAATGCAGTAGGAACAATCCTGAGCAATGATTTTGATATAGTCTAAATGTTCACCTAGAATACATTGGTACTACTATTATCTTAACCAGTTCTCTGCATTTCTCAGTTTTGTTTCTCAGTTTGATTGACAGCACTCTTGGAGACTCATTATGGTCTGTGTTGTGTTACGAGTGTATATTGGTGAAGTTGCATCTGGGAATTCAATACAAACTTGTGTTATTTTTCTCCACACCGTAGAAACATGTAAATGCTGGTGCTGAGGAACAACCTGATGCACAGGCATTGAAGGTGCTAGAATTTTTTTCTGCATACAGAGAAGGAATTTTTAAATTTATTTTAGTTTTGCTGATGCATGTTTTTATTTGTGTATTGCTTCAGACTACACTGAAGACGCCATTACCCAGTCGACCCATCGCACCAGCACCATCATCTGGCCAGGGACACATGACCGGTGCTCCTAAAGTCTCGGGTCATGTCACTGTTAATATGGACAGCTCCATGCCCCAGGGGTCTGCAATTCCTGTAGCTACTATCAGTGGGCAGCAGGTAAGAGCATGAAAGCATTTGAAATGGTGGACTAATGCTCTTCTCCGGCTTGAAGCATGCACTTGCCAACATATATAGTCAGCACACTTTACAGTAAATCCTGTGAGGTGCTTTGAGATCTTTCTACATTGTGATAAGCTACTATACCAAATGCAAGGATTGTTGTCTTATCTGAAAATGACATCGTGGTAATAGCTTGTCCAGAATTAACTGGATGAGAACTAATGAGATCTTGCTTCTTGAGCAAAAATGCTCTTCTACCAACTTTTGGACATTGTTATAAAATGTTCTTGATGACTTGCAAAGACAGTGTTGCAGAGCAGTGTCCATTGTGATGTCAATCCTTCCCCCCCACCTCCCCCAAACACATGCTTGTTTCCCTCTTTCCACCACTCTTCCCAACAGTGTCATTCACATAGTCTCTAAAACACAAGAGGAAGGGAATTATTGTATTTCATCCCAGCAGTTATGATCCCAGTTGCCGTGTCTTGACACTGGATGCTTTTTACAGGGACATCCCAATATTCCTCATCTGATGGGAGCCAATATGCAAATGTCAATCATCCGGAACTCTGTTCCAACTTCTCTCCACATTGGACAGTCCACAGCACCACCACAGATGTTCTCATCTCACGTGCCTAGAGGTAATCCAGTGTGTATTTGATTTTGTTTATATAAAATTTGTGTGGGGCAATAGATGTCCCAGGAGTAAGTAATTGTTTTTTGTGAATATTGGCAACTTGCACTTGAACAGATATATTTGTTCAATAGTTATACCTGTAAAATATCTATAGAGCATTAGAATTCAAGTTTCTCTTTAGATTTTGCCTCGTTAATGTTGCATTGTCAAAGACCTCGAGGGCTTTGAGCGTTGAATCTATAATGGAGAAACATGTTTAGCCTAGTGGTCCTTAAGCCTGTCGAGATTTATAGCAAAAGCTATATCAAAAGAAGATTGATTCTAGATTTTAGTAAACCGTTGTCTGGGAGCTTCACACGTAACCTGGAAGTCGTCTTCAGATACAAAATGATTTGGTCACTATAACTGAATCAAAGGTGCTTGTATAGGGAGAGTAAAATGTAAGCAATACCCTTGATCCACCTGGCTGGTCCTCTCATCTGTTTTAGATCTGTATGTAGAACTGTTATTTGACAGATTATTCAGAGTGCCCCCACAACATTTCTTTAAGGCTAAATGTCCTGCATTTAGTTCTTTAAGGCTTATGATCAGAATTAACGGGAAAAAGGATGCATGTTAAAATGAAATGTCCTTCTCTAGGTGCAGCGGTAGCAGCAGCAGCAGCAATCTCAAGTTCTAAAGTAACGACAGTTCTGCGTCCTGCTCCTGTACCATTACCAACAGCAGGGACTCCGCAGAACTCCTTGCAGCATTCTCTGCACCTCCCAATACAGGTAATCTTGGTGCCAGTTATACCAATATCCTTTGCTTCATCTACCTTCCCAAAGTATAATCAGCCACCCTGTAATGGAATTTTATTATAAAGTCATGGAGCCACTCTTCTTCTCACCCCCCTATAAGTCTTCCAGGAAGCATAGTTACGCTCATAAACCAAAGGATGATTCATCTGTGCATTTCAATTTCAATTTAGCTCCATCACATCAGCAACATTTCCAAGCCAGTAGCCCCAGTACACATCAGCGATGTTTTACATTTGCAACTTATGCATCCTGTTGGCTCAAAGGATAAATTGTTATTGCGCAGTCTTCCTAAACATGGCGTGTTGTAAAATCTGAGATTTTTTGTTATCTGTTTCTGTAGTCCACTAATTCTTTTTCTTTGCCTGACAGTCTCGCCCACCTTCAACTGGCTCTACAGCAGTTCCAGCAGTGGTGGCAACCGTATCTGCAACTCGGGCCCAGTCTCCTGTCATTACAACAGCATCAGCCCATGGGACAGATGTAACCCACAGGTAATAAAGCCACCTCTTAGGCCATTTTTTTGCATTGAGTTTAAACAGCACTTCTAGCAGAGTAAATGTGACAGACTGAGTACAAATGCTGCACATAATCTGTTGAATACTCGTGACAAACAGCAATGAGGTGGTACTTGTACAATGTAGTATTTTGATTGGTTCATTGGCACCAACTCCAAGGGATTTTATTGCATTCTATCTTATTTGAACTGCCTATTCAAGTTGTTCATCTTGCTTTCAAGTGACTAGCTTCTAGCACTCAAGTGAGTCTGTCTTGACTGCACTGAAGTGCTCTAGGAAAAATAGGCTCAATATGATGAACGTAATTGACTACCCTCTGTTAATCTATTTTGCATGTACGTTTTCAACAGTGCAAGTCCCATATACATAATGTGTACATTTATGGTGCCAAATATTAAATATGGAACTGGAGAAAAGATTTTAAAAAATTGGTGATTTAAGTACAACTCAAAAGTTGTAATTTTGTTATATTTTTGGTGAAGAAATGTTCCTGCAATCCTGATTCCCAGGGGTCACTGGCAAAAGGCTTGGAGCAGTTGGCCATGGTTACCAGACTTTGATCAATGAGTTCTGAATGCACCATCTAGTCTGATACCATTTTGTGCAGTAATTGGTCCCTGCAGCAAAATAAACTCTTGAGGATCATTACATATTAGGAAATATTGAAAATTCACAAGTATTTTTGTAAATCTTTTGTTCTGATTTATTTTCTGACATTTCTCTCCCCCACTTTTCCAGTAGACCAGCATTGACCATTCAGCCTCATCCACCGCCTGCCGCCATTAGCATCCAGCGCACTCAGCAGCCACGGGATACAGCAGCACGCATCACACTGCCTTCCCATCCCGCTGTTGTGTCTCAAAAACCACAGCTTCATGCCATGCCACAGGTAAAGAACTGTACCTTACCTTGGTTACTGCATATGTGTATATTGAATTATCAGGGCTGTTGACTGTTGTAATGAGGATCTTTTATTTCCTCTTTCTTCTCCTCCTCCAGTAATGTCTCATTATGGAACTACCATTTCTTGTAATATGAGAAATTATTGTTGCAGGGAAATTTAGTGTGAAATTTGTTAAAGGGGACATCTGAAATTGCACTGACTGTAATGTATTTGGTAACTTCACACTTTTTAGTACAAAAACTCCTAAAAGAATTTATTCTCAGTCCACATACAATTAAGAACATTGTGGATGTCTTCAGGCCCAGTTACTAGCATGAAAATTTTTTAAATCTTCATTTCACGCTCCTTTAAGTTAGAAAGGTTCTCTTAATTTGGTGCCCATAAATAAACTTTTATGTGTTCACGTGTTTGAATGCCTGCAAGATTGCAACATCTTGCTGAATGCAGTGGTAGTTGCTTTTAAGTAAGCGATTATATTCGATGCTTATCTCTAATAGTTCTCATGCTGTCCATGACAAGCTAATGGAAATGTGTAGCGCTTGAAATCAAAGCTTCAGTTATTAAAACATTTTTTTTCCTTTTATCAGAAAACAATCTTCAGCACAGGCACTCCAGTTGCTGCCGCCACCGTGGCGCCAATACTCTCCACAAACTCGATTCCATCCACAACAACTCAGGGTAAGTCCCTACAGAAAGCTTAACCAAGGCTGCACTGCTCATCAAGTGAAAATGTCTTGGGGTGGATGGATTATCAATTTTCAGACCTTCAGTCTAATGCGAATTTTTTTTAATATAAATCACATTCAGTTCAGGTGCTGATGTTTGTTTTTTTGTGTAGGTGCTATTTCTCACGCTCAAGCAACTGGCAGTACAATTGTCACCATGACGATGGCCCCTCATACATCGCACCCTCCTGTGGTGACCACTTCATCAATTCCCATAGGTCAGTGATCTTTAATAAATGCAAACCAAATGCTGGTCCGCTGCTTGTATCGCCTTTCCAATGTCAAAAGTTGCAAGTAAGTGATGTCACCTGTGGTTCTGCAAACTCCCAAGTTCAGCACAAAAAACTGTTGGAAGTTTTGATCACACTGAGGAAACTGAACGTTGCCTTGAAACAACCATTTTTTATACAGTGAGTGACAGGGGATTTGCGAAAGGCCAAAAACAGTAAAATAAAACTGGGGGGAAAAAAAGGTTGTTCAATTAAAGCTGCAGAGAATATCGGAGTTCATATAATCTTTTTGTCAATATTATCGAGTAAGGCTTTTTCATCATTTTTTTTAGAATTCTTAAATGTAAGACCACTTTCCAAATTATTTAGCTGAATCATAAACATTTAAGATGACAAAGTGTGGTGATGTCTAAGCATTTGCACTTTAATTGATGAACCCCTTTTTTGAATTATTATAGCAAAAGTTGTTCCTCAACAAATAACTTCTACGCGGATCCAACCTGACTATTCGACAGAAAGGACGAACATGATCTCTATACCTGGTCATAGGGCATCACCTAACCCAGTTACTATGGAAACAAGAACTGACAACAGGTAAGATGCCAGACTGAAATTGTTTTCCGGTGTTTGTGACAGTCAGGATTTACAATGTACTAAATATTTCAAAATGCTTTTTTGCACCAAAGGCACTTTTCAATGAGGGGGTGAGAATCTGCTATATTGGGCTCCACATGCCCATTTTTGTGAAATCGCAACTGATCTTTTTTTAATCTGCCTTCTGTTTCGCAAGTTTTTAATTTTCAGAATGGAAACTGGGATTTTACTGTGATGGTTGGAGAGTGGTTACAAAGAACTATAGTTGAATTTCAGTTCAATTATTCTTTCTCAAAAGACGCGAGTAACAATGAATGAATTCTTATTGTATCAACAAATGTGATGTTGGAATGAGTAATCCATATTTCAGTCATGCACTCCAATCCATTTAATTCAATGATTAGTTTTGTATCCAGTATTTGGGTGACGTCTGGCTAGACCTGTCTTAGGAAGGACATTATGATGGATATGCACAATTTACACTGATCGTTTCTCACATTTTCCTTCAGAATGATGCTGGTGAACATTTGCATGTAATAATTTGGTTATTAATCTTATGGCTGAATGGGTTAAATTATGAAATCAACTTCAGGAATCCATGACCATGAAAGCCACATAGAAGAGACTCATTATAACTGAAATAGTCACACAGAATTTAATTTAAAAGCTGTTAACGCACTTCTCTGTGTGTGTGAAATCTGTGTGGAGTTTGTTTATTCGCCAGGTTAATGAATGTTCTAATTCCCTCTTCCCACCCAGGCCAATGCCAGTGCAGTTCCAGTATTACCTGCCAGCATATCCACCTTCAGCTGCCATCCCAGGCTATCCACTGGCCCACACCTTCACTCCAATAACTAGCACAGTGTCCACTATACGCCAGTACCCAGGTATGGATACGATCCGTTATCTCTCTCTATATAAATAGTAACCAGGTAAGAATAAAAGTAGAACGGGAAGGGTCCTGAGTTGGCGAAAATGAGAAAATGTTGGTGAGTAACTGGTCTTGTTGCCTCTGGTGTTGATTGAGATTTTCAATTTGATTTCTGCCCATTTACAATATCCTGTTGGTGAAGTGTATTCAAAATATTCTTATGAAATCAGCAAGTGTTTCCACCCATGAACAGGCTATCACTGAAAAATGGGTTCAGCAAAGGATTTGTTCTGTTAAAGCTGTTTGATTCACGTTTTCCGAAACAACAGGTTGTTATCACTCATTTGAATTTTCTTAGGCAAGCAGCAGACCATTTTTTTTCATCAGAGTTCATAAAAGCAGCACTGGACTAATGTTGACCTTTAAATTAAATCTATCACTCAATCACGTAGGCTTGACTGGGACCACAGGCTCCAGTGGCACTGCCTTTGGTATTGGTCAACGCCTATCTGATTCCCTGCCCTGATGGCATAATACAAGAGCTGGCAGGTGGTTAATTTTCAGGTAACTTCAAGTGGGGAATTTTAAACTAGTTTTAAACAGTAAAAAGTCTTCACCAGGAATCTGTCCAGCTCCCATTTCCTCTCATTTTTCTAACTAGCACTTTATATACTCTGCTTCCTCCGGATTCTCTGCAAGTGCTTTGCAATTTAGTTGCGTTTATATCCCTCTTATTGTTTTTCATAAACCTGTGTAATGTTTGTGAGTACAGTGGCCATAATAAAGGGGGTCCTCCCATTGTATTTGTAAAGCCAGTAGCATAACTGGATTATGCCTGTAGTTTTAACAGGATACTTCCACCTCGGTTGCTGACAAGCACAGGTATTTTGTATGACTGCCCTTCCAAAAACTTAAACCTCTAAATAGGAAACCAGCCATTTCATTTAAAATTGATGTCCAATCTCTATTTCAGTTTCAGCACAGGCACCAAGCTCTGTGTCTGCAGCAGCGATAGCAGCTCAGGCAGGTGTTGGTGTGGCCTCCACTGTCCATCTTAACCCCATGCTGATGACTGTGGACCCGACGCATGCACGTCACATCCAGGGGCTGCAGCCTGCTTCAATTGGCACCCAGGGGATTCAGCCTGCTCCGATCGGAACTCAGGGGATTCAGTCAACAGCTATTGGCACCCAGGGTCTGCAGTCTGCATCACTCGGCTCTCAGCAGCCCACTGAGAACAAAACCTCAGGTAATAGGAAAGCTACACTGAGATGGTGGGGGGTGTTGTAAGGGTGATCCGCTTCCGAAGGATTCAGCTGTGACAAATGCACACAGAGCAGGAAGTGTTACCAGTGAGCAAACCTGCTAGGGTTCGGAAAAGCTGCTGCAGTTGTGGCTGAGTCTCATGACATTTTGAGCAATTCAATTATTTGTCATCACGTTTTACTTTTGTATAGCCATTAAGACTGGAAAGATGAGGGTGGGGAGAAGAAATTGCGCACAATGTGGTTAACTCCCCTATCGAGCCCTTCCGTCTAGCGGTTTAGAGAGAGTAGAGGGGGATTGTCGGGAAGTGTTCTGAAATCTTATGTAAGGCAGATTGGAGTAATAAGTAGCAAACCCAGCAATCAGCATTGAAAAGAGCATTATTGGTATGGTACCCTTTTTTCTGTTTGTAACTTCTTTTTCTTTATAAAATTCCAATACATTTGTCATTGTGATCCCGGCAAGCAAAGGTCCATGTCAACTACTTCCGATGGGAGTCAGTTCCACGGATCTGCTGCTCCGGAGGTGAAAGAAACCGACTTTAACTTAATTGCATAAATCGGATAGTTTTACGTGCAATGGATCCTTTGGAATGACTGTACACTATAATCTAATAGAAAGGTTCAAGTGACATTTACCATAAAATTAAAATAGTTTATAACTGTTGCCCGAACCTCTCAATTTTAAATTATCTCCCAAATCACTCCCAGGTATTGTGTTCATCATTTTTATGATGTGTGGGTGTTCACACAATTTTCAGGATTTTATACTTTTTTTTTGCCTGAGACAGTAGTCAGCCTCCAAACCAAGGGTCACAGCATTTTATGGTTTGATGTGTTGGCTGTTTACACTGGGTGATTGAATACTGTTCTGTCATTACAAAGGTTTATTGAGCAATATTCTACAGTTTTTACAGTAAATTATCTGGCATATTTCATGTAATTCTCTTCACTGTTTTTGCCATCAAAGCTGAGGTGCTTGTGAGTTTTCACTTGCACACCGGTTGTGTCTCTCACTTTACATCTGCATCTTTGTTCTGTTTACTTTATTTCAATTCGGTTGAATCTTCCAGGTCATCAGCTACACCCCCTTTAAACACAATAAATTAGTCGGGTTGGAAGGTGGAGAAGGGGAAAAAGAACAACCTGAGTATGTGCTTTCCAACTGATTTACAATGATATAAAATCTAATCACAATCATTTTAATCTTTGCATTTTACCACTTTATGAATGGCAAACTCGTTCTGCTTGCCATCACAGAAGAACAGGATACTGATCAGATTAGAATTTTTTTTGCATTCTAAAGTGGTTCCAAGTATTCGTGAGGATGCAATGCTGCAGGAAATGATTCCTTGTCCAGAGAAAAAAATCTAAACTGCATACTGGATGGTAGAACTCGGAATCTTTTTCATCCTCGCAGTTTACCACTGTGTGATTGTACATTATTCATTCTAGCACATTGAGAAAGTATGTGATACAGTCTCAGCCTTGGATGCTGAAAATCCCTGGAGCTTCACTCTTCGAGTTTGTTGATTGTATTTTAGCTATGTAATAATAATCCTTATTATTAATGTGATTCATTATGAGCTAGCTGCTGTTTCTTTTTTAAACATTGCTTTGTAAAACCCACACTAATAGTTCATTTTTCTTCACTTTGATGTTTAGGTGTTTCAAGGACAGCTTGTAAATAAGGTTGTAGGTTCATGTCCATGACTTGTGCTCACCATTTGCCTTTTCACATGGATATTAACCATCCCGTGGCACTATATGGAAAGAGTTTCTCCTGATGTCCTGGAGAACAATGCTACAGATAAATTGATCATTCATCTCATGGTTGTCTGTCCACACAAAATGATTGCTGTGTTTGTCTAGGGAAAAAAAAACGTCACTACAGTTAACACCGAAGCACTTTAAAAATGCAAGTTCTTAATATACAACTGTCTTGTTTCCCAGCAGTGGTGTTGACCGATGGAGCTACCATTGTAGCGAATCCGATTAACAGCACATTCAGTGCGACCCCTGCTGTCACCACTGTGATCCAGACCCATACTCAAAGCAGCAGTACCACTGCTCCAGCACAGGGATCCTCACCCCGACCCAGCATTCTACGAAAGAAGCCAGCCTCTGATGGGTAAGTCTGACCAAATACTGCTTTATAGTTTGTGACCGTTTCACTTTTTGTTTCTATACAGAAACCCATCTAAGGTACATCAAAAATTTGTATCAAATTTACAGTGAAATAAATCCATGTGATTGGTGTGCAATATACCGATTGGATTTTTTTTCCTAGATTCCCAAAAAGCTTTGGGAAAAGGGAAGTGGTATAGATCGTCCAATACAAGATTGAAAGCTGTCAGAATTCCAGTGTGTTTGAATTTACTTCTGTTATCATTTCTCATTCAGTATATTACTAGCTAAGGTTATAAACTAATATCAACTATAGCTGATGATTGAGCCTTACGTGGAAACGTTGAATATTATTGATTTGAAGGATTTTTATTAGGCAGGTTCAGTTTGGCCAAGGCTTGTGCATTCTTCATCCAACTACTTAAGGGGCTGTTCTACTGAAGGCTGCTAACACTCAAGGTGATGCTAGCTGAATTACAGCAAAAATGTCACTAAACATTATTGTACTTTCAATCTTCAGTTTATTAGCTCAGCCCCAGCAATACGCTGTACTAGCTGAATGTAATCGGAATAAGATGCAAAGTCCTTTAGTTGTCTCACAGTGTATTTTGTGTTTTGGTTACAGTATGGCTGTAAGGAAAAGTCTTATCCCTCCTCAGCCACCAGAGGCTACGAGCCCGCGACTAGATGGGACAATGCGTAGCACATCAGGGTCTCCACGACCAATTAGGTAAGGCACATTCGGAGGTCTGCACACATTTTCTGGCTGAGGTGGGAGGGAGGTGACATTTGCCAAGGCCTTGATTTATCTCCTTTATTGATCACCCTGAGCTACAAGAGAACAGCCTGAATTTCCCCTGTTGATCTGTGAGGTTAGCGACTGCCCTCTATTCAGCAAGGAGGGAGAGTTGGTTTAGAGTTGATGGTATTTTGGTGTGCGATTTACTCAATTTGAATCTGCTTTTAACAGATATCTATTTTCTTAATGATTGGTTTCTGCTGGTTTGTATCTAAGATATGAAAGAGAGTAGGCCTGTCAAAAGAGCACCTTTCAGTCAATTTGGAGTGTGATTGAATGTTCAGCTTTTCAGGACTCATAACTCAAGAGGGAGTCGAACAAATATTTGAAGAAGAGAAATATTAAGGGGTTTGGTGAAGTGGTAAAGAAGTGGGACTAAACGGCTAGCTCTTTCAGAGAGCTGGCATGTTGAACTAAATGACCTCCATCTATCCTGCAGATTGTATGATTCAAATATCCCAGTCTGTCCTTGATGAAGGGAAAAGTGTAAAGCTGGTTAAGAGAGATGGGAATTGTTTAGTTGGATATATATTATAGCTTTAATGAGCATCACAATGCTGTTTCATTTGTTCCCCTTGGCTTATGTAGGCTACTCACTCTTACCTTTGAGCAAGCAGTTAATAATAAATATTCCTCTTTAGTTGTTTTTTTTTCCTGTTTCCAACTTTTCAGCACAAAGCCCAAACCAGAGATTCATGTTGCCATGACCACCCCGGTGGCTGTAGCAGTGGAAGCAGTTAGCAGTCAGAATATGGAGCCTTCGTCAGTCCCGGGGCTGCCGAATTCCCAGCAGCCTCAGCCACCGATCCCAACACTTATTGCAGCCGCGGTTCCACATCCTCAGCCCACTGCCTTGTCAACCGTCACAGCAGCGGTGTCTGCTGCCCCTCCAGCTTCAATATCCATCACGACCGTGGTACCTCCTCCCTCACAGCCAGTGGCAATATCTGTTCCTGCCTCCATGAGTTCAACATTGCCAGAAGCTAAAATTAAACAAGAGACTGAGCCTATGGATGGTCTGCAGCCAGTGTCTGGTAAGTCAAGTTCCTACCTTGAGTAATCACTTAGATTTTGTCACTGGGCCGATGCTGGTTCAATTGCTCAATATGAGTTTGGTGGTTGGTATAAAATGATCTAACTGCAATATGAAGGCCTTTCATAATCTTGTAATTATAGATGGTAAGTTAATGGAAGTAGTGGCACCTGTAACATTCATGCTTGCAAAGAAGGGTTCCAGAACCTAATCCGTACTGATGTCCCATACAGAATATCTAGGTCATTGGAACCATATGAAAGGTAGGGAATTGGGTTAACCGGGATAGTGGCTCAGCAGTTGTTGTGTGTTTCCCATCAACTGTACTTTCCCATATAAGCTTTTATAGAAAAATAAGGAGGATCGAACATCAAAGGACATGCTTGCACGTCTCACATGGATTAGTTACAGGACAACATTGGGAGGGGTTGGTGTTACCAAAGTTGACTGAGATGGGAATTGCGAGATCAGCAGGGACTCGTCTGATGGTGCAGATTTGTGATGTTTTGAGGAGGTATTTTCTCACTATCAATTTTTTCTTTACTTTCAGTGTCTTCGTCCCAACAAATGGCAGCCATGTCTCCTGCTCTAACTCAAATGGTGAACAATCTGGGTGTTCCTGGCAATGATCTCCCACCGGGTGCCTCGCCCCGTAAGAAGCCTCGCAAACAACAGCACATCATCTCTACAGAGGAAAGTGAGATGATGGAAACCAACAGCACTGATGAAGAAAGAGCCAGTACTAAGCCAGTTCTTCTCAAAGCAGAGAAAAGGAAATCACCTCCAAAAGAATATATAGGTAAATGTGTTTGTGCCTTCAAAAGCATAATTTTGTTGAGAGTACATCTCTGAAGGGTAATACAGGTAAATGGATTACTGGATTGATCTCCAAAATACGTTGTTTATTTGCACTTGCACACAATAAATGTAGACAAAAATGAATAGCTCGCCTTATGTTATGGTCTGGTTGATTCTGCCTTTGTGAACATTGTTTAAGTGAAATCATGAGATCTGCTCGTGATATTTTTCTTTAATTCATAAATAGTTGAAGTTGGTTATGAACGTTTTGATTTTATCAAATTCATTTTCACACAGTCTGTTATGTAATGGAAATGGACAAACACACGAGCCTTTGATAAGATCATAATGTCTGCAACACTAAAAGTATATCTTCCCCCACAGTAAGTTCAACCCCGCGCCCCCCCACCCCAAGTAGTATTCCCATCAGCACGATCAGTTTCATTGATGCAAATGCAGCACGTTCATCTTTTAGGCCTTGAACCGGTCTAACTTCACCTTAATTGGGCAACACTGTTCTGTTGTGAAACTTTATGTGTAACGTGTACAAAATATTCATTTAGTGCTCAGGCACTACCCCTCGTGAAGTATGCTAAATAAATGTAAGTTGTTGTTGATACAATTATCTGTGGCTGAAGCTTGTTTGGAATGGTGCAAATTGGTTTAACAAAGTTTGATCAATAGTTCTCTGCATTATTGTTCTGAATCTAGTTTGATTTTTGGTGTTGCAGATGAGGAGGGTGTGAGGTATGTTCCCGTTCGTCCGAGACCACCAGTCACGTTACTGAGACATTATAGGAACCCCTGGAAGGCCGCCTACCATCACTTTCAAAGATACAGTGACGTGAGAGTCAAAGGTCAGTCCGTATTTTCCATTCTTCCATTCTGTTCCATTTTCCATTCTTTGTGAATCGAACGGATCATTTATGGTCTGAAGAACTTTTCAAAGCCAAATTTGGCTTCCATTTTCAACATACTGTACAATTCTTTCGTCCCGTAGCAATCCATTCCAGTGGGTTACCACCTCGCAAATCTTCTATTCAGATCACTCGGTGCAATCTGTGTCTATAACAGCCCAAATACTTTGTACATTCCAGTAGTATTTACTCCCCTTTTATATGCAGACCAAATCTAAATAGAATTATTGAACCTATTCCTAATGACACAGTTAGTAAACAAATTATACAGTGGGTAATTATGCAATATAAACAGGGAAAGATTACAACCTCCATTCAGATCCTATGTTAGCTGATCTCACCCAGGGTAACGGGTGAAACAGGTGCACTAGGTGAAAGCACTGGGTCCATCCACGTTTGAATAATTTGTAACTTCAGAGCATAATCCCCACCCACTAATGTGAGGAATCTTATTTCATTTACTGCTTGGCCACATTATATTTAATTTTTTAAAAAGTGCTTAGTATATTGTCATTTATTCTGGAAGAATGCTTTGCCAGATAATAAATCGGTAACTGCCGGCGAACATACATTTTATACAGATATTCAAATGCAATTAGTTTAGTTCCATCGTGCATAATTTATTTTGCGGCGCAGGCTATAATTCCATCAGCTCCACAGCCGCCTTAATTGCGAGTCAGTAAAGGGTATGTTATAACGGTGACATGAAGGTAGTTCAGATTTCAAATTCCATTATTCACCAGCACTGTAAACATTATAAATATAATGAGCATTTATAATGGGGAACAGTTCCTACTTCAGCTCCCATGTTTAGCAACTTTACCTGACCCAGCCATGAGCAGTGTCTACTCGCAGCTCCTCCGCAGCTGAAGGTCACTCAACCAAAGCTTAATTGCAATTATAAACTGGGGCTCTTGCTCATTAACCAGTCATCATTTTTAGTCTCTGTATTTGACTGTACATATAACAAATATTTGTGTTCGCAGTTGTATGGATCGTGTGAATGAAATGCTCACTGTGGTTCTGTTATGTATCCTGTTTTGTTTTTCCCGCTCTGGTGCAGAGTTGATGCTTTCACTTCAGGTGTGCCCGTCATTTCTTTAAATCTATGTAACAAATTTAACCGGGTTCAAAGATGTTGCACGGGAGCTATTTTTGGAGCTTTTAAAGTTTCCTTGTAAGTAAGCACTCAAGATGCAGTCATGGCAAAAGGGCACTGTCAGACTGGAACCCAGATCTCCAAAATCAGCGCTGGTCAGCTAAAGTATTTCTGTGCTAACCTGACACGAGCACTTAAAGTTAAATCCCTAAACTGCTATGAGATTAGTACCCATGTTCCTGGGTTAGATTTTAAATTTGTTTATATGGAGAAAGAGTTCCTCTCTGCAAGGAAATGTAAAAGCAAATAATGAATATTAGTGATAAGGCCTCTACTTCAGATTAAAACGCATTGATTTGGGTTCAACTGCAACCAATCTCTGCTATACCTGACCTCTCATTTACTGATGAGCTAATGTAACACCTTCTGTGGCAATACCATTCTAAAGTACAAGTTGATCAACCAACAGAATATTAAGGAAGCTAACAATAATCTGTAGATTCAAGCAGTTGCTTCTGTTCTTTTATGCCTCTTAAGTGAAATGATGCGATCCTTTCAATTTTGTATCATTAATTGCTGCCCATTTTCTTGCACAACATTCGCTCTAACCTGTGCCTTTTCTTTTTCATTTTCTCTTCAATGACAGAAGAGAAGAAGCCCACACTGCAGGAGATAGCTAATCAGAAAGGCATTGTCTGCAAGGCTCAAGGCTGGAAGGTTCACCTGTGTGCTGCACAGCTTATGCAACTGGTAAGTGAGGTTGGGTTTCTGCCTGTGGGGTTGGGGGAAGAAAAAGAGAGGAGGGAGTAGCTGCAGAAGGCTGTTTATTAGCTATACAATCGGCCATTAGGTTTTGGTTATTTCCGGGGAGTGACTAACACATGGTTATTGGTTAGAACATCTGTTTGTACTGCTTCAGACTCTTGTAAAATTACTGAATAATAAAAGGTGCATCAGTTTTTGATGTTTGCCATCATTTTACCAGTGATACCTTATTCAAATTAACCGGGTCGTACATTTTGCTAGCCCACTTGCCAGTTGTGGCCTTAACTAACAACTGCTTATTAAATAATCAATGGTTGACCCCCTTGAGTTGATGAGAATAAGTATACATTCCAAGATTGCAGAGTGCAAGGCTTCCCTTGCACAAACTGCTTATTTATAGAGATTTGAACACATTTGACTAAATTTCATTCCAGTGTGATTTTTGTTTGCTCTGACTTCTGCTGTAAAATATTGGTCAATACTTCAACCAATGTCCGAACATTTAACTAATGTTCCTGTTGTGAGCTTTCTCCTTACAATCTTCTTTTTCTGATCTGTTTCCTTATCCAAATGGACAATCAGACCAGCCTGGAACATGACGTGTACAGCCGGCTGGCTTCATTACAGGAGGGGCTTATTCCAAAGAAGAAAACTGCTACAGACGATGACATTCATCGAATCAATGAGTTGATCCAGGTCTGCATATGTGTGTGTGTATATGTATGTGTGTGTATATTATATATAATATATGTACTGTAAAAAAAATAAATTCAATGGCTTGAAGAGTGTATATTGGAAAGATATCAGTTGCACAGACTGGATTATCATTCTGGGTAGCCTATGTTTAGGACTGAATTTTACAGAAGGTTGTGCAGTTCACATTGAATTGGTAATTGAGGCAACTGAGACTTCTGCATTTGTACGTGTTTGGATGTGCATGTTTTCTTGTTCAGTAGCTTGTAATAATGCGATCTTCCTCCTCACCCTACGTTATGTTTGCTTTAATAGGGAAACATGCAACGCTGCAAGCTAGTTATTGACCAGATTACTGAGGCCAAAGACACAATGATGAAAGTTCTGGATCATAAGGATCGAGTTTTGAAACTCCTCAACAAAAATGGCACGGTCAAGAAGGTGTCCAAATTAAAGAGAAAAGAAAAATCCTAAACCCAGGGGTTCGAATAGTAATTGTGTTTTAAAGCTATTGTATAGATGTTTAGTTTGATATTTGAATAAAGCAGTTTTCCAGATAATGGATGGTATACATAGAACATGAACACTGCTGTGTGTTCCAGAGAGTGCTGTGAATGGAGACAATGTTCTCAATAGCGCTCGCTCATTTTGTTTGATTGTAAACCAGATAGGGGAGTTGTTTCACAACTGCTGCCCTCCACTTGAAGAAACCTTCAAAATGGTTCTTTTAGATTTTCATCCAACCCAAATGTAAAGTAGCACAACTTTTTTTTTTGGCCAAGCTGACATGGTTTATCTTTTGAGTTCAAAGAACAGCTTCCAGGTTTATGCTTTCAGGTTACAGTAGCTATTCAGAAAGCAAACATTTACATTGCCAAGGTGTTTCTGTTAAATATTAACATTTGTAACGGTTAGAGTGAAAATTATACAAAATAATTAGCATTACCTCACCACTTTTCACATTGCAGGTATTGTCTAAATTTATCTGGAGACACAATTTAGCAACCCCAGTCAGGTGATGCAGTTCAAGAGATTGCCACAGGTTATGTTCAAGGCATTATCCCGAGTCCAGCACCTGTAGATATTAGCAGTACACATTCAAATGTGGCTGACAAAAAAAAAAATAGATTCCTCAAGTAAGGCCTTAAATCTAATTTCTCTTGAATTGTGTCATCTACAGAAGGTGCTCTTATTAGTAGATGTGAGGTGTGCACGTTAGGAAGGACGGATTTTAATACCATTCTCGAGAAACCTTTCCTCATTCAACGCATGCTGCTGATGTTCCAAAAACTTATCACAAATCAAGACCTATATGGTTGATTTGAGGGAGTCGAAAGAAATTATGGGAATATTTTCTCAATGAGAAAAACAAAAATAAAAAATGCTTAAAACTGTCAGTGTTTAGTCTAGGGAATAAACGTGGGGTTGCTAATCAAAATCACTTACCTGGTGTATTGTGCCCTTGTGGGGTTTGTGTGGCTCTCTAATGGTAAGTTAAAGGGAGCTGGTTACTGTTTATTTGAATACGATTCCAGTTCTTCCCCAGTTCGCCATGTTGGCAATGATGAGAATCTAAAAATGGGAATCTTTTAAAGCTGTTGTAAAAAGTACTGAGAGCTTTACAAAGTTCATAAAGTCTATAGTTCTTTTTTTAAAGTTTGCTCAATTTCCTAGACCGAGTTTCAGAAATACTGTGGGCAGCTTTTATATCCTCCCTCTGTTCACATATATAATGAGTTTGGTATTTGGACCAGCAGTGTTTGTAATTGACAGGAAGGTTCAATGCATAGGCCTGCCCTGCTCCTTCTCTTTTGTGGTGGTCTTGTGTGACATGTTGTAGTTTATGTGATGCTGTTTCCTGTACATATACACTTGCAAATCATTAATAAAGGATGCAAGCTTTTATACCAATGATGGAAATGCAGCTTGGGAGCCACATTACATGCATTTTACATAGTATACATCTTTTCTGTATGTGCGTTTATTTTGGTTTTAGTTCTCATTTCTAAAGTTGTATTTAGTTCTTGTCATAAGAGGCCACACTTCATCTATTCTTAGGGAATGTTTTTCTTTTTTTAAAAAAATCAAGGACAAATGTTGAATAGGAACACTTATGGTTTTTTTTCCATGATACAAGCAGACCATGATTCTAGTCGAGAGAATCATAGCAGTGTCATTCTTTATTGTCCAGTTAAACTGAATTTATTTCAGTGAGGGGAAAAAAATATTCTGGTGTGGATCGTGGAATGACTTACAATGGAGCCCAGTAGGATATAGATTTCCATTACTGTTGTATAAATGGAGACATTGTGAATGAATTTAACCTCAAGGCAAAGTCTTCAGATCTATAGAACAATTTCAGGCCATTTAATTTTAAATTATTGTATGTACTTTAGTTACCTACATCAAATATGCCTCATCATTTCAAAACCGACCTCCCTACTCTCTCCCAATCTTTGTTTTCCAAATGAAAACTAGCTCAGCTTTGTAAGTATCTCATGACAACGTTCAAGTCTCAGAAGTCGCACCAGCAATATCTCACAAATGAGATGCAATAACCAGTTACTCTGTTTTTAATCAATTTAGATAAAGAAAAATCCTGCTCTTTGAAATATTGCCATTGGAATTTATGGTTTCTACCAGGACATTCCACAACACAGTCCAGATGATGAGTTCCAGTCCTGGCCAACGAACTCCCCCAAATAAAATCGGTCACTCACTCCATGACAGTTTGGGGGGACGTTGCTGTGCGCAAACTGTCTGTCGCGTTTTGCCCACAAAAAGCAGTCACTGCACTTCACAGTAAATCCTGTGAAGCACTTGTGAGGTTTAAAAAAAAACACACACCTCCTTTCCCACCTTCAAATCCTGCCTTAAAGCCCTGTCTTTTTGATGGTGTTTTAAGATCTCTCCCCCCACTCCCCGGCTCGGGGGTCAGACTCCACTGGGACGTAACCCTACGTGAAGGGCGCTACGTCAACGCGAGACCGCTCCCAACACAAACAGTCACTGCGCTTGACAGCATATTCCGGGGAAGCGCTTTGAGACGTCTCGAAAGGCGCGATCTTTCGAGGTGAGGATTTTTTTTTTTTGTGCGCGCGGTCGTAACACGGTGGCGTACTGAGTGCCGGGGGAGTCAGCGGTATGATTAAAAACCCATTCCACCCCCAAACCCCCCCCACCCCCCAACAAACCCCCCCACACCCCAACAAACCCCCCCACACCCCACCTACACACCCCCACACACACCCCACCCCAACCCCCCCACACTCCCCAAACCACCCCCCAAACCCCCACACACCCCCCCACACCCCCCACACACACCACCCCCAACCCCCCCCACACCCCCCAAACCCCCACCCCCCCCCCCACACACACCCCCCCCCCCACACCCCCCAAACCCCCACCCCACCTACACACCCCCCACACACACCCCACCCCCAAACCCCCCACACTCCCCAAACCCCCCCACCCCCCCCCAAACCCCCACCCCCCCCACACACACACACCCCAAACCCCCCACACACACCCCACCCCCCACCAAACCCCCCCCCACACCCCACCAAACCAGAACCAACAACAACAACAGTCACAACACGAAAACACGCCCACTCTTCGACAGCTCGCGGGGGGGTGGGGGGAGCGGGGGCGGGGCCAGGACCTCCGGCCGGCCGGTGTAATGACGTCAGCCTGACCCCTCCCCCCCCCCCTCGGTGCGCGCCGGGATACTGGAGGACTCCTCGGTCCTCCAGCCCCTCACTCTTTTGCCTTCCGCCTGGCGAAAGTGGCCGCCGTGTGTCTGCCTGGTGGCGGCTGCTCTCCTTTCTCTCTTTCTCTCTCTCTCTCTCTCTCCCTTTCTCTCTCTCTCCCTCCCTCCTTTTTCTTCTTCTTCTTCTCCTTCTTCTTCTTCCTCTCCACCACCGCTAAACCCCTCTCTCTCTCTCTGTGTGTGTGTGTGTGGGGGGGGTTTTCTGCGGCTGCTTTGCGGGGTTATTTGTGCCGATCTCTCTGTGTCTCTCTCTCTCTGTGTCTCTCTCTCTGTCCTCTTGGGCTGTGTCTGTAACATGGCTACATGATTGAGGGGAATGAGTGCCAGGGACAAGGCCGGCCTCCTCCTCCTCCTCCTCCCGCCGCCGCCGCCGCCCTTGTCTGAGACCGAGGGACCGTCCCAAACACTCGCCACTTTACAAGGTTTGGACCTTTCGCTGTTTTTTTTTTGTTGATGCCATTGTTTTCTTCAGAGCTGCCGTTTCGGATCCGCCCCTCTCTCTCCGGTTTGCGAGGGGTTTTCTTCATCATCTTTCCTCCCTCCCCTCCTCCCTCCCTCTCATCCTCCTCCTCCTCTCCTCCCCCCCCCCACGCTCCCCCTCCTCCAAGCCAACCCCTCCCCACTCCAAGCCCCCTCCCCCCAAACCCCCCTCTACCCCCAAGGCCCCCCTCCCCCCAAACCCCCAAGCCCCCCTCCCCCACCCCCCAAGCCCCCTCACCCCCAAGGCCCCCCTCCCCCCAAACCCCCCAAGCCCCCCTCCCCCCACGCCCCTCTACCCCAAGCCCCCTCTACCCCAAGGCCCCCTCCCCCAAGCCCCCCCCCACCCCCAAGCCCCCCTCTACCCACAGGCCCCCTCTACCCCAAGCCCCCCTCCCCCAACCCTCCCTCTACCCCCAAGGGCCCCCCAAGCCCCCCCTCCTCCCCCTCCCCTCTCCAAGCCCCCCCTTCCAAGTACCCCCTCTTCCTTCCCATCCCCGCTCCCCCCCCTCTGTCTCATTCGAGCTCTTCGCTTCTCCCCCCCCCCCCCCTCCTCCCCCCCCCCCCCTCCCCCTCCATCATCCTCACTCCCCCCCCTCCCCTCCACCACCATCATCCTCACTCCCCCCCCCTCCCCCTCCATCATCCTCACTCCCCCCCCTCCTCCTCCACCACCATCATCCTCACTCCCCCCCCCCCCTCCCCCCATCATCCTCACTCCCCCCCCCCCTCCCCCCCATCATCCTCACTCCCCCCCTCCTCCTCCACCACCATCATCCTCACTCCCCCCCCTCCCCCTCCACCACCATCATCCTCACTCCCCCTCCCCCCCCTCCTCCTCCTCCATCATCCTCACTCCCCCCCCTCCTCCTCCTCCATCATCCTCACTCCCCCCCCTCCTCCTCCTCCATCATCCTCACTCCTCCCCATCTCCTCCTCCCCCCTCTCCCTTTCTCTCCCGGGGAGGGGGGGGGAGGGGGGCGGTGTTTATTTTTTTTTGCAGAGTTCCCAGGCCCGGGGTGGGGGTGGGGGTGGGGGGGCGGTGCTCCTCTCTGGCAAACAGTCAGTGTGATCAGCGGCATTCCCGGGTATTAATTAATACCCACTCCCCCCCCCCCCCCCCCCCACCTCCTCCCCGTCACCCCGGGTCCAACTCCCCGACGCTTTGTACATGTATCTCGGATTTTCACGCTGCGGCATCTTTTTTTTTCTCTCTCCCACACCCTCCCCGGGGTATGGGGCAGCACCAGTCAATCCTACCCCGGGAGAAAGGGGGGGGAGGGGGTGGGAGAGGGGGGGAGGGTGGGGGAGGGGGGGAGGAGTGGGGGAGGGTGTGGGGAGGGGGGGGAGGAGTGGGGGGGAGGGGTGGGAGAGTGGGGGGAGGGGGTGGGAGTGGGGGGGAGGGGGTGGGAGAGGGGGGGGAGGGGTGGGAGAGTGGGGGAGGGAGTGGGGGGGAGGGAGTGGGGGGGTGTACAGTATTGACCCTCTCACCAATAAGCGATATTAGTAATCGATACCGCCCTCTCGGTCCACTCTGCACACAACACAACACACACAACACACACACACACAACGTGCAGCAACTTTCATCTGATCCTCATGGACAGTGGGTGGGTGTTGGGATGGACGACGACAGAAAAAATCCCCAATAAATGTCAACCTTAATAATCCACAGCGTTCCGTTTGTGCCGCTGTCTTTATTTTGTGTGTGGCTTTTTTTTTAAAAAAAAAGAGAAGAAGAAGAAAGACCCTTCAGCGAAACCTGTTAATCTAACAAACTATTCTTGACGATGGTGGGGATTTATTTATCCGCCAGAGAACTGATTGAATTTTAATGAACAGTTAAGTTGCCTTTGCGATTGAGCTCTTTCTATGTCGAGGGTTGTTTTTTTTTTTGGGGTCAAATTGCAACCAGGGCATCATTTGGGTTTTTTTTTATTTCCTGGTGTCTAATGTCAATCTGGGCAGCAGACTGGGTGGGGGGGTGGGGGGGTTTATTCCTGAGTTTGAGAAGCTCAGGTGGTATGCTGGCTGCTGGCACCAGGTTCAACATGTTTACCCCAACTGGTTTTGTTTTCAATTTGCTGAAAAGCAATAAGATCTGGAAAGGAGAAAAGCAGCAGTCGCCTTTACTGCCGCCTGCTGACCTGATAGATCAAGGAAAACATTCAACTCCCTCAGACTCAGAGAGAGCGACATTGCGTGCACAACCATAAATGGTACATGAAAGAGGCTTTAATGCATATACACTACAAGGTAGAGAGAGAAAATACATCAGGCGCTTACTCTGTTGTTGTGCGTTCTATGATGGCGCAAGGGTGTTGTTGTTTTTCTCTCTATCCCGTCTTTGTAAATTAAGCTTGTGTATGTATTCTCTATATCTTGTAAGTATACGTTCAGGTGGCACAAATGGTGTTGGGAGTATCAGTCTGCATCACTAGAAATGGGGAGCTGAAATAAGTCCATCTGGATTGTAAGGATATAGTTAAAATTGTATATGTGTGTATATAAAGAAGCGAGTGAGAATACACACACAAGTATATGTTCATCTGAATTCACACCCCATCTTAGCGATCAAGGTAAGGGAATACACGCTTATCCAGAAACCCTTTCCACACTTCCAAGAGGAGACTTTCATCAGAGGTTTAGCAGGCAAACAATTAGTCAGGCAAGTCGCTTTGTAAAACAGGCATTCAACTCACCAGGCAATGTAGTTTGACAGTCAAGCAGCCAGAGATGAGCATGTCCACAAGGGATCCCAGACAGGAAATCAATGAGGAATCTCAGACAGAGAGATACAGTTAGGTAGATAAGAAAGACTCACTGAGTTCAACAGTCAGGTATCCTTGATAATTTGTCAGTTTTATGTCCTGGACAGATTTTGACTCAGATAAGACAGAAAACAGGACTGACTGATGCACAAAATAGGCAAACAGAAATTACTTTCAATGGTTGGATATTTCTAGATTTGTACCTAACTGCAGTCTATTTCAAATAGACAGGCGCACAAATGTGTTAGAATAGGTAATTATGGAAACTGGATAGTCAATCGGACTTTATTAAAAAGTGTAGCACTTGCATGGTCAGTCAGATGACCAAGAAACAAGTAGATGGCTAGACAAATAGCTCTGGCACCTGGACCAGACAGTCAATTCAAGGAGAGGAGGTTAACATACTGCAAAGATATGTAAAGTACACCAAAATTGACTTCATAGATTGCTGAACAAACTGGTGAAGTAGGCAAGACTGAGCAAATTAAGTAGATAATATGGACCAGTTAATGGGCTAACTGGCTGATTGGCTAGTGACTGGGTTCATAAATAGTAAACCTATTTTTTAAAAAAAGAAGCAGGAACAATGGAAGATTAAAGGTAAATCAATGGAAAGAAAGAGCGAGGGAACAAATGCACTAAAAACTAGAAGATGCTGGACAATGGGAGTGAAGAAATTCAATTCAATAGAGGTGTTCAATTGATGTATACTTAAACTGGGCTTTGCTTCCTATCCGGTATTTTTATACTGCATTATATGAAATTAAATTTTACTGATGCTGCTTATTTTCTTTACTGCTGTTGGGTGATGAATCAAAATGATTAGATATTTATTTTTTGTGACTCTTGGTGTGCATTTTTGCAACTTTCTTTTCCATTCACTTTCATAAAAATAATTTTAAATTCCGAATAAAAGAACATTGATCAAACCCAAGTCTGTCAGCGTATTGATGTGAATTTTAGTTTTTAAGAAGCCAGTGGAAACTTAACATGTTTTTCTTGATCAGTACAAACACTTGAATATTCAAGAGCAAACTCCTAGAGTTTGGGATCTCCATGGAATCTTCCTGTCTGCATTGGGGACTTCACAGAGCTGCAAAAGATCTCATTGTGAGAGCCAATAAGCAGAAACAGTGGACATCCATTAAGGAACTGTGGAGGTTAATATCTTTGTCAGGGATTTAATGCAATCATACATGCGGGCAATGCATTTTATTTTTCAATACATTACAAAGGTTAGAATAGCTAACTTTTCCCCTCTTTCTGTGGTGATGGGGTTGTGTTTTATCAGTTTCAAAAATAAATACCTACTGTAAACATTTTCATCTAGTGCTGTTGTTTTTCTTATTTGGGATTCAAAGGTTATATTCAAAATGTTGAATATAATGCAGGGCGTCAGAAGTGTGAGCAAATTTTGGATGGTGAATTGCAAAAGAATTCATCAGCCCCCATCAGCCACATCAACTGTTGAGTTGCAGATTGAAATTTCAGATTCCCTTTATCACATTTCCCCAGATAGCTCTTGCATGTTTATCCAATGAGTAGCAGAGCGAGACAGTGTTTGCTGGTGCCATGTGTGTACTGAGTGAGCTGATCTCTGCTGGGGAGATCCTGTTGTCGGGTGATCAAAATGGCCTTCGTGCTCTGGGTTAGGCAAAGAGGAAGATAAACCAAGGTTTCCTTTCTCTGTCGCTGTCCTGTTTATAGCAGAAGTCCTTTAGATGCAAATGAGGATAGAATCATGATCACTTATGATTTCCCCCACCCCCACCCTAGATCAAATAGCAGGGTGATACTCACTGTCTAAGTTCACATATGAAAAAATACTCGTTGGTGAGTTATCACCATAGAACCATACCAGTAGTCAGAAAAGTTCTAGCAAGGGAGGGGTAGGGAGAACATTTGTGAAAAAAACTCAGATTCTTGAAAAGCTCCTCCGATGGCTTACACCAACAACAACAAATTACACTTAGATAACGCCCTTCACGTCGGAAAGATGTCCCAGGGCACTGGACAGTTGAGGGCTTTGGGGCCCGAGCTTACTCACCATTGTGAAACACTGAGCTATCTAGATCTGCTCGGCCCAGATTCAATTTGTGGCCTGTGCTGAGTTTGCATTCTCCAGGAGTAAAGAGTATAGGAACTATTCTGCAGGAGATTTATTGGAGGGAGCAGAGCCTAAAAGCTCTGAGACTGAAACTGTGTCCCAATGTCACCAAAACATACGGTCATTATTGACTATTGTGTTAAACTTTTTAAAGATTAAACTTTTAATATGTGCTTTATAAAAATAAAGTTGAAACTTGGCTAAAGAAATCGTTTGAAATAAAATGTCTACAAAACAATCCGCCTTACGCTCTGTTAGCTCAGTGTTACTTGTGACCTTTACAGGAGATAAGAGTCCAATATCTTTCTGACAGTACATTAAAAACTACTTCAGCCACAGATAACGCAGGTTATTAATGCCTGAAAATCAGGAAGCAGCATTGTTCTGCTGTTTCATTACAGACTCCATTTATGGAGGTGGAGTTGGCTTCATGTCATGTATGGCACTTTGCCAGAGCCTCTCACATGAGGACCTGCATTAAGCAGTTGGTGTTGTGTAAACATGGCATGCAGCATTGGACTTGGACCTCTAAAAAATCAAGGTGGCTGGCATATCACAAGTTGTCCTGTGTAGCTTCTTCTATCACCCTGAAAGCAGATATCTGTTGTCCGAAACTCTGAGGTTTTGGACAGCTGGAAAGAGGTACTTCGACTTTGGGTGTGTGAACACATGCTCACATATCTAGGGCTTGCTTTCATCCTTGATTGAGATGCAGAGAGGTAAGCAGCTGTTGCTGAAGCTCCGCAGTTCTAACTGGTGGACCCACAGCTCAATCGGAAAGAATGTGTCTGGGCTGTGGGCAGAAGGATGGTTGTACTGCTGTCACGTATTTTATGCTGAATTGTGCTGCTCACTAAGAGGCTTGCACAGTTCTCTGCTATACACCTAGTAAGGGCTCAAACCTTTGCTTGTCAGATGACTGAAGAATAACTAGTGACTTATAACTTCCATGGCAATTCCATAAGTGCCATGCATATGTGGAACTTGGTCTCGTTTGGATATTCTTAAGCCTTACGGTTTCCGCGTGTGTGTCAAGACACCTGGCTGACCAAAGAAAATCAATTTCTGTCTTGTTTTTCAGGTTACACAAGTTGGGGGAGTTTATCCCAGCCAGGAATGGAAGTGGAGCTGACTGAATTCCCTCAGGAATTTCAGTAACCTTATCAACTCTGTGCAGATTCTCCAGTTCCATATTCCCAGAGCAGGTATAGTTCAGTACTGAAGACTTGACTGTGCTTGTAATGAGGGCTTTGTGCTTTAGGACTTCGGGTACAGTTATATAACAATAATATAATAACCCTTACTTTTGATATAGTGCTTTTCACATCTTCTAGACATCTCAAAGCGCTTCACAGAATTCAACAGTAAAGTGAATTGACTGTATATTTGTGGGTGAAAGTTTCATAACCTGTGAGATGACCTTATCTGTAATGCGTTTCATAACCTGTGAGATGACCTTATCTGTAATGGGTTGATTATTTATAATTTTAATACGGTCATTGTTTCTCATTGAACATGAGGAGAAATTTCCAATAATATCAGAAATGTCTTTTCTTACTTTTTACAGGAATGATGAGTCAAAGATGTAAATTGTTCTAAATCACTATTGATAAGTAAACCGACAAATATATCAACGCAGGAGTACACTAGACACACGTTCCACCTTGGGATCCCAATGCATTACAGTTTGTGCTGACAGATTGCTTTTTGGGAAACCTTAAATTGCGTAGTACATGCTGACAGACCTCTCACTTAGAAACTAGGTTATCCTTTCCTTGAGTATGTGAACAGACTGCCAATGAGAAATCCTCTACTTTGCAGTCTGCGTTGTGACTTCAAATTGGGAAACCCTAGATATTAAAAAATCTGTGCTGAGCTTTCTTTCCTCCCTTATTCCTCCTTCTCCACCCTCACTCCCCTCCTCCAAAATAGCTTGGAAAGCCTGAGGCAATATTGTGCACCATGGACATATTGCTGGCAAGCTTGAGATATCGCAGTTTGGATACAGTCATCCTTAGTTACCATAGATATTATGATAGTCACAGTACTTGCTGACAGAACCTCATATGGGAATCCTCTAAGTATCACAGTGCAATATTCATCATGTCATAGAGATATCCTTGGAGGTAGAAAATATGCTTTTATAAAATACCGGAAAGCCATAGTATTACATTTTTTGCTCTGAACCCTTCATTAGGAAACGTCATGTAGGTATTGATAATACTCCTTGTTCGGAATTTCTAGATTACGTGCAGTGAGGTGACTGTCCTCTTGAGAACAAATGTAGGCGTGTTCGTATATTGGTAATCAGCATTTGTGACACTTAATACAAGTTCATGACCCTAATTATTGTACCATCTGTAAAGAGTCTTGCCCCAAGATTGAACAGGATAGTCATCATAAGCAGTGTTGTTAATGCCTTGAAGCTACTTGTGGTGTTAAATTTTCTTGGATTGAGAAACTGGCCCTGGGTTTTCAGACTCTTATTCTCTTTTCCACCTGAAAGAATCAGACCAATCTGATTTCTAATAATAATAATCCTTGCATTTAATATAGTGCCTTAACACGTCATTGAGACTTCTCAAAGCGCTTCACAAAATATCATTTAAAGTGGATTGACTATATTTTGTGGGTGAAATGTGGCAGCCAATTGTACGCAGCAGTATCCCACACACTACCCAGTGGTGGATTAAGTGACCAAATGTTTTTTTTTGGGTGGGGAATTATTACTCTAGGAAAGCAATCTGCTTTCAATCGACTAACAACTGGGTTCCAGGTAAACAGGGGCATGTGAAGTAAGGACACTTGCCTAAAGTTTTGCACTGCCCGAGAATCAAACCCAGATCCTCTAGTTTGTGAGGCAAGCGTGCTAACCACGGAACTTCACGTCCTGTATGATTTCTGACACGCGTTGTGTATTTCATTACATTTGCACAAAGGCCTGTACCTCTGTACTTGACTTTTCAGACCAAGGTTGTCAAGTGCATATCCTGTTTGCAAGGTCACATTTGATTGCAAATCATTTCTCCCCAAAAACATTGTATTTAAATTAGCAAAACTATTGTTGATTTAAATTTGAACTTGCCTTAGCGTCAGTACTGATTCAGCCATGTTGCAATGTAACCTGAGGATACTTCCAGTTTTATAGCAAGAATCTGCAATTACTGCTAGTTTTATAGCATATAGTCTATAGTTACCACTAGTTTTATAGCAAGAATCTGCATTTACTGCTAGTTTTATAGCATATAGTCTATAGTTACCACTAGTTTTATAGCAAGAATCTGCAATTACTGCTAGTTTTATAGCATATAGTCTATAGTTACCACTAGTTTTATAGCACAGATTCTGTAATTACCATATTAGCATTCAGCACAGAGGCTGCAGTTTTCCATCACCGTGAGACCAAATAACATATTAGTCTACAATTCTTCTATAATATAATAGGGGTCCAGTATCCTGGTTTCAATGTCTCTGAATATAAATCTGGCTTTCATCCAGATGTCAACATATTTCATCTGCTCCATTGTTGAGATCTGATCCCAGGTCAAATGTAATCTGTGCAAAGCACAGTATTCATGTTAATAGATGGTAAGAATTATTAACTATTCAAAGGATAGGTTCTGCAAATTTGGTTCTTTATTAAAAAAAAATTGGCTCTAAAATAATAGGATAGAGAGGGCAGCCTCAGTACTGATACTAGTACAAGTCTTAATTGAAGGTAATGAAATATTTGTGACTGATGGATGCCAAACCTTTACTGTAAATGATCAGATCAGTCCAGTCTCCTCAAGGTGAAAAGGCCTTTACATAATAATAAACCTTGCATTTGATGTAGTGTCTTATCACGTCGTTGAGACATCTCAAAGAGCTTCTCAGCATCTACTGTAAAGTGAATTGACTGTATATTTTGTGAGTGAAATGCAGCAGCCAATTGCGCACAGCAGTCTCCCACAAATAGACGTGTTTATTATTATAATAATAAATATCATTATTCCCCTAAAAAGGAGATGTGTACTGGCTACTTTGTGCTGGGTTGAGTCCAGAGGGAATGAAACAAAGTAATTTTTGATTATATTCTCTATATTACAGGTGACTTGGCACACAAATCTAGTGTAAAGAATGATAATCAATATATCCTTCAGGTCAAACTGCGTTTCTGTTTTTGGTGCATGCGTGGGTTGCCTCAGTTTTTCACGGTCTAGATATTTTAATGACAGATTACATCTTGAGCAAGCTTCTCGATTGTAGTAAGTTGTACATTTTGCTGCCGTGCCTTGTTGTTAATTGGTTGGGTGTTCTGTTCTCTATGCTCAGGGTGACGTGCTGACACTGTGCTACACAGGAGGATGGGAAAAAGGCGGTGCCTTCAAGTGGAGCCAACGCTCGAACAGAAGATAGCAGCCGGGTGCTGCGGAGTGAAGAAACCCAAACTATCGGGGAGCAATGTGCACAACCAACTGAACCACCCCGGGACAGTCCTAGGTTGCGGCTCTGTGGCCGGCCTGCAGTCTGGAACAGCCCTGGGGAATCACCACAATCACAGCCAAAACCACAACTATAGCCAAAACCATTGCGAGAGGAACAACAGGGAGAGCAATGGGAATGTGAACTCTTTGAACTCTACACTTAACCCTATGACGGGACTGACCACAGTAGGAAGCCGGCCGAATGGGACCGGGCTCAGCGGGACCAGTGGAGTGAATGTGAGGAAGCTGGTGGTGACTGCAGAGATGTGCTGCTACTGCTTTGATGTGTTGTACTGTCACCTTTATGGATTCCCACTGCCCCGATCACCCAGGTTCACCAATGACCCATAGTGAGTACTGCACGATAAGGATAGTCGATGTACCAGCCTTTGTAGAGAGGAGCAAACACTTTCTTTCCATTGATGCTTCCCATTGCAGGGGCATTAGTGAAGAGTGAGGGTAAGTCCCCTCATGACATATAAACAAAGAGGTTAAGAAAATACAAACTCAGACAGAACGCTGTGCTTTCACCTCAGGGATCTAGGCTTGAATCTAATCCTGACAGACGGGATGAAGGCCTCCTCTCTCTGATGGAGCCTGGATAGTGCAGTGGGTTGGAACACTGTTCTTTTATCAGACTGATGGCATAGCCCATTGATCGTGCTAACAGCTCTGTTTCTCTCATTCCCTATATGGGAAGAACCTGATCTTGAGCAGTCTCTTAAGGGAGATGTTAAATGAGACAGCCCCTCGACTGCTGTTATTCAGGTCCTTTCAACTCGTTTGATGTGTTCCGTGTTCCTGGGACAAAATAATTGCTGTCTCAATCAGATATGCTGCTTTAAATCATAGTGCCATGGGGGTTTGGCATTGATGCCATTTGTAGGCATTGCAGTGACTGATACTGACAACGTTTACATGCAGTGACCCTCACCAAAGCCTTAAGCCACAGTGCAGTGACCAGAACCAGCACCATTTGAAGCTCCTGCTGCGAGTCTGACAACGAATGACATTTTGGAGCGTGATTCAACCTGGGTATTCAACCTGGGTGGCTTCCCGAGTAGATATTCAGAGGTGGGGAATCAGAGGTACACAGCTTACAAAATACACAGTCACTACACTTTAAAGTAAATCCTGTGAACGCTTTGAGATATTTTCTAGACGTGAAGGGCTCTATTAAATACAGGTAATATCACTACTATAGTACTACTGACTCGGTTAGCATCCTGTGCTACCTGGCAGCTGGTTACAAGGACATTGGTGGCAATCCAACAACAGGTTATGGTAGAGGCAGGAAAACATTGAGCAATCAAAAGGATAACTTACTTTGAATTAATTAGGTTGAGAAAAGATGCATCATTAGGGAAGCCCAGCAGGAGCTCTGAACCACAGCTGTGTTGCATTGAACCACTACCTGAGCTGCCAATGAGTTTTTAAAAAAGAAATCAAATTGATGAGATGAGCTTGACACTGATGCTTCTGCCTGGTTTATAATGGCAAGTGAAAGATACAGCAGCAAAAAAAGTAACCTGTGGGCAGGTTGTAAGCAGGGAGGCTTGTAACGCTGTTGGGGAAACAGCAGAATAAATATGGTGGTTTTTACCATCAGGAGGGAGAGAGCTGGAAAACCTTTTAATTAAACAGGACAAATGGATATAAATAGCAGCAAGAAAACCTTTCCTGTTCTGCTTGTCCTTAGCGCGATGAGTGTAAAATTTACGACTATAAAATGGTCTCCGAATGTTGGTAATGAGTCGTTGACATTGGTAATGGCTCATTGACATGTCAGACGCTCTCATTCATGCTTTAAGGCACAATAATGGATGTCAGGAGTTTGTTTGAATCTAGACTTAACTCCTTGTGTGTGTTGTGCATTGCAAGATTTGATTCTTCAAAACCAATAATTATCAATAATAATAATCGTTGCATTTGATATAACTCCTTATCACCGTTGTGTATCAATGAGATTGGTTGCTTGCGTAAAGTGGATTTAAGTTATTCTTTTAGAATGACTGGAAAAAGATGAATCATAGTTTCTTGTGCTTCTTCAAACCTGATCTTAGACTCCCCGTTGTTAAAATCCCTGTAGCAGATCTTGCTGAGTGTCTGCAAGAAGGAGAATCATTTGTGAATGGTTTGGGGTATTTTCACAAAAAGAAGGGCAGAAGCATCGGCTCTTCTTATTAGTAATCAAATCATTTTCTGGCGCAGTCCCACATTTGTGATGAACTGTATATCCCACTCCTCTTCATGACATAGTTATTCTGTTTGTCACTGAAATGTGGCTGCTTGTTCTCCCTCGGATGACTGGATCAAATTGATGTCTACTTGTCCTTGTAAAACTGCTGAAACAGTTTATATTTATTTGACTGCGCATTTTGTTGGGGAGGAGAAACATGTTGTGTCTTTCCTTATTTTTCCTGCTGTAATTTGCCTGAGGAGCTTAGCTTGCCTAGCAGAGCATACAGTACAAGCAATTGCTGCCAAGTCTTTCACTGCCAGTGCTGCTCCACAGCTATGTCTGCAGTGAATCTAAAAGAGTGACCCCGTGGATGACTGTGGCTAATTTTCTCTTCCTCCTTCCAGGGAATTGTTTGGTGTCTTCTTGGCATCTCCCTCTGGCGGCAGAATTGAATCAGGAACTGACAGATCACATAATCAGAGCACAACTAGAATATTCCAGTTCCCAAAATATCTAATATTAACCCTATAATAATATCTGTGACCCAATGTCTTAGGCTCAGGACTAATCCCAGGAATATCTGTACAACCACTTTCTTCCCAGAATACCCAGGTTCTAGGATATCCCAATTTACATGGAGCATCCGGTGTGTAGCAGTAATTCCAGAATAATCAAGATTATAATAATGTTATTCATAATAATAATTCTTGCATTTGATATAGCGTCTTATCAAGTCTTCAAGACGTCTTAAGTGCTTCCCGGAATATTCTGTAAAGTGAATTGACTGGGAATATCACATGACTGAACTGTCCATGGTAACTTTGGGCTGACCGCAGAATAGCTTCCTATCCCCTTTATAAAACAATGGGTAAAGTACAAAGTCTTGCATCGGGTGTTTATATCTGTACAGGCTATTGGTTGGCGCATTGCATGATTCTATTATGTAGGAATGTCTGGCTTTGTGTTTTCTAGTCCACTGTTTGTAACATGGAAGATGGGCCGGGATAAACGCCTGCGAGGCTGCATTGGAACCTTCTCTGCCATGAACCTACATTCAGGACTCAGGGAATACACACTTACCAGGTATTATACAATATACAAATGTATCGCTAATGAAAGCGTGATGTCAACATGGAAGTGTATCTGATTGCCTCTTGAGCTTTATAGTTTGTGTGTGTATTTGACGATTGGTGAAAGCACCCGTAGAGACCTATATGTCTATTTTGCTTCAGTTTCAAAAGTAAGCCGTAAGATAGAAATTTCTCTTTTTTTTAAAACTCTGATCTTGGATATCACACTCATATCCAAATTCCCAAGATTTCCCATTATAAGTGGGAAGCATTCCATCAGCTTTGTGAACGTTGCAGCCTAATCCTCTTTGCCTAGAGTGATTTGATTAATCTGATCTGCCAGCACATGTGACCCCATCTTTGACTAGTTCTTTGACCTTTCTTTCTCTCTCTTCACAGTGCCCTTAAAGACAGCCGATTCCCCCCACTGACACGAGAGGAACTGCCCAAACTCTTCTGCTCTGTTTCGTTGCTCACAAACTTCGAGGATGCCAGTGATTACCTGGACTGGGAGGTACTCTGCTTTAATCTGAGTGGTTGATTCAATTCAGTGAAATCAAAACTGCTTCTAATCATGAATTTTATACGTTTCCTGAATGTTCTGCTCCAGGTTTCCTCAAATGGCCTTTCCTCATGTGTGAGCATGGACACTGAATGATGGCAGGAGTTGCAACCATAGATGGAAATCAAAGTCAGTCTTAATCCGGCTTTACTCGATATCCACACAACATGGATTTTCAGTGACTGTAATCAGGAACAGGAACCTGTCTGATTTTTTTTCCTCTGCCCATTCCTAGCCTAGGTACAGACACGTGAGATCTAATGCAGTGACATCAGCCAAATCAGCAAAAACCTGTTAATGCATGGATGAGTGCTGCTCTTCACAGTGTACAGTATCAGATTTACTGAGCCTTTGTAGAGCCTTAGGCCATGTGTTAAACGTCTTACTGGATTGTTAAGCCAAAGATTGAAGAGCTGAACAGTAAAAGAAAATTGCAATGCAGCATCCAGTTAACCTTCCTCCCTGGCCATTCAGAATGACTGAGAATTGGCTGCTGTCACAGACTCTGTCCCCTGAGTGTGAATGAGTTCCACGTGACTGTCTTGCTCAGCTCTGACATCTGCGTAGACGATATTAACACTAGGAGGAAGTCACAGTTCCGGTCTAATTCAGAAGCTATTGTAATTACTAGCGATTTCTCACTGAATTTTAATTAAAAGTCAGACCAGTTGTACAATTATTTCCCCTCCCCCAATTTTTTCCATTCATCTCCATTCTCTCTGTCTTGCTTGATCATGATTCTCAGGCACTGTTCGTGTACTGATACTTTGCCCAAATGGCCTTCTCTTACGTAAGCCTAAACGTAGATGTTGCATTCCATCAGCACTATTTGACCATGCATCTGAACCTGATTCTATTCTCATCTGATGCACTTTTGCACCAGGAGTCACCGGATAGGGATTAGAAATAGGAATCCTGACTCCCAAGTGAAGCCCTCTCCCTCTCATTCCCCCCCAAACTGCCTCTTTCGCTTCTGGGAGCACTTGTCTAGTAATCGATAGGATGCAAACGTGTTATGCTCAACGCAGCCACTTGATGGTGATGTTGTGTTCAGTAAGTGTGATGTGTGCAGCACTCCTTCAAGCCATATTCCAAACCTTGCTGATAGTCTTCTGCTATTGTTTTATAACCTCAGCATATACTGATATTATCACTTTCTAACCCTGCCTTTTGCTCAGGTGTCCTTTTGAGGGGCATTAATGAGATGAAGTTCAGGCAGATCTATCTTTGTGGCCGGTGGGAAAAATACATCGAGGTGAATTGCCAATGAAAAGATAAATTAATGGTTTGATTTTTTTTTCAAAAATTGAAGTCAGTGACAGTCCACCGTCTCCCTCTTCCAGCACATTCACTGTGGTGTGAGTGTGTGTATGCAGTTGCGCACATAGGGGTGGGGGAAGAAACAACATCAAATAATGTCGGCGGTGACTGCTTATGTTGTGACGTCATTGTACGTGCAATGGCAGCACAGTCCTGCCTGTAGGAGGCAACCAGAAAGTGCTTCTAAATGTTTTCAATGATGTTATGACCATTTTACTAAGTTCTAACATATACTGGCTGTCTCTACTGGCGTTCCAAGCATTTCTCCTGCCAGAATATCCATTTCTAGGCTTAGCTGCACCAAGTAAAGAGTAGAATAGGGTGCTAAGCTTATGTTTTTTTGACAGTTAACGTTGTCAATTTCCCCCTCTAGGATATACAGGGCAAATTTTTTTCAGATCCTCCATATGAATGCGAACCTTTTTCCAGAAGTAAAACGTTCGGGGACAAAACTTCTTTCTGCCACTAGGTGTCATTTACTTCACCAGTCATTTGGATCTGATTGCAGAAAATAAAGTTAATTTGAAATATGTTTGAATTTATTTTCAGAATTTGATGCATGTTTTTTTCTGTTATTCTGAAGTTTGCTTAAAGAAGGGATGTGTGTCATAACTGTAAGTTTGTGGCTATATCCAGCACAAAGCCTTCACCCTCAATCAGTCGAAGTCCTTTCCTCACAGTAGCGTCTAGACAGATCTTCCTGCACAGACACACAGAACTAGCACGGCCATGATGTGTACCGTGTTCAGACATTTATCAGTATAATGCAGAGTTCTGCACATCGCTGATCTTCTCATACTCAGAAGCCTCTGACATTATTTCCAGTCAGCATATTGATAGCCAAGTTGTTGATGGCACAATGTACAGGAAGTGGCTCCAGACGAAGGCTGCTTTATAATTGCTGCCTTTTCAAGCAAACCCTTTTTCTGCTCTATAAACCATTGCACTAACTGAGGTTCAAAACTAGTCACTGGCAGCGGATGAATGTTCTCAGCTGTCACACACCTGGTACTGACAGTTCTCACAGAGTAAGGGATGGCTTGATGAGCGAACTCTACCTGTTATTGCTCATACATATCCATGAATTTGTGTCTAGGTGGGAGTACATGGGATTCGGATCGAGTTTGTAAATGAGAAGGGAGCGAAACGCACAGCAACGTACCTGCCTGAAGTGGCTAAGGAACAGGGTAGGTATGAAGTGTAGCCTACAACCCAAGGGCCGGAACCTCTTTGTTTCTCTATGTGCTTGTGTGGGTAGAGTTGCTGTGACTACCAGGATTTGACTTGGAAAAAGGTGATTAAAAACTGTGTGCTTCAATCTTTTTGGGGAGTGGTGGCGGGGTAGCTGGGCATGATGACCGAGTATACAACCTCACTAACACTGCTGTGGGTGTTTGTTTTGTAGACTGGGACCAGATTCAGACCATAGACTCTCTCCTGCGGAAAGGAGGTTACAAAGCTCCGATCTCAAATGAATTCAGGAAAGCAATCAAGCTCACCAGGTGAGTCATTTCCAGCAAGAAATGTTAATTGGCCGAAAAATGATCTGAGACACGTGTCACACTTATACAGACAGGTGAGACACATACCTGTACAGACACAAATGACAGATGAGACACTTGTATAGACGGACACCAATAAAGGGTGAAGCACATGTACGAAGCGACACACATGACGTGTGAGACTCGATTACATATACAGTCACTTGAGACGGGTGTCTGGGCGGAAAGAAATGAGGTTATCAGCGACCTTGTTAGCAGATTGCTCTTTCTTATCCCCAGGTACTGCAGTGAGAAAGTAACAATCAGCTATGCCGAGTACATGGCTTCACGACAACACTATTTTCAGAATGGCACCCTCCATGCTCCACCTCTCTACAATCATTACTCCTGACAACAGGCTGCATGATCAATCACGGGACTCCACCTACGACCTCATCGGGGGTGATGCCTCCTCCTCCTGGTCTAGTTACTTTTACTACTGCACTATTTTATGATGCTAGTTTCCGTTGCCAAGCAGGCCTTTGGTCACCGGCACCGTGGAAGGACTTGGCAACGGAATCCTGTGGCAAAACAGTAGAATATTTGGGGCGGGCGGGCGGGGGGGGAGGGTTGGGGGGTGGGAGACGTGATTTGTAAAGATTCTTTTTGTTTCTAAACTTGTTTACCTACGTTTGCCTTACTTTGGTAACTTGCAGAATCTCAGATGCAAGCTGCAGGTTTAGTACTGAGCCACCGATGATATGCGGCGCGATCTGTGTAGGCTGCTCGGACTCTCCGAACAGCGAATAGCACTTTCTCTCACCAGCTGTTTTCAGTCGCGCAAGTCGACGGGCACCACTGAAAACAAGGTCAGGAGGAGAATGTTATCCGTTGTTATCGAGTTGTCGAGTTTCTCTCAGCACAAGTAAGTATTCACTCAAAGCAAATAACAGGGTGTTTGAGTATGATTGCAAAGTGCAGATCAGTGTTTGGTTACGTACAGAATGACTGCAGGTCAAGTGGAAACCCAGGGGAAGATGCTGGATATCTCTACACATTACACAAGAGTACAGCATAGCCTCAGCTTCAGCAGCTCCTCAATGACAATAACCCGCTTCCCATTTATCACCATTGCTGGTGGGGAGTGTAGGGATGGTGATGGTGGGGTGAGGGAAAGGAAAGGAATGAATGAACAAATTGGAAGTTTATAATTTTTTTTGGCCTCATTTACTACTTGTATCTCTATAGCCTGAACCTACACATTTTGTGAATGAAAACCCTTTGATAAAGTGAATTGCATTTACTCTCGAGTCTCTTGGTCTGTGTGTGACATTACATGGCTTCTATCCAGAGCCCCCGCTCGCTCCTTTCACTGTTCTGAGTGAGCCTTTCGTCTTTGTGCGAGTGCCTTTTCTGCAGGAGAGCATCAAGCTATAGTTACATGGAACATTTGTTACTTCATTCTCTGAGGTTGGCTTGAGCACAGATTAAATTTCCAGAAATATTCAGATTAACGTTTTGTGAAAGGTGGAGAGACAGGTACTTTTTTGGTGTGATGCATTTCCTCCCAACCTCACTCTTTTTTCCCCCCTTCCGCACTTTCTTCCCCTTCTTCTTCTCGCTCCCTCTCTTTCCACCCCCCCCCCCCCCCCACACACACACACATACATACATATGCTCTCTCCACCCCTTAGACATTCCTTGTCCTCTCCAGTTGCCTCTCTTTCTATATCCCTTGCCCTTTTCTCACAGTGATGGCATAGATCACACGTGGGCAGGAATGATCAAGTCCACTGACCGTGTGTGTTCAAGTTACGATGATCAGGTGTTGATTTGAAACATTTCCACTTAATTCTGTCATCACTCTCATTAGGTTAATGTGGCAGGATCCTAGAAAACATTGCTGTGTTCAAAAGTGTAACTTCTTGCTGAGTGTTAAATAGAGCTCTATATGTTTTAGTTTTGCCTATTGTATTTCTCAGTATCATGTCATCAGCATAAATGTAGCTTTTGGTTCACTTCCATTCTTTGTGCATTCTGATGTTTTAGATCCCATTTATTTCTCCTTGAACTTTGGTCTGATTATTGTGTGATGTTGCCTGGGCTTAATTTTTTCCTGGGAGTGAATAATATTGTATTGAATAGTAAAACCTTCACACTTCCAGGCAGGTGGGCAAACTGCTAAAGAATAGCAGCTGTGTGAGTCAAGTCTGCTTCCTTTACTGCAGGGTTTGTCTTGTGTTTCTACGATAAAATCCAATGCATTGAGCTCTTTTCACTAAGATTAGTTTTTTTTTTCTGGAATGAGTGGGGAGGTTTCACAGGTGTTTGCAGTCCGTGGATTCCAGTTCCTTGTCTAGACCTAAATAAGACTTATTTAATTTTGAATTTTCGTGATTCAATTGGACTATATCTGTGTGCTTGGTTCCATCAGCCATAGCTAAATTGTTGATACTTTTCTTAGAACATTTAGATTCAGGCCTTAGTTTTTTTTAATTTAATGTTCAAATTACATAAATTCAGTATAAAAACTATATCTTCGCAAAGCTTTTTTTTGACCATGAGACCTGAGGTTGTGACTTATGCACTAGTACAAACTATCAGTTGCTTAATGACTAAGGAATGTGTTATAGATTACAGTTACGTACGTATTAATTAAAATTCCCCAAAGCATTTCATAAAGAACTCAGTAAAAAGGTAGACAAGATTAGTCTCACTCCAATCACTATTTTTTTTATTGTAAACAACTTAGAGATGGCAGTCAGAATGCTTACAATCCCTCTGCACGAGGAAAGGAAAATCAACCTTGATTCTTGCTCTTGAATATTGTCCAAAGGGTTTAGGAAAGTGCACCCTCAATTTGACCTCCACTCCAGGCAGCCACCAAATTCTGGGCTCATCACAATTGCATGTGTGGTAACGGTCTATGATAAGAAAAGACGGTGAGAAAAACAGATCTGAGATTATGTGTAAATTCCCTCCATGGTTTGAAATATGAAGAGGGTTCTTACTTGCATTCAAGATCTGCTCCCTCCATTCTTCTCTCGATGAATGCAAACGCGTTTCCTCAGTAATTCAAAAAACGTTTAACCAAACTATTTCCTTAACCTTTCGTCCTCAGACAAATATGCTCTGCTAATGCAGTGCTACTTACACTGCAAATATAGTATTCCTACACTGTAGGATGTACCACAAAAATAGTGATATGCCCTAGTACAGTACTACCTCCTGACACCCCTAACTGCACAATAGCAGCAGAATTGCATCCCAAGTGTGTACAATGGTGACAATGCACCATCACGGTGTAAACACATCAGTTCTTTGTATAAAACATCCTCCACAGGAACTTGCTGGGAACTGACTGTTCTCCTGTGGGAAAACCTGAAAGATAATGACCTTTTAAGACATCTTCCAAATCAAGCATTTTTAGGATGGTGGTGGCTGCAGATATTTTTGATCACCTTATGACACTGGGACATCACTTTTCTGATTTCTTCCCTCTTCACCCTCCCTCCAGTTTTACCCACTGTGTGGTACGGAGAACCTGCTCTGACCTAAGGAGTACAAAGTTCGTTTCTCTTCAAATTGGAAAATGTTGCTTCTGTACTGTTTCATTGCACAATCAAGTTTCGCTACTATCAATCAAATAATTTCTAGGAGCACATGGTTTTAAACTGTCTGCTGTGTGTGTGTGTGTGTGTGTGTGTGCATATGCCTTCACAATATTAGACCTGTGGGGGTTCGTGCTGTGTTGACTTGGTTTGACTGACCATTTCTCATACTACCTGCCAGTATAATCACTGAAGCCAGGAAGGAAAGGAAGCTCCACTTAGCACCAGTTTATGCCTATCAGTTGGCATTGGTTGGTGCTAGAATCAGCCAATCATCCCAAGTCTCTGCCAATGCTTCCTCTGCCATATATTAGATGAATTTCTTCTTTTTCTGCCTTGCAACATCCCCTTCCATTGCCTGAACCTGTTCCTAGACTAACACTTACAGAGGAATCAAATATAATTCTCACACAGCCTGATTATACTTTGAATTCCAACTCCCATCAAATCTTCAAACTCTTGAGTGCTCAGCAACCAAGGCAGAGTTTTCCTCTTCATTTTGAATTAGCATCTGCGTGTTTCAGACGAGTTGTTTTGCCAACAAACCTGTTTCCATACATCTCTCTATACTGTTTCCACCTACACGGTGACTAGTTGGGTTTGTTACTCCCTGAAGAGGACAATCCATTTCCATACAGTGCCTTAGGTCCCACATTCATTACCCACATCTCCGATGCCATTGGTTGGTGTTTCACTATTTGCAGCAAATGAAGGACTTGTCCCAGCAACAAATTTATACACTGCTGGTCGATGACATAGAACAAAATCAGACAGATTTGATACACTTGCAGAAATGGCCAATGTCCTAGAGGCTTGTGATCAAATTCTCTTGTAGAGAATTTTACAACACAGAGGGAGGCCATTCAACTAATACTTTGCTAGTTCCTGAAAGCTGTCGATTTAGCCTTGCATCTCTGCCTTTTGCCAACACACTTTAGATTTTTCTTAAAATAATTTCCCTTTAAATTCCGTTTGCTTCAACTACTATTTAGATAGGTCATTCCGTTATACTACTACTAATAAATAAATAAATAATTTGGTCACTCAATTCATGACTGTTTGTGGAACGCTGCTGTGCACAATTGGCTGCCGCATTTCGCCCACAAATATACAGTCAAATTTACTTTACAGTATATTCTGTGAAGCACTTTGAGACGTCTCAAAGACGTGATAAGGCGCTATATCAAATGTAAGGATTATCATTATTATACTCTCTTGTCTGTGTGAAATCATTTCTCCTATCTTCTCCCTATGTTTTTTTTACTGTTGCCTTGTGGATTTATGAGCCCTGAGAGGTTTTGTTCATGGAGACCATGTTTGTGAGGAGGGAACATTGTTTTAATGAAATCTGATTGAAACTCAACCAACCCCTAGGCCCTTGGGACAAATTGCAATTTAATTTCCCGTGATGATGTTAAATAGGCAGTTTATTCCATGGTCTCCGTCAGTCATGTTTTAAACCAGGCTTTCTTCATGGACAACCAGGAGAAAATCCTTCTTTCCGGGAGGGAAGCACCAGATATCTCTGTCAGGCAGCAAAACTGAAGTTGGGAACTGAGCAGAGTGGCACACACCTACAACCAAGTTTCTTCACCTAATACTGCACCAAGTATTTTATATAATGTTTATTTCAGGAGTTCAAACACGATGTGAGAATGAGAAAAAGTTATTTCCTTCTCCCACAAAGGGCTAGAGCTGGACTGTTAATGGGATGGCTTGGAATTTCTAAAATTGGAATTTCAGCAAATATGTCGATTGTGGTGAGTAACAAGATTAACAGAGTTTTAGATATTTTTTTCGTTAATTAGAGCTTCCAAAGTTCACCTGATCTATAGTCACTGTTTAGAACAAATCTTGCCTGGACCACTTGAGGATATGCGTGCTGTAAAGGCGAGTGAGTGCTGAGAAATAGTCCAAATATGAAGTGCAGCAACACTGCAGTATCTGAGCCTCTGTGTGTTCTTGGACAGTTAGCTGCTTGAGGGTAAGACAGCATT